AGTTCACAAGGACCCTGTGGGCATTACTCAAGGGGAGACAGTGCTCTCTGGTCAGAGCAACCACCTGGGTGGTCCTAATGGAGGGACATCTGTCCCTGTGAGGGAGTGAAGGCAGGCTTCCCTGGGGGGGAAGAGTGTGTGTGTGTGTGTGTGTGTGTGAGAGAGAGAGAGAGAGAGAGAGAGAGAGAGAGAGAGAGATCTTTCATCTGCTGGTTCACTCCCCAAATGCTCCAGCAGCCGGGGCTGGGCCCTGCTGAAGCCAGAAGCTGGAAACTGGATTGACATCTCCGACATGGGTGTCAGGGCCCAGGCTTTTGGGCCATCACCTGTTTCCTTCCCAGCCACATTAGCAGGGAACTGGATTGGAAGTAGAAATAGCTGGAACACATAGCAGCATGCTGTATCACATGTGCCATCTTCACACGGCGGTGCCACAATGCCATCTCTTCTGTCTGCATGGAAATCTTCACATCTGAAGAGTAAGATCTGAGTAGGTGGGGGTGTGTGGTGGAGGGAGCCACCTAAGCATGGGCCCTGTGGCAGAGAGCAGCACCACTTGGAAGAAAACTGCAGGAGGCCACTGTGTGCTTGGATCATGGTAAATGGGAGGATCCAAAATCCCCTGAAGTGCAGGATCTTAGAAGTTATGATGGAAAGTTTGAATTTTTTTTAAAAGATTCATTTATTTTTATTGGAAAGGCAGATTTATAGAGAGAAATATCTTCCATCCACTGGTTCACTCCCCAAATGGCTGCAGTGGCTGAGGGTAAAGCTGATCCAAAGTCAGAGCCAGGAGTTTCTTCCAGGTCTCCCACATGGGTGCAGGCTCCCAAGGCTTTGGGTAGTCCTCTGCTGCCCTACCAGGCCACAAGCAGGGAGCTGGATGGGAAGCGGAGCAGCTGGAACATGAATGGTGCTTGTGTGGGATCCTGATATGTGCAAAGCGAGGATTCAGCCCCTGAGCCACCATGCCAGACCTGGAAAGTTTGATTTTTTTTTTTTTCAGTTTAAAAGCAAAAGGTGTGACACTAGAGGGGGGAAAGTTAATAGATTGACCAGCTTTTATTTTGGAAACACTTTAGACTGCCATGTTCAGAGTATTTTAGAGGAAGACCAAGGGGAATGCCTGGAAGAGAGAGTTACTGTCATGCAGGAAAGAATTCTGGGCTAGAAGAATTCTGGTGACAGTAGGAATAGAGTCAAAAGCAAAAATGCCCAGCTGGTTGGGAGGAAAAGCTGAGAACCTGGCGGTGCGTTAAGAGCGTGGGAAAGAGGATCGATGAGGTCTTCCATCCCCGGGTGACTGGGATGGCTAAAGCCAGGAGCCTGGAACTTCGTCCAGGTTTTCCATGTGGGTTGCAGAGGCTCCAGGTACTTGGACTATCTTGGATTGCATTTCCCAGCCCGTTAGCAGGGAACTAGATCAGAAGTCGAGCAGCCAGGACATGAATCGGCAGCTATCCAGGGTGTTGGTGTTGTAGGCGGTGGTTTCACCTGCTGTACCGCAAGGCTGGCCCCAGGCGCTTAGATTTTTTTCCCACTGGATGGGCCTGTGGGAAGAAGACCACATAATCTGAACTGGAACTGGCTTTGTCTTTCAGCACTCAAAGGACCCATGAAGTCAGCAGTGGCTGCATTGATAAGCCCAACAGTCCCAAGAGAAGCGGAAGCTGGCAATAGGAGGCCCTGAGGGTTTCTGTGGGAAGAGAGACTACAGAGAGGGAGAATCAGGGCCCAGGCCCGGGGCTGCCACCCTCCCTAGCTGGCCAGAGGAGAGTAAGTCTGCAAGGGAAAAGGCAGAGCCGGGCACAAAGCAAGCTGAGGAGGAAGTCCGAGTAGAGAACATTTCCAGGAGGGGTGAGGGGAAGTGCATGGCAGAGCAAGACTGGAAAAAGGCCCATCAGATTGAGACACAGTGGGTCATTGGTGGCCTTTGTCTGGGCAGCCGAGGTGACGTACTATAGCTGGCAAATGCCAGACTGGGCCGGGATAGGAGCCGGCTAAAAGAAACCAGACCTCAAACGGGGAACCTTCCCTGGTTTTTTTTTTTTTTTGTCTGCGCTGCATAGAGGAGAAGGCACTTGCGTCTTGTGCAAGTTTTGCATTTGCTTGAAGGTAGAAGTTTGAATTTGTGTCAGTGCCTTGAGGGAGAAGCCAGAGAATGCAAGGAAGACAAAGGGCAGAATGTTCATCCACTCAGCTACTATTGATTGCCTCCTGATTGGAGCTGAGCCTTCCCAGTGCCTTGGAACTCAGTAGAGAATCCACAGAGGAAGGCAGATAAATAAGGAGCTGCTAGATACTCGGAAAAAAGATTAGAAAAATAAATAGGGTGCCAGCTTTGTGGTGTAGTGGGTTAAGCCACCGCCTACAGCACCAGCATCCCATATGGACACCAGTTCAACTCCTGGCTACTCCATTTCTGATCCAAATGCCTGCTGTTCCTGGGAAAGCAGTAGAAGATTGCCCAAGTGCTCGGGCCCCTACCACCCATGTGGAGACTCAGAAGTAGTTCTTAACTCCTGGCTTTGGTCTAGACCAACCCTGTTTGTTGAGGGCTTTCTGGGGTGAGTCTGCTTAGGTAGACACAGGTGAGACGAGCATGGTGAGTTTGGTTTGGCCACCTCCAGTCATCTAAGCAGCCATCCTGGCAAGTGATTGATTGGCTGTGGGTCCGGTGTGTGTGGCATTCCAAATGAGATTATTTTAGAGCTCAGAGGCTAGCACGGGCCTGTTTCAGGGATATTAACACTGAAACTCAGCTGCAGTCAGGTGACGCTGGTGGAAAGGAAGATGTCCACGTGGGGGGATAGGCAGCATTGCCGCTGCAGTGTCATGGGGTAGCACCGCATCTTATCACGCAAGCAGGGCCTTGGTGTCACAGGCGTGGGTTCCTGTAGGTTTCTGCAGGCTTGACCAGCCCCGTAGGCCGAATCTTGTAAGCTGTTCCCACAGCTCTGTGGGCCTCTGCAGGGGTAGGGGGAGCTGCTGCTTGTCCCCAAGGGCAGGATGTGTGCCACGCGGCTGCCTTGACAGACCTGCTCCGTTCCTTATGGTCTAAGAGCCGAATGCTAGCTGTTAAGTCATCTGGGCACTTCTCTCCTGTTTGCTTACGCCTGTAATAAGATATTGACATACCAATGGGAAGTTAGAAACTGCCATTATTTACTTGATTTTTCACCTCCTCAAGATCAGTCCAGGATAAGATCACCAAAGAAAGGGAAATCTGTCATCCCCTGAACCGAGTCCTGGGCCTGCTGGGGTGCCTGAGGCCATGTCCACACCTCTGGCTCCCAGGAGGCCCAGGGAAGGAGGCAGTCCTGTGGGAGGTAAGCTGTGTGTGGTGTTCGTGCCCACGCCCTTCCCTTGCTGGTTCTGAGGGTGCCCGGAGCCCGTGGGCCTGCCAGGGGCACATTCAGCCAAGTGGGTGTAAGGGCCATGTGTTCAGACACTGAGGTCTGTTGCTCTAAGCACAAGCCATTTCTCCCAGGAGGAAGGCTGTGTCTGAGATGATGGGTTCTGAATAACACCATTTTATTTTCAGATCTTCGCCTGTGTAGTTATTGCAACTTTTATAGTGAAGATTTTTTAATTCATTTTAACTCATCATTACATATGCCTTAATATGCTTGCACTATACTTTTTATGATCAAAATGGTAAATGTTAGGTATGGATACTTTACCACAGTTGTTTTAAAAGTGTCATTAAATATATATAAATATATTTGTAATAGAAAATGTGAAAAAAAGATGAAAAGAATCAGCATCCCCACCACTTACATAGTTTTCTTCAATATTTTGTTACTTTTGTTTCACCATTTTGCTGTATTTATTCCCAGTCTTTTTATGCATATTTTTGCGCAGTAAAAAAATGCTACGGTTTTGCAAGTTAGCCATGGTTTTCCTGAGCTGTTTGGAACCAGAAATGTTTTTGAATTTGGTATTCTTTTCAGATTTTGAAATAGGACCCAAGTCTAAGCACACATTTCTCTGTGTGTGTGTGTGTGTGTGTGTGTGTGGTTGTTTTTGTTTTGTTTTGCTTAAGATTTATTTTATTTGGAAGTCAGAGCAGAGAAGAGAGAAAAAGAGAGCCTCCATCTGTTGGTTCACTCTCTAGATGGCTGCAATGGCCAGGTTGAAAGCAGGAGCCTCGTCTGAGTCTCCCATGGTTCTTCACCCGCTGTGCCACAGCACCGGCCCCCATTTGTGTCCATGTACACCTGTCACACAGGCTGAGCACAGTTTAAAGTGGTCATTTTCACGCACCTGTGTTTTGACTGTGTCATAAAGTCAGATGTGGAATTTGTCCCTCACTGCATCATGTTGGCACTCAGGAAGGCTTGAGTTTTGGAGCATTTGAGGGTTTTGTGTTAGGCGCACTCAGCCTGTGCCACGAGACCGTGGGCCAGGGGCTGCAGAACCCGGGGCCTAGGTCCACGTGGTGCCACGGCTCCTGCTGTAGGGCAGGGAGGGTTTCCTGACCCTCTGGGTCTGGGATTCCCCACAGAAACTGCTGGTTCTCACCAGGGACAGTTTTCCTCAGAGGACACCTAGCAGTGTCTGCAGGCATTCTTGGTTTCTCAGGACTTAAGGGGCATCAGGGCATCTGCTGATGTTCCGTGGGTAGAAGATGGGGTGCTGCTGAGCACCCCACAATGCATAGAAAGGCCCACGGCAGTTACCCCATAGTTCATGGTTGAAGTTAATAAGCAGCTGTGTTCTGATAAGATGGAAATAATAATAGTCTCCCCGTGTACCATTGTGGTGCAGGTCACATGAGTTAACACACGTTTGTAGCATCATGCCTGGCACGGAGTAACTACCCTGGAAGTTAGGTGATACTCCCCTTGATGCCATTATTTCTTTGAATTTCTACCAGCATTACTGTATTTAAAATTCATATCAACATTCTTCTTAATAATTTCAGGGTATCTTACAACTGAGTTTTCTTTTAGTAAATGTATCCTGCTTCTAATATGTTTTTCCTTCTTCCCTTCCAGATGAAATTAAAGCGGAAATAGAGAAGCAGAGGTGAGTGACAGCACTGTGTCCTTGTGGGAAGACAGCAGGCATGCGCAGGCATGCTCACACATGGCTAGGACCCCTCCTCTGTGAGTCCTGTTTCCCTGGGCAGCACCCTCCATACTGGGCACATGGCAGGACGTGCTGTGTTTGAACCAGTACGAGGTTAGCAGGTTACTGCTGCGACCCTGGGGGACTTGACAGAGGGAGTGTTAGTGAGTTTTACCTTTGGCTCAGGTGGTTGAGAGGAGCTCCTTGGAAGCAGGTGGGCTTGGTTTGGCGTCTGAATCCATGTGGGTGAAGGGCCGTGCGGAGAGTTGAAAGCATTCCGCTCTCCTGAGAGCCACCTTCAAGGGCGCACTCCAGGGACCCAAACACCCCCGTGGGCTTACCTCCCAGATGCTGTAGCCGGGTTGGCCTCTACCCTCAGTGCATCAACCATCACCATGTACCTGTTAACATAAGGCTTTGGGGTTTAAATGGGTTCGACATGAGTTCGGCTCTCTAGGAGTCAGAGCCTGTGCGTACGCTAACACAAGGGTCAAGAATATGAAGTGGGAGGGGTTGTATCGTCCCGACACTGTCTCTCGTGTGAGGGCCTCACCGTCGGAAAGCACGTGGGAGGTGCAGAAGTGAGGCTGTTGCATGGCTGGCAGCAACCTTCACCACACTGGGCAGAGACCTCTCTGTGTTGTGCCACTGTGGTGTTCCCTCTGACTGTGAATTGTCTGGCTTGGAGGTGCAGATGGCAGGCTGTTTCATTAAATGGTTGCTTTTGGGAAGGTGAGTGAATCAGGTACAGAAAAAGCAGCCTCTTGTTTTTATTTCCCCTTTCTCGGCCCTCTCCTGCTTTGTCTTAGGCTCGGCGCTGCCGCACCACCGAAAGCAAACTTCATTGAAGCTGACAAGTATTTCCTTCCATTTGAGCTGGCTTGCCAGTCCAAGTCCCCCCGGGTGGTCAGCACGTCCCTCGACTGCTTGCAGGTAACGCATCCTCACTGGATCCGTGCTGGGGCCTGCCCGGCGCTCCGTGTGCTCAGAGTTCGCAGTGAGAGGAGCCGTTTAGCTGACTCTGCTTGGTCTCATGAGGCAGGATAAGGAGAGGGACTAAGCTTAATGAAGCAAGAATTAGTTTCCCTGGAAATATATTCATTGATCTGTTTCTGTGTTTTTCTAAATGAAGCTCAGCATTAATTGCACTTTTTGGTCTATGTGGGCACACAAAGCCTTTGTTTTGTTTTTTTAAAGGTTTATTTGTTTGAAGGAGTGTGTCAGGGAGAGAGAGTTCATCTACTGGTTCATTGCCGAGTGACTCTAACAGCCGGGGCTGGGGAGGGACCAGGTTGGAGCTGGGAGTCTGGAACTCCATCCACTTCTTCCCCCTGGGGGCTGTAGGACCCACACACAGCAGACTGTCATCCGCTGCCAGATGCACGAGCAGGGGCCTGGACTGGAAGCTGAGCAATTGGCACGCAAATCGATGCTTGACATTGTTAGGTAGTGGCTTTTTTTCAGCCTCCTCTTTTTTTTTTCTTCTAAATATTTATTTTTTATTGGAAAGTCAGATTTACAGAGAGAAGGAGAGATAGAAAGATCCTCCATCTGCTGGTTCACTCCCCAAGTGCCCACAATGGTCGGAGCTGGGATGATCCAAAGCCAGGAGCCAAGAGCTTCTTCCAGGTCTCCTATGTGAACACAGGGTCTCAATGCTTTGGGCCATCCTTGACTGTTTCCCCAGGCCACAAGCACGATGCTGAATGGGAAATGGAGCATCCGGGACATGAACTGGCACCCACATGGGATCTTCGTGCGTGCGAGGCAAGGACTTTATCCACTAGGCTGCTGCACTGGGCCTGCAGCCTCCATAAAGACCCTCACAATATTATCTAGTCAGTTATCTCCCAGGGCCCAGTTCCTCGTGTGTACACCATGGGTGTTAGAGTGAATGTCAGGCCAGGAACATGGAGCCATGTGTATAGTCAGTCCCTAGCAGCTGTTGTGCTGTTGGCTGGCAGGTCCCTGTGGCTGAGTTGAGCAGTGCCATAGAGACCCTGTCATCCCAGCACCCTAAGTATTGAGAGTGTGTTCCTTTGTGGAAGGAAGTCGCTGGCCCCTAATGTCAATTCTGAACCCATACTTTGGGCCCCTGGTCCATTGCTGGAGCCATGCATGTGCCAGAGTTTTATAAGGGCGACACCATTGTGCTGCTTTTATGGTAAGTCCATGGCAAGTTTATGGCCCGTGGCTGTTTTTAGAATGAAGTTCTGTGGAGTTGAGCCTACAAAATTCAAAATGTATCCTTTTCATGACATCAAGAAGTGACAGGGTGCTCCCTGAACTAGTGAAGGAAGAACTTGCCCTTGGTTGCTGTCCTGGCCAAGCCTGCTGGACTGGCTTTTCCCAGAGCCAGCCAAGAAGCTTCTGTCTCAGAAACAGGGCAGACACCTTGGAGTCAAGTCTGGTTTTGTGAGAGTTGGAGCCAGCTGCACACATGCTCTGGGCACTCGGCCTGTCTGCTGGAGCTTGGGGAGGAGCTAGGGGCAAAGGTGCTTTGGGGAGCTGGGTTGGTCTTGAGCCCAGCTGCCCAGGCTGCTTTCCCCCCTGGGGAGAAGCTGCAGCCTCCCAGCTGCTCCCTGTGTCAGGAGAACCCTGGGTAGTCTCACACTTCCTCAGGGCAGCTTAAGGGAGGAGAGTCTGATTGTCTTCTCTAGGCTAATGAATGGTTTTCTTTCTCTGATATATTTGAATGATAGAAAGACAGAGACACTGAGAGCTTCCATCCTCTGATTCACTCCCCAAAGAGGTGCAATGATCAGATCTGAGCCAGGGGCCTGGAACTCCATCTGGGTCTCCCATGTGAGTGTGAGGCCCAAGCATGTGGGTCATCCTCCACTGCCTTCCCAGGCTGTAAGCGGGGAGTTGGCTCAGAAGTGGGACAGCTGGGACTCGAAATAGCTCTCTGATACAGTAAGCCAACATTGTAGGCTGCGTGGCTTAACCTGTTAGGTCACCACACTGGCTCCTAAGGAGTGTTTTTTTTTTATTTTATGATTTTATGATTAGTTTTTTTTAATATTGACGATGCTTGCATAGTTGATTAGGTTGGGAAGGGTTGCGGGTTAGAGAGCATAAAGTGAGTGAGACCATTGTTTCCACATTTTCTTCTTCCTGTATGTGGTAGAGGGGGCAGACAAGGGAAGTAGTTGCATCCAGCCTCCCAAATGCCTCAGTACGCAGGGATGGGGCATGGCCACCCATGGTCATCTCAGGGTCCCTGGTATAGAACATGCTTGGAGGGTTCTGCCCAGGAGGTTCCAGTAGTTCTGAAATGCTGCCGATCTCGCCACTCCAAGGATGATGAAATCCGTTGGCTGACATAGTCGACCTTAGAGTCTCCATTCACCCAAGTATTTGCTGCCAACGCTTCTCTGGGGGTAGCTGGCCAATTTGTTCTGCCCTCCTTCCTCTGTTATGGTACCAGATGTCTTCTGTAGGCTCCAGTGGATTGCCATATCCTCCATGTGCATTTGGGTATGTCATCCACTGCTCCACCCAAACCACTGAGAAGGACTAGCACTACACATGCACTATAGTAAATAGTTTTAAATAGTAAAACTAATTTAAACAGACGTTAATTTAAATTTTGCAGACATTTGCCCAATATATGTAAATTTTTTCATTTTGAAATTATATACTTGTACTACTCTTACTGAAGTGCATACATTATGAAACATACACAATAGAACTCTAAATGAACGAACACAAAATAGAGGTAAATGTAACATTTCGTTCCTGCCTCCCAGTGGAGGCTGCAGGAAGTTATTGGTCTGACCCGTCCTGGTCATATCACCAGCATCAGCTTTAGTACTTATTACTAGAAAACTAGATTTTTACCACACATTTTAAAGTTAATTTGTAGTTGTATGAGTTGTGCACACCTGTGTTATTTGTTAAACTCTACCTGAATAGAGGTGTTCTGTTCTCTAGCTCCTTCCCCTAAACGGCCAGAATGACAGGTCAAAGCCAAAAGCCAGGGACTCCATCCAGGTCTCCCACAAGAGTGGCAGGGGCCAAGTGCAGGAGCCATTTCCTGCTGCTTTCCCAGGCACTGTAGCAGGGAGCTCATTTGCAAATGGGGCAACCAGCACTTGAACCAGCACTCATATGTAGGATGCCAGTGTCATGGGCTGTGGCTTAACCTACCATGCCACCATGCTGGGTCCTGTCAAAAACATTTTTAAAGCTCTACTGAGAGCCCAGCATGGTAGCTTAGTGGCTAAAGTCTTTGCCTTGGATCCCATATGGATGCCGGTTTTAATTCTGGCGGCACTGCTTCCCATCCAGCTCCCTGCCTGTGGCCTGGGAAAGCAGTTGAGGATGGCTCAAAGCCTTGAGACCCTGCACCTGCGTGGGAGATGGAAGAAGCTCCTGGCTCTTGGATTCAGATCAGCTCAGCTCTGGCTGTTATGGCCACTTGGGGAATGAATCAGAGAATCAAAGATCTTCCTCTCTAAATCTGACTTTCCAGTAAAAATAGATAAAATCTTAAGAAAGAAAGAAGGAAGGAAGAAAGAACGAAAGAATGAAAGAACGAAAGGAAGGAAGGAAGGAAGGAAGGAAGAAAGAAAAAAGAAAGAAAAAAAAAGAAAAGAAAAGAAACAGAAAAAGCTCTGTGCTTCACCAAGAAGGCTGGAATCCTTTGAGCTGCTGGCTCCAAAACCGGGTGCTTGTTTGTGTTTTTCCTTTTTCAAGACATAGTGTTCCGTGTGCAGATTTTGCTGCAGTTCACTTTCTGCACCTAGCAGTGTTTCTAATGTCAGCTGGCTTGCTCTAGCTGGTATGCCACGGGTTTCATTGCTGCTGCTGTTCTCCTGGCCCTCCTGAGAGGCACGTACACTTGGGGTTCCGGTCCTTGTGAGCAGCCCTGTGCCAGCGTCCAGGGCTGTGTGCCTTGCTTTCTCTGGGTGAGAGGTGATTCTTCTGAGGCAAAACACAGGGCTAACCTGGGGAGAGCAGGTAGACCAGTGAGGTGGAAGACTGTATTTGTATCAAATTAATCACACCACCTTGGTGGAGTGGTTTAGAACAGTGCAGACTTTAACTTCTTGCTGAATGCGTCTTGTTTTGCAACAGATGGACTTTTTGCAGCTCCAGTAAGACTGCAAAGGCCTAGTGGAGGGTGTTGTGTTTTCTCTTCTTTCTTGCCATGCCAGAACACCCCTAAACAGGCCTCCTTGGGTCGTGTGGCAGCAGGCCAGGTGCCCGCAGGCTCCCACCTCTGCCTACTCCCTCATTGCATCAGCGAAAGTAAGGCAGGAATGTCAAGCTGGGGCAGATGGGAATTGGACAGGGAGCCTGCAAATCCCACAGGTCCCTAAAGGATCCCTCCCAGATGTGTGGCTTTATTGTGTCTCTCCCCGATTCCTTCCCACACTCCCCAAGAATAAACTCTGAGATGTGGAGTCATGAGTGTCACTTGCTGTTTTATCCCCAGCACCCAGAACTGTGTCTGGTCCGAGGAAGGGTGAGAAGGCCCACAGGACCCTGGAGCTCTCCTGTCTTCCTGACCCCTCTCACTGCACAGGAGGCTGGAAGCCCTTTTCTCGTGGAAAGGCCATGTACCCTTTGTGGACTCGACAGGAGAGAACACTTGCCAGCCCAGTGGTGCATCTCTTTCTTTGCATTATAGCTTCAATATAGAGCTTACTTTTATTTTTCTTAAAGTGATTGCAAGGCAGAGAGACAGAGAGCTCCTGTATGCTAGTTCACTCCCCAAGTGTCACAACCATCTAGAACTGGGCTGGGTCAAAGCCAGGAGGTTTCCCATGTGGATGACAGGGACCAATTACTCAATTGCTGCTGCCTCCCAGCACCCACATTGGCAGGAAACTGTTGTCAGGAGCCAGAGTATTGAACTCAGGCACTCTGATGCGGGAGACGCACACCTGAGCCACCAGTCTTAGTGTCCCCAGGAGCATGCTCTTCAGCATCCAGGTCTAGGCAGTTCATGAAGCATAGCACTCTTTGCCCAATGCTCAAGCCAGCCCGAGGCCATCAGGAGTGAGAGGAAGCAGGCTGCTGGGCTGCCTTCTTGGGAAGTGGCTTGTGTGGCAGCAGTGAGAGGGCACCAGGAAGGCGCTGCGCCTAGTCCTCACCCTTGTGTCCGTCTGGAGGTCACAGGGCCTGGACTTGAGCAGCAGGGTGTGCACAGTCCCCACTCCTGCCCGCTGAGTCACTTGACTGAGCAGGGTCTTGGTCTGCTTTTCTCTCTGCTTGTTGAGTGGCAGTGCTTTTGTAGCTAATGATAGGGAGGGGCTGTTGAAAACCATGGTGGCAGGCTTCCGCAGAGTGGCTGGACAAAGGACCTGGGGTCCTTTGGGTCTGGGCAGAGGGGAGAATGACACAGCCCAAAGCTTAGGAGTGTGAAGTCCAAGCCAGCATTTTTTTCTAAGTCCTCACCAGCTCACTCAAAGCAGAGTATGCGTCGGAATCCACTTGGGCTTCGGTCTGCCTTCCCAGTGACTGGCGAGTTGCGAGCAAAATCCTGGATCCTGGGCTCTACTCCAGCATTTCTGCTCCAGCAGGTGCGGGTTGTGGCCCAGAAATCTGTAATTGTAATGAAATCTATCAGGCAAAGCCAGACTTGGAAGACATCTTGACCTTTTACCACTCCTTCCACTCTTTGATTCTCCACACTGAACCTCAGGTTGTGAGTCGGGTGGCACAGACAGCCCCTGTCCTAACTGATGAGTAACCTGGCAGAACCCACGTGTTTCTCCAGCCATGTGGCTGACAGATACAGTTTGAAAGTCTGGTGTGGAATGCTGTTACTAGTTCCACTTGAATTTTTGGAATAGAAAATGCACTGATATGACTCACATTGAACAAGAATGAAGAAGGGTGGGAGTTTGGCCCCATAGCTGAGGCACTGGTTAGGAGACCAGCATCGCCAATTGGAGTGCCTAAGTTCAGTTCCTGGCTCCTGTCCCCAGTCTCAGCCGCTAACTGATGCATACGTTCAAGGAGGCAGCAGGTGATTCTTGAGGGGTCCCTGCTCCCCATGGGAGAGACCCGGTTCAGTTCCCTGTCCCCAGCTTCAACTGGATTCAGGCTTGGTCTTCGTGGACATTCGGGGAGTAAACCGGAAGATGGGAACGTTTCTCTCTTCGTTTCTCTCTCTTGAATAGATTTGTTTTAAGTTTAGAAAATAGAATGAAGTATCTTAGTCCTACCCTGCCCACACTGCTCCGTTCTCTTCTCAAGCAAGACATGTTGTTAGTTTTTTTCTGTATCTGAACACTTTAAAATTTTATATATAATTATGTTTTTAATTAGCATACACATATTTTACTTTAAAATTTTGAGAGGCACAGTGTTCCCATCCCCTTCATCGAAGCCAGGACTTGGACCAGGCCAGAGCCAGCAGCCAGGAACCCAGTCCAGATCGCCCACATGGGTTGGTGGGAAGAACTCGATCAGCCAAGCCATTTCCACTCTGTCCCGAGCGAGAAATAGGAGTTAGGAGGGGGAGCCAAGGACTGAGCCTAGGTACTGTGATGTGGGGTGTAGAATCTTCACCTGTGCCTTAACCACTAAGCTGGACGCTTGCCCCAGTTCACCTGTACTTGAAGTGCAAGTGTGATTTTTGATTCTGTTGACCGAGTTGTACAGCCATTACCTCAATCTAACTTTGAAATATGTTTTAATGACCTTAGAATGAAGCAGTGAACACACGTAACCTGTCACTTTCGCTCTTCCTCTAGCTACCCTCCCCTGAGCTCTAGACAATCCCCGACCACTTTCTGTTTTGTATTATGTGTGGTTTTCCTTCGTGCTTCTGCACGACTAGCTGCAAACTGGCTGTATTCTGCACCCTGCTTTTCTCATCCGACATTGTATTACCATCACGGGGAGTGTTTGCCATCAGGAGGCAGGAAGGAAGGTGTGCCCACACAGACTGGCTGTGTCCGCCTTGGCTCCTGGGAGCTGGGGCAGCTGCAGGAACCGGAAGTTCATGACCACGCTGACTGCCTTTCTTTGGCTTCTGTGGGCAGCCTCAATGCCGGCCAGGCAGAACCATCTCTCATCTGTGTTCTTTCTGTGTTTAGAAACTCATCGCGTATGGGCACATCACGGGCAATGCCCCCGACAGCGGTGCCCCGGGAAAGCGGCTCATCGACAGGATTGTGGAAACCATTTGCAATTGTTTCCAGGGCCCTCAGACTGATGAAGGGGTTCAGTTGCAAATAATTAAGGTATTTCTGTTTGTTTTCCTGGCTTGGCTTTTCAGTCAGAAGGCTGCAGCAGTCTAGCTTACCCTGTGTTCAGGCCCCAGGTGATGCTGGGCTGGCGCAGAACAAGTTAAGTATCGCTTAGCTCTTTGGTTAAACGTCAGAATGTATTAACTGTATTAACGTGGACAGAGACAAGAAGAGCAGAACCAGGAGTGTTTATAAAGTTAGTGGTTCCGCTAATAGCGATACAAGTCACTTGTGAATTAAATAGGCTTGAAATCCTATGGGTTTTTTCTTTTGTTTTGTTTTGTTTTTTTCTCCCTTGAAATGTTGGGTTCCCAGCCTGTCACTGGTCAGGAGGTCTTCAGTCCCCTACTGGAGCCTGGAAATGGCTTATCAGCGAGCAGCATCAGAACATCTGTGGCCAAGTTCTGAGTATGTTGGCTTTATGAAGGATGGCTATGTGTGTTAGCTGCACCTTTCTTTTTTCTTTGCTAAAATTTTTGAATTATTTTATCTGAGAGAGAGAGATGGTGATAGATACAGATGAGCAGGCCTTTCACTTGCTGCTTTCCCTCCCTGGGTGCCGTCAGCAGAGGGGCCCAGGAATCCGAGCCGGGTCTCCCACCAAGGGGCAGCGAGCCCCGTGCTTGAGCGTTCACCTGCCATCTCCCAGACTGCACATCAGCAGGAAGCTGGATGTGAAGCAGAGGAGTCACATCGCTGACCGGCACGGGTAGCATAATGTGCTGTGCCACAAGTCCTGCCCCGTGGATTGCTGAATGCCTGCCCTGACTGCAGCTTTCCTGAAACGCCGCCTCCCACCAGGCGCTGCGCCTGGGAACCCCGGGCACCGTGTGACTGCCAGGGGAGCTCAGGGTACAGCACATGTTCTCCCTAGAGAAGCATCTTTTCCTTCCAGGGTTTTCAGTCCATAGTAACATTCATATGTTGGACTTTTACCAAAACAAGGCAATAGGAAGCCCATTTCAACACAACCAATTTCTAACGATCTGGGTTTTATGGAGTTAGTAATTGTTTTTAAACGCGCAGCACTGGGAAGCTGGCTGTTGGTAGCAGTCACCCAGTTTAGTGTATAGGACAAAATCAAACCCTCCAGAAGTTTCTTCAGGGGAGGGCAGAAGGGGGATGGGTGTTGGAGGAGCTGAAGGTTTCTGGTTTCTGTTTTAGGCCCTGCTGACGGCGGTGACTTCTCCGCACATTGAAATTCATGAGGGCACCATCCTGCAAACAGTGCGGACCTGCTATAACATCTACCTGGCCAGCAAAAACCTCATCAATCAAACCACCGCCAAGGCCACCCTCACCCAGATGCTAAACGTCATCTTCACCCGCATGGAAAACCAAGTGGTGAGTGACAGGTGACAGCTCCTGGAGCCACTGGGGGCGGGACACCCTGGCAGCCCTGAGTTGTTGTGCGTGGCCTCGGAGCTGCTGAAGATCTGGCACTTCAGCGTTTACCCTGCTTTCTGTGAATATTCGTTCCTGTGCCTTGGTCATGTTTTCAAACCGGAGAACATCGGGCAAGGGGTTTATCATTTGCGTTGGGAGTTCTCTTTGAGTTTCTCAAAGGAATATATTTCCTGTTTTAAAATTTTTTTTTTTAAAGATTTTATTTTTATTATTTTTTCATTGGAAAGGTGGATATACAGAGAGGAGAGACAGAGAGGAAGATCTTCCGTCCGATGATTCACTCCCCAAGTGAGCGCAACGGGTCGATATTATGCCGATCCGAAGCCAGGAGCCTCTTCAGGGTCTCCCACGCGGGTGCAGGTTCCCAAAGCTTTGGGCCGTCCTTGACTGCTTTCCCGGGCCACAAGCAGGGAGCTGGAAGGGAAGCAGGGCTGCCGGGATTAGAACCGGCACCCATATGGGATCCCGGGCGTGCAAGGCGAGGACCTTTAACCACTTGCGCCACCGCGCCGGGCCCTCCTGTTTTAAAATTTTATCCTTTTGATTGAGGTTTTTTTTTTTTTTGGTTTTTTTTTTTTTTTAGGCAGTAGGCTGGCATGTTTTTCCTCCTCACCAGAATCCTGGAATTGTTTTAGATTAAATGACTTCCTTGTTTCCTTTTAGTTGCAGGAGGCCAGAGAATTGGAAAAACCAGTCCAGTCGAAGCCCCAGTCCCCGGTGATCCAAGCCGCAGCAGTGTCCCCCAAGTTCAGTCGCTGGAAGCAGAGTCAGGCACAAAGCAAACCGACCACTCCAGAAAAGGCAGATCTAACCAACGGGGAACACGTCGGGGACGGTTCCGGAAGAGTGGGCTCCGAAAACGGCGACACACACAGAGACAGAGCCGTGTCACTCTCAGGTACGGTAGTGTGTCATGAGAGCCATCATCCTGTGGCCCAGGGACCAACGAACAAGGTGTTGGGGACTGCTGGCGCAGCTCTTCTGTTCCTGGCCTTCCCCACGACTTCCTGTCCACTATCTTAAGGGACACAGCCAGCAAGACATGATGCGGTACACTAGTGTCTGTTGTGGCCTGTGTCTGGCCACTGCTCCCTCGTGGTGGCCTCCGTGCTGGGGGCTCCGTTTTGGGGATTCAGCTTCGGTGACGTCATCCCGTGTCTGTCTGATCTGTGCACAGGAGGACAGGGGCTCACTTATACTTCTTCTTCCAGATCTCTACCTTGTCTAATGCCTGGCAGCTGGAGCCGCTCAGATCCTGGGAGGAGTCAGAGGTGGGTGGGTGGATAGATGGCAGAGGGCAGGCGCTTTTGTGTTCTTCTGAAGCCAAGTACTTCACTTGTTTGGGTTTGCTTGTGTTAAAGGAAAGAATGTCCCACACCTGATTGTAGTTTTGAAGTAAAAGGGGATTGCCTGAGATTGTGGATGCTTTTGGCACAGATGATTTCTGAATGCTTGCCTCTTCTGAGGAGTTGCGATGAAGCAGAATCAGAATTCTTGGTTTTTTTTTTTCCCAGAAACTTGCAGATTACTTTTTTCTAATATATTTATTAAAAAAAAGAAAAAAAGGAGAGTGGTTTGTTACTTATTTGAAAGGCAGAGTCAGAGGGAGAAATTAGCAATGTGTTAGAGTAGCTTTCCACTCAAGCCTGTTGTCCTGCACTGACGCTGCTCTCCTCTCATTACTGACCCTGTTCGTGCTGGGTCCCCTGCTCGAGTACATGCACGTGAGCAGCTTTTACTGTTAATTTACCAGAGTGCTCGGTCTGCATTGAAACAGGCCACGCGTAGTTACTGGAATGCTGTCCCGTTTCCATTTACTCAGAGCCGTGTGTGTCTCAGGTTGGGAACGTGTGGATGCGTGCTGATATCCCTGCGCCGCCCGTGTCTCAGGGTGAGCGGCACGTGGACGTGGGTGGTCGTGTGCTCACCCCTCCCTCCGTGTCTGCAGGAAGACGCCCGGACACCTGTGGCCGTCCTGCACACCTGTCATCACCTTTGCCTTTGTGTTTTTGTTTGCTTGTTTGTTTTTACCTGGGAGGTTCTTTATTCCAGAGGGATAGGGATGGGAGCAGAGGGGGAGAGAGAGAGAAGGGGAATGTCTCCTGCCAGTGGGGCAGGAGCGAACTAAAAGGAGAAAGGAACAAGATGAAGGAAGTTTGGGGGAGAAACTGGGCCGGAAGCCACAGCACATGCATGGGGAGAGAGAAGAAAAGTCCATCTTGCAACCCTCCAGGGCGAGAGCCATGTTTTTACCATAACACTCATTGAGCTGTGGGCAGCCATCAACATTAATTTTTAAGCGCATGGTCGTGAGCAAAGCTGTGCAGGCAGGAAAGCAGCTCCCTCTGGACTGCCTGAAAGTGGTTTGGCCCTAGCCCACTTTCTGCAGAACTGCCAGGGTGATCTTCGCGAAGTCTGGATTCTGTCGTGCTCCTCCCCAGCTCGGATGCTTTGGTGATTGTGTGTCCCACCCATGCCCACTCGGCCCCCTGCTTCCAAGCCCTGTTGGGGCAGGGTCCCCGTCCACCCTGCCGCCTGCTTCTTGCACCTCTTGTTTGCTGCATGATGCACAGGCATTCCTGGCTCCCAGAAGTGCCCTGCTGGTTGCGGCCTCAGTGCCATGCTGTCTCTTCTCCTGCCCCTCCCCCGATCTTCACAGCTCCCAGTTTACACTGAGTAAGACTTCCCTGATGACCTGGTAATTCTCATGTTTGTCTTCCTTTGTTCCCCCCTCTTTTTTTTTTTAAGATTTGTTTATTTATGGGTGTTCAACACAGTGGCTCAATTAGCTAATCTACCTGCAAATGCTCCATCTCATGTGGATGCTGGCTTGTGTCCCAGCTGCTTCACTTCCCATCCGGCTCCCTTCTTATGGCCTGGGAAAGCAGCAGAGGACGACCCAGAGCCTTGGGACCCTGTACCTGAGTGGGAGGCCCAAAAGAGGTTCCTGGATCGGATCAGCTCAGCTCTGACCATTGCGGCCACTTGGGGAGTGAAACAGTGGGTAGAAGATCCTTCTCTCTCTACTTCTCTCTGTAGGTCTACCTTTCCAATAAAAATAAATAATATATATGTAATTTATCTATATATATATAAAATTTATTTATTTGAAAGGAAGAATTAGATTGAAAGAAGGACAGACCCGCAAATAATCACAGCAGCTGAGGCAGAGCCATGCCATGCCATGCCATGCCAGGAGCCAGTAGCTTCAGTCCTGTCTCCCACCTAGGAGCAGAAGCCTAAGTTCTTGGGCCATCTCACTGCTTTTTTCTGGGCCATTAGCAAGTAGCTGGATCAAACGTGAACATGAACTGTCATGCACACAAAGTACCAGCATTGCGGTAGCGCTTGACTGGCTGCATCTCACCACTGTCTCCTGTCACTTATCACTGCCCCAAATTGTGGAAGTAGTTACAGTTCTGGCCTAGCCCTGAGCCTTTAGTTCCCCTGTGTGCTCAGCACCTAGAAATGCACTTCCAGTAAACAGCGCAGTTCTTGAATAAATAGAGGAAAAACATGATTTCTAAGTACCAATTTGCAGAAGCAATAAGCTGAAATTCCACTGTAATGAAAATGATTGGTAGTATATTGCTGTGAATTTTTATTTTATGTATTTTATTTATGTATTTTCTTTGGAAGTCAGAATTACAGAGAGAGTAGACCAGAGACAAACATCTTTTATCCGTTGCTTCACTGCCCAAATGACTGTGATGGCCAGAGCTAGGCCTGTCTGAAGTTGGAAGCCAAGAACATTTGAACGTCTCCCCTGTGGGTGCAAGGGCCCAAGGACTGGAACCATCCTCCACTGGCTTCCCAGACCACAAGCAGGGCGCTAGATCAGAAGTGGAGCAGCCAGGACTCGAACTAGCACCCATATGGGATACTGGCACTGCAGACAGGATTAGCAGAATATGCCATCCTGCAGGCCCCTATGGTGAACTTTATTGCCAGCATTTAGTGCATCTCTGGAGGCTCCTCCCCGACCCTGCAAGAATCCAACTGCAGACTTGCAAATGGTGGATCTGATGGGTGTGCCATCACAAGTAAGCAGAGTGAAAGGGCCAAGTGTCTGACGGTTTTGTCTCCTGTGGGAGGGCTTGGGTTCCTTACCCACCTCTGGCCTCAAAGGCCAGCTTCTGTTCACATGGACCGTAGGAAGGCAGCAGTGATGGCTTCGTGGTCGGATAAGACCTGCAGTGAGTCCCTGACTCATGGCTCTGGTTGGTCTCTGCCCTAGCTGTTGTTGGCATTTGGAGAGCAACCCGGCAGGTGGAAGCTCTCTCTTTTCCTCAAATATGTAAATAAAAAGTAGAATAAAGAGGATCAGACAGCTGCCAGTTCTCAGCATTTGGCTCTAGAGAAGGAGTGTGTCCTTTAGAAGAGGGAGTGAGCTGCCCTCTGGAAGCCCAAGAGGAAGAGCAGCCCAAGAGACAGGTGAAGTGGGGGGAGTTGGGAGGTGCTGCACACAGCTGTGGCTCACACAGCCCTCTGCTGCAGCAGACACCAGCTGGGCCAGGTGCGTGCTCCCGCCTGCTGACTCAGCACTCATATCTGTTTTGTTTAATTAACAAGGAGCCTCCCACAGCTTCCCCTTGTAATTTGTGTCAGCGGGGAGGATTTCTTTCCCTTTAGCAGTTTCTCATCCCAGTTTGATGAACTCACAGTCACTGAAAGTCTTAGCAGGCTGTGTGAGGAAGTGGATAGGACTGCTGCTTGTGAACCAAGGCAGGCAGACATTTGAGCCTCAGGTGTCCTGGCTTGTATCACCTTTGAGCTCAGCCAACCAGCCATTCCTAGGGGAGCCCACGCTTTATCCATTTGCACTCCCCTGGTTTCCCTGCTTTTTTTCCTACCCCACCCCCCCCCCTTTTTTTTTAGCTTTCCTTGAGCTCTGATTCCCAGCCCACACATTCTTCTATTTTGGAGGTATAGTTCTGCAGCAGTCATCACCCTCCACTGGATCTCTGCCCCTTTGAGCAGTTACTGCCTCATTTTCTTATTGGAAAGGTAGACTTACAGAGAGAGGAGAGACAGAGAGAAAGATCCTCCACCTGCTGCTTCACTCCCCAAGTGGCTGCAAAGGCCAGGGCTGAGCCCATCCGAAGCCAGGAGCCAGGAGCCTCCCTGGGTCTCCCATGTGGGTACAGGGTCCCAAGGCTTTGGGCCATACTCTGCTGTTTTCCCAGGCTATGAGCAGGCAGCTGGATGGGAAATGGAGCAACCAGAACTTGGACCGGCACCCACATGGGGTCCTGGGTGTGCAAGGCAAAAATTAGCCACCTAGCCATCGCGCTGGACCCAGCTGTTAGCATTTTGATGTTCCTACAGGTAATGTATAGAATTGTCTGATTATGCAGTTCTTAACACAGCTTTGTTTTTTGCTTTTCATTCTTGAAAAGGAAAACACCCACTCTTAAATGCAGTGAAACAGAGTTATCTTCTCTCAGCCCATTCAGAAGTTCTGATCGGACAGTCTAGATTCAGATCCTGGCAACTTGCAGTAGCTTTGTGATGCTAAGCAAGATGTTTAATGAGATGGAGAGTCAGTTTCCTCTTATGTGAAAGGGATGTACAACTGGTACTTGAAGGTTTGAATGTATGAGTTATTATTTAGATTTCAACTAAAACTATGTTGATTCAAAAACAGGACATATTTCAGACAGTAATCAGATGTGTGTGTGATAGGAGGGTGCGGTAGGCTGAGCTGAGCTTGGCTGTTTTTCGTGTTAATCCCAAATCTGCTTCAGAAGTTTCGTTATTTTTGTTTTGTTTTGTTTTTAACAGAAAGAGGAAGAAGTTTCAGATGGACACTTGATAAAAATAACCGAGTGCGCTGTTGCTCCTTCTGACTTCCGGCAGTCTGGGCAGGAGCAGAAGCCCAGCGGCTCTTGAGTGCTTTGCTTTGCAGTGCTCTGCTTAGCTGCACCATGGGGACTGGGAGTCGCCTAATGTGTCTCCTGCCAGAGGGCCCTGTGTGCTCATGGCTGGAACATGTCCCAAAGAGCCTTGCTCTCTGGTTTTTCCCTTTAGTGCTCTTCTGGGTGAGTGAGTGCTCTGACTCACTGGACACACTCAGACCTGTTCCTAGGAAACAAGGCGTGTCACACTTCATTGTCACCATCTGTTAGCCCCTGCTGCTCTAGCCCCCCCTCCCCCCCTCATGATGACTTCCCTGGCCCCGTGGCACTTAATGAGATTTGCTCACTTACTGTTCCCGGGATTAAGATAAAGATCTGTGTTGTGGACAGCGATGTGTTCCAGATCCCGGACGGTGCCAGGCAGGCACTGGTTTTGATGATTGAATTATGCGTGGTTGCTGTTGCTGCGTCCTCTGCCCCATCGCCCATGATCCCTGCCTCCCTCCTGTGGACAGGGACCTGGGAGGGCATGGCATCCAACTCCGATTTTCCAAGTTGTTCTAGGTGTGTGACTTCATCACCAGGGTTGGCCTTGGTGCAGGGTGCTTCCAGTTTGTTCCAGGAGGGAAGAAGGGAGAGGAAAGGCCGCAGAGCAATGCTGGAGGCTGTAACCCCACCCCGGATCCCGCCCTTACCCAAAGGTGGCTAGGATTCAATCATATGACCCCTCTTTCTGCAAGGAAAGCTGTGAAATGCAGGCACATTCCCTTCCAACATGACATCATGGATCTGTGAGGAGGGCAGAAGGCTGTTAGGGAGGGCTCTGGGCATACCTGCTACTGGGCACGGGGTCTTCTAGCTGGCTGGGACAGCAGGGACATTTCCTGTCCAAGCCTGCTCAAGGTGACCATCTTACTTTTCCTGGAGACAGAATCTGTGGAACCTGTGGGGTCTGGGGGCTCCACAGCAGGTCCGATGCTTTCCGAACTTGCTCTGCTTGCTCCATTCAAGTGCTTGGGTTAATTTGGCTATCATTTTCACGGGCTGCATAAAAGTTTGACACAACAGATTTGCCATTAGTCAGCAAGAGCAGTTGTCCTGCATGGGGTGGGGGAACAAGTCCTGCTGCTTCTTCCCCATGAGCATTCTTTGGGACCCCACAGCTCCTCTGCAGAACATTCTGTGAGAATTAAGGCTTCCTGACCCATCGTACTGTTGTGTTTTTTTGTTTGTTTGTTTGTTTGTTTGTTTTTAAGAACATTTTGGTTTTGCCCAGGCTCTATTGCGGTTGCAGCCTGGGTCTTGAGAACCTGCTGAACAGAGTGAGGAAGATGCTGCTTGTAGCACAAACCAGAGCTCCTGCGGCTCCTGAAGGCAAAAACTACAGTGAGGACAGCGGAACCCTTGCTGAATAGAGATTTTTCTTTTTCTCAGGACCAAAAGATAGTGATGACTTTCACAGATGTTACTTTTAGTGTGGCTGGTTGAGAAAGTTCATGATTGACTCAACCTGCAGGACTGGGCACATGACGGAGGAAGCAAGCTTCTCTGCTGAGGCCCTCACAGAGCCTTCTCATAGGCGCCCGCTGCACCACAGCCCCGCAAAACTCAGCTGTGAGCACTCGCTGTTTCCAGGCACTGACTTGAATGCATCCTGTGTCAGAGAGGACTTGAGAAGGTGTGGGAGATGACATTAAAAGCCGTGTTTGTTTTGGGGCTGGCATTGTAATATAATGGGTAAAGCTGCCGCCTGCAACACCAGCATCCCATTTGGGATCCTGTTTGTGTCCTGGCTGTCTCCCATTTCCGGTTCAGCTCCTTGCCAGTGACCTGGGAAATACAACAGAAGATGGCTCAAGTGCTTGGACCCCTGCCACCATATGGGAGATCCAGATGGTGAAACTCCTGGCTTCACTGTGACCCAGGACAAGCCACTGAGGCCATCTGGGGAGTGATCCAACCAACGGGAGAACTTTCTATGTGTTTCTCCCCCCTCTCTCTGTAACTCTTAACTTTCAAAGTAAATAAATAAATTTATTTCTTCAGTTGAACAAGTTATAGAGACAGAGGGAGAGACAGAAAGGGAGAAATATTCTATCAGTTGGTTCACTCCCTAGATGCCCAAAGTGGCCATGGCTGAGCTGATCTGAAGGCAGGAGTTTCATCCGGGTCTCCTATTTGGGTGCAGGGACCCAAGCACGTGGATCATCCTCCCTGCTGGTTTCTCAGGTCATTAGCAAGGAGCTAGATTGAAAAGTGGAGCGCTAGGTCCAGTGCAGTAGCCTAATAGCTAAAACCCTTGCCTTCAATGTGCCAGGATCCCATATGGGTGCCAGTTTGTGTCCCAGTGGCCCCACTCTCCATCCAGATCCCTGCTTGTGGCCTAGGAAAGCAGTTGAGGACAGCTCCTGGCTTCAGATCAGCTCAGCTCCAGCTATTGTGGCCACTTGGGAGTGAATCATTGGATGGAAGATCTTCCTCTCTGTCTCTCCTCCTCTCTGTGTGTCTGACTTTCCATATAAATAAATCTTTCAAGAAAAGTGGAGCATATGAACTAATGTTCTTATTAGATGCCAATTTTGCAGGTGAGTGCTTTTCTGCTATACCACCACCCCTCCAAGTTCTGTTTTTATTCACTTGAAAAGCAGAGTGAGATGACTGATCCATCTTCCATCCACTGATTCACTCCGCAGTGACTGCAGCCTGGGTGCAGAACTCTATCCGGGTTTCCCATGTGGGTGTCGGGGGCCCAGGTGCTCAGGCCATCCTCTGCCACTTTCCCAAGCGCATTAGCAGGAGAAGAGAAGCAGAAGCAGAGCAGCTGGGAACCACAGCCATGTTCAGATATGGGATGCTGCTAGTGTAAGCAGCACTTCACCTGTGCTGCCATAGCACAGATCCTTCTCATGCTCTTAAATCATCTGACCAGTGTCTCCCACTTTTCGTATTCCTAGCATTTTATTTTCTTTATTCTTTAATTTATTTATCTGAGAGGCAAAGAGAAAGAGCTCCTATTTTCTGGTTCGTTCCCTTAATGTCATTAGTGGCTGGAGCTGAGCCAGAGCCAAGAGCCAGGAATGCAGGCCAGGCCTCCCACGTGGGTGGCAGGAATTCCATTGCCTCCCTGGGTCTGTGTTGGTGGAAAGCTGGTGTGAGCGCAGGGATTCCCGACCAAGCTCCCGTTGTGGACATGTTACTTTCTTATTCACTGCAGAGGAGCAGTATCAGTCCAGTGTGGTGGTACTAAGGGCTGTCCTGGAAGGGAGACCCTCATTGGGCGTGGTGAGCACTGAGGCAGCAGGGCATCCACGAGTGCTCCGGATGCTGGCTGAAGAAGACCGCTGCTGGTGTGGCCAGGGTTACCACGTGGTCGAATTCTTTAGCTAGAAGCTAGATCTGGCTTTTCTTCTTTTTCTGTTCTTCCTTTCTTCCTCCATCTCTGCCTCCCTCCCTCCCTCCCTCTATTATCTCTCTCTCTCTCTCTCTCTCTCCTTTCTTCCTTCTATCCTCCCTCCCTTCCTCCCTCCCTCCCTTCCTTTCTTCCGTCTTTCTTTTTAGTTTCTGAGTATATAAATGTTGATAGCTAATTCAGAAGTCTTAAAGAGTCAGTACGGGAAAATGATACATTCTGTAGGCCAGGTGACAGTCACCTGTCAGTCACTATGTGTTAGCTTCTGGGTTCACTCTCTGGGCTAGTAGCATCTTGGAAAAAAAATGAGTGGATGTTTCCTGTGTTTGAGTGTGAACAGGCCATGTTGTCAGGTCATGTTGTCAGTGGAATGGACACTACGGATTGGAAACTCACCAAATTTTTCTAACTTGTAGCATCAGAGAAAGTTGAAACAGGATGGGAATTCTTGGAAATATTTGGTCAGATGTTTGCCAGATCAGATGAGATGATTTTAGGTGATTCATAGGTGAACAGTTTTGATCTTAATCATGGCACATTTATTTTAAAATACATTCAGGAAATATAATTAGAACATTCAGAATTATTTTGCAGATTTAGTTGCTTACGATGAGTTAGCTTAAAGAGCACCGTGCAGTGTACGTACGTAACGCAGATGGTAAGTGGTACATTTGAATGGCACGGATTGTGAAGGTGATAGGGCAGTGACGTAGCAGATCCAGCTCATTGGTTTTGGTTTTGCACCCTAACCACAGGCACAATCTTTTTACCAGTTGGTATTAACAGGCACAGCTGGAGGATATCCAGCTCCATCCCCTAAGTCAGAAGCCGTGGGGAGTTCCTGGACCAAGCATCTGGGCTGGAGAGGTGGCAGGGCCATGCCCAGGGCCTTGTGTGGGCCCCCAAGCAGACCTTGACAGCACAGCAGGTGCTGTGTGAGGCTTTTCAGGTTTCTGGGGGTGTCGTCTGCCATAGCATGGGGCTTGTAGCCTCTGCCCTCGGAAGCAGGACTTCGGAGGAACACTGCTGTAATCTTCTTCCTTTCCTTTGTCTTCCCTGGGAATGTCCCCGTGTGTCCTTGTACTTGGCTGTGCGTGGTATAGGCCTGGAGGATGGAGCCCAGGAGGTGGTGAAGGACATCCTAGAAGACGTAGTCGCTTCAGCCGTGAAAGGTAAGAGGCGAGGATAGCCCAGCCCCTCCTGCCCAAATGCGTTAATCCCAGAGACCCCTCTTCCCAGCCCGGTGAACCTCCGGAAACTGAGGGGTTTCAGGAAGCACCTAGGTTTCAGGATTGATTCTGTTGTCATCAGGTTGGGTTTGTAGAACACAGTCTGGTTGCTCGATGGAGACGTGAGGGCCACTGTTGGCCCTCCAGAGCAGGGGTATGCCGGTTCTCCCAGAGTGAGCCCTGGGCCCTGTGATCTGCTCTGTTGCTGGTGAGTTCTCACAGCCGGCCCTTGGATGTCAAACTTCAGTCATAAGTCTCTCAGTGTCATGTTGTGGTTTCAAGTGGAATTAAAATTGGATGGCTCCGAGTGACGATTAGATGGTGTTTTCTTTGTCTTTGCTGCATTATCTCAGCTCAGTGATTTAGTGTTGAACACTTGATTCCAGTGCCAATAGACCACTAATTGCGTGAAAAGGAAGACTTTGTGGGTTACAATCAGTATAGTTAAATGAAAGGAGAAAACAAGAGTGCAGGTAGTCCGAGTGTTTCACACAAGGTGATGGTAACTATGTGAGTGCCATTGCCAGTGTTAGCAGTGTCAACAAATTCTGTATATGCTGAGGCACATTTTAAAAAAAGATTTTTTATTTATTTATTTGCAAATCAGAGTTAGTGAGAGAAAGGGAGAGATTTTTTCCATTTAGTGGTTCACTCGCTGAACAACCACAGTGGCTAGGGCTGGACCAGGCTGAAGCCGAGATCCTGGAATGGCGCTCGGGTCTGCTCCGTGGGTGCAGGGTTCCAAGCGCTCAGGCCATCCTCTGCTGCACTCCCAGGCTCATGAGCAGGGGGCTAGATCGGAAGTGGAGAAGCCAAGTCTTGAACCTGTGCCCAAACGAGATTCTGACGTACACAGAGGCTTTTTACCCACCAGCCATAATGTCAAGGGGAGGGGAGGAGGAGGGTGTTGTGTGCAGTTTAAAAAAATTTTTTTTACTAATATCATGATTCAGAAGCCAATTTCCTAAGCCCTGTTTGCTTCTTCAGCTTAGGGTACCACAAACTGTAGGTGGATTTTATTTTTTTTCTTCCCTGTGGAAATAGCTTTAAGATAGAATATTTTTGTTTCGTGCCTTTTGTTTTGTTTCTGGATGGCTTTATGAGACGTCATCTCATGATGGAAGCTTGTCCTGGATGCGGTTGCACACTTGCTCCCTGTCATAGGGTCTGGTGTATAGCAGGACTCGCTAAACATTTGTTGCATGAACGTGTACTATGTGAAACTTACTGATTTTAATGCTTATTAAATCTCTCAAAGCTGTTTGTCTTTGAAGATCCACATAATAAATGCCACTTAGAGTTTTATTGTTCTGTTAGTGAACAACTGCACTTTCCTTTATTAAATGATGAACGCTATAATTCCTTTTAGAATTCTTTCCTTTTTTCATGTGGCTGGCCAGGAAGCGCAGGTCTACATTTTTCTTTGTAATTAATGTTTTTTGTCATAAGTTGCTCTTCTTTAATTCCAATAGTAACAACTGTGTAAAAAAAAAATGTGCTTCAGATGTTCAGTAACTTCTAATCATTTTCAGTTGAAACTGTCTGGGGTGGGCAGGGTTGCTGCAGTGTACTGTTTCAGGGGCGCATTGGCCTGGGTGGTAGTAAGAATGGAGTCCCTGGAGCGGGCCATGCATGCTGTGGCCCCAGCAGTGTGCTGTGGATAAGAAGCAAGCATCCCAGTGGCCAGTTCTTTCTCCGTGTTGGATCAGTCCTGGGGCAGTAGCGGTAGCAGGTGGGTGGTCGGGTGAGCTATGGGCTCAGGCAGCCACCAGGGCACGAGCCAACTGGGTGATGACTGCTGTGCTTGTGTTTTCAGAAGCAGCGGAAAAGCATGGTGTGACAGAACCCGAGAGGGGCTTGGGAGACCTGGAAGGCCAGGACAGTGGCGGTCCCCCCGGGGTTGATGAGAACTCACAGACCAACGGCATCGCAGACGACAGGCAGTCCCTGTCATCAGCAGATAACTTGGTATGTTGGCGACTCTGTCCTCACTCATGTCTGTCGTAACCTTCTTGAGGGCTGCATGATTGATCGCTGTCAGGAGAAGTGAGAGACGTCTCCCCTGGTCAGTGTTCAGTAGGCGTCATCCTGGGCTCTCACTTCTTGGAATGTGTTCAGTTTGGTTGGTGTTACGTTGTGATTAAATCCTGTTTACCCAGAATTTTTAAAAATTTGAATTTCTGTCCATTTCCTTCTTTCAGAATAACATGCAGTCATTATGGGAAAACAGAAAAATCTAGAACAGGCTTTCCTCTCTAGTTGGAAAGTCAGTATATGAGGGAAAAGTTATTCCGAGTCTCATAACCCAAAACTCACCCCGGTAACATTTTATGTAGATTCTTCTAGATTTTTCTACTTCTGACATACTGACATATTCCTCCATTTTTTTTAAGATTTTTCTTTTTATTTGGAAAGTCAGATATATAAAGAGAAGAAGAGACAGAGAGAAGGTTCTTCCATCTGATGATTCATACTCCAAGTAGCTACAACAGCCGGAGCTGAGCTGACCCGAAGCCAGGAGCCAGGAGTTTCTTCCAGGTCTCCCACGTGGGTACAGGGTCCCAAGGCTTTGGGCCATCCTCCACTGCTTTCCCAGGCCACAAGTAGGGAGTTAGATGGGAAGTGGAGCAGCTGAGACGTGGACTGGCACCCATATGGGATCCTGGCACATGCAAGGTGTGGACTTTAGCCACTAGACTACCGCTCCGGGCCCATATTACTCCATTTAAGCGGAGTAACTGTGTATGTGTTGTGTAGCAACATGCTTGGTAACTTTGATGTGTACCGTTCTGTATGTCTGCCATGTTATTTTTGTAAAATGACTTCATTATACTCTTGAAATTGTGTATATCAGCATATGGAACATGGAGTCATATGACATGATTATCCAGCCAGGTCCTGCTTATCTTCCCCAAGGTTTCTCAGCCTTTGCTTCTTTTTCAAGATTTACCTTTTCTTTTTACTTATTTATTTTATTCTTTTCAAGATTTACTTTTTTTTTTTTTTTGAATGTCAGAGTGAGAAAAACCAGCGGCACCTGCTCCACTCCCTGTCCAGCTCCATGCTCATGGCCTGGGGAATAAAGTAGCACATCTTCTGTGCCTGGGCCCCTGTGCCCAGGCGGGGGACCTGCATTGAGCTCCATGCTCTTGGCTTCGACTTGACCCGGCACCAGTAGTTGGACGCGTTTGGGGTATCAATTAACACACAGAAAAGCCTGCATTCTCTCTCTCCCCGGATCTTTCTGTTGTCTGCCTCCTGTCTCTCTCTTTCAAATAAAATGAAAGCAAATAGAAGAATGTGCTTAGAAAGTTGCTCTTAAATCCACACAAGGATTTGTGTGCAGGAGGCTGGGACTTGGCCTTGTCCCCTTGACGCCATGTCACAGACATGTTTCCACACTAACTCAACTCTGTGTAATGACCTTGTAAAATCGTCCTTGGATTATCTGTTACAATCTATTGAACCGATTTCCTGTTAGGTCTCAGATGACCTAAGTTTGTCATTGGGAACAGTCTCAGTAAGCCTTCCCTACATCCTTACTTGCTTCTTCAGAATAAATTCCTGCTGGAGATAAGCGTGGGAGCAGGATTTAGAGACTTGGAAATTTTTCCTGCTTGTCGCTGAGGCAGCCGTGAAGAAGGTGTGATTCAGATTCTGGCCACCTTCGCAGGGCATTAATCACTGCTTTTCTGTTCCTGATTACATCCGGCCAGTAGCATTCAAGTGTTTGCTGGTCTGAGTGGAGAAAGATCTTGTCTTAAGTCATTGGTACTAGTCATTTAGAGGTCTTCAGAAAGTTCATGGAAAAAAATGTATTGTGAAAAAAACCGTGCATGGATTTCTCTCTCTCTCTCTCTTGCTTTTTTTTTTCTTTTGCATAAAAATAAACTTAGTTCAGAGGTCAGCCTTGTGGCAAACCCGGTTAGGCCTCCACCTCTGCCACTGGTATCCCATATGGGTGCTAGTTCTTGTCCCGACTGCTCCGCTGCTGGTCCAGCTCCCTGCTAATGCACCTGGGAAAGCAGCAGAAGGTGGCCCCTGCACCCATGTAGGAGGCCCCGAAGCAGCTCTGGGTTCCTAGCTTCAGTCCGGCCCAACCTTGGCCTTTACAGGCCTTTGGGGAGGAACCCAGTGGGTGGAAGATTCTCTCTGCCAGTGTCTTTCCTCCTCTATGATTCTGCCTTTCAAATACATTTTTTTTATTGAAAAAAAATAAGTTTAGTTAGATTTTCTGTGATCATGAGATGCTCTGTTTCCTCCTTTGGTTGGTATTATTTAACTTGGATCACTTATTTTAAACCGTCCATGCCACCTTTCTGAGGAACAAGGGCCAACGTTTGGAACCAGCTGCTGTGGCCCCCCACCCCTTAGGGCTCTCTCTTCCTCCCCTCTCCCCTCCCTGTGATGAACTCCCCATTGAAATCAGGTTTCTTGTTTTTGAAGAGTTGCCCTTTGGTGTTTCCCATCTGCTTTTTGTTTTCATCTGTTTCTAACCTCAGGAATCAGATGCACAAGGACACCAGGTGGCAGCTAGGTTCTCCCACATTCTGCAGAAGGATGCCTTCCTCGTGTTCCGCTCCCTGTGCAAGCTGTCAATGAAGCCCCTCGGGGAAGGTCCTCCGGATCCGAAGTAAGCAGACAGTAGTTTGTGGCCAACTACAGAAGCACATGCTGCCAGTTCCCACCCTCCCCTGATGTCCTGGCTCCTGGGTGGGGGGATGGTGGCAATGGTGGCAATGGTGGCAATGGTGGCAATGGCCCATAGCTTTTCCAATCCATGAAGTCCGTACAGTCCTTTCATGCTCACTGTCTGTATACCCAGTCACCAAGATTTGGCCCTGATGTGTTCTGCTGAAAATGGTCAGTGTATGTAGCTAAATACCTTCTTTAATCTCCTGATTGGGAGGTGAGAAAGGGCGGGATACCTGTGGATGCAGTTCCCTGCCCTACTTTGTAGGCACAGGTGTAAGACCAGTTTCAGCTCAGGGAAAGCAAACAGTTCTTCATAGCAAATGTGCTACTGCAAGGCTGAGGAGGGCCCTGTGGGGTGCCGACAGCAGGCTTTAGAGCCAGAGCTGTGTGTACTCCAGTTCCTCTGCTTGGGAGCAGCTCTGTGGCTGTTGGCTGAACTGCACCTGCACAGTGGGACTATGAAACATCACCTTCCAGGAATGAGTGGAAAGATGAGATGCTGTTAGCCTGAGCACAAGGTCTTGTCCATTACTAATAACCACTGTTGTTTCTGCAATTATTATTCATCGTTAATGCTAGTCTTGAGGTCTTTTATCAGGGATGCTGCCATGAGGGAAAGGCTGATGAGCATTTTCCATTTCTTAGCATCCCTGACCTTGGGGTCTTCACACGTAAAGATGGAGCAGGCAGGGGCCTAGGGCTCACGCGATACCAAGCCTGTTCCCAGGAGGCCTGCAGACGCCAGGAAGACCCAGCTCACCCCAGGGCAGGTCTCTCCTGAACAGATGCTTCTCGTTAAGTCTTAGCTCACAGGCTTCTCAGCAGAGGGCCTGCTGCTAGAGGAGCGAGACCACCTGCAGTAGTGTCCTGCCACGGTCTGTCCTCCTGCGCTCTTACTGCCCTCCGTGTTCCTTGCCAGATCCCACGAGCTGCGCTCCAAGGTGGTGTCGCTGCAGCTGCTCCTGTCCGTGTTGCAGAACGCTGGCCCTGTCTTCCGGACGCACGAGATGTTCATCAATGCAATCAAGCAATATCTCTGCGTGGCCTTGTCCAAAAACGGCGTCTCTTCGGTGCCTGATGTCTTCGAGCTCTCTCTCGCCATTTTTCTTACTCTTCTTTCAAATTTCAAAATGCACTTGAAAATGCAGATAGAGGTAGGGACTCAATTTGTGGTTGTTGTTCAATCACTCATTTCAGCTGAATCAACTGTTGGCAGCACGGTCAAGGGTTACATGGTTTACTGATTCTGCTGAGTGATAAGGAGAGCACCTTTTCATGAAAACTTTGTTTTGCAGATCTTGTACGATCTTTAGTTTACCCAAAGCTTTGACATTACAGTCTGTGCTGAGCTCAGTCTAAACATATTTGTGTGGTCTGTAAATTGAAGTCATGTGGATTATTAGTTGCTAAATTAGAAAATAATATTTCAGCTGAAAATCCACATTTCCCCTTTCTTTTGCATCCCTATGTGGCTGGGCAAGGTGGGAGCCCAGGGGTGACTTCCCACAATGGGACTGTGTGCAGCCATCCCCTCTCTGAGGGTGGATTTGATGCCGTCTCTTCCTTCTGCCCAGTCCCCTTGGCTTACTGTAGGGAGGAGCTGCCGGGCTCCTCTGTGAGCCCTAATGGTCACTGCCAGTTGTCCTCTTTGTCTTCCTGTCATACAGGTCTTCTTCAAAGAGATTTTCCTGAACATCTTAGAAACATCCACTAGTTCTTTTGAGCACAGGTGGATGGTCATTCAGACTCTGACGAGGATCTGTGCAGGTAGGTGCCCTGAGGACGCCCAGCCACAGGCAGGTTCAGCTCAGCTGTGGCTACTTCATTTGCTGAAACCCAGATTAAGACTTTTAGCCCATCTTTGTAGGGTTTAAATGATGTGTTAGGATAAGTCATGTCCCAAAAGGCTCGCTCTAACCTAGTGACTTGTCCTTTCCCACTTTTTCTGCTCTCTCATAGGACCACCAGTTCAAACTTTCTGGGACTTTCTGGGTTTTGCATTTCAAAGCCCACACCCCAGAACCCACCCCTGATCCTATCAGTCTGGGACACATGGTCACCGTACCTGTGTACCAAGCACTGTGCGTTCATCACAAAACCCAGAGCATTGGTGCTGCCCACCCTGGACCGGGTCCTGAACTGCGTTTGCATGTGCTTTACACCTTACAGTCATGGGCTTCCAACAAAGCATCCATGTGTCTGTTCTGTAAGGTGATTTCATGAGAGTGACACACTTTTAGAGGTAGATGGCATATCATTAGCCCCTTTCTGACAAGGAAGGTGAGCTGTGGAGGGGTGGGATGAAGAACCCGGGGTTACAGTTAATTGGGGGGCAGACCTGGAAACAGGACTTCTGATAGACCGTCCTGAATGAAGTGTGGCCTCCTGAGTTCTTGTCAAAAATATCTCATTTAGAGAAAATGTAACTGCTGTTTGTCTTTGTTTTCCCAGACGCCCAGTGTGTTGTGGATATCTATGTCAACTATGACTGCGACTTAAATGCTGCTAACATTTTTGAGCGCCTTGTAAATGATTTGTCCAAAATCGCTCAGGGACGAAGTGGGCACGAGCTGGGCATGACACCTCTGCAGGTAAAAATACCAAGGCCGTGCACTTACCTTGGGAACCCACTCATTTCAGGAAAGCCTGGGGTGAGCACCGCCACATGCCGGGCTCCGTCCTCGGTGCTGTGCACAGAGCGGTGAATGAAACAGAAGCTCAGTGTATGTCCTGCCCCACAAAGCAGCAGTAAAGAACTGAGTTGGCTGGTGTGGTAAGGGCTGCAGAGAACAAGAAGACAGGGACAGCAGGCAGTGCTGCAGCTGGGCAGTGGTCACTCAAAGGGCTGTTCGAGAGGCTCTCGTAGAAGGTGACATCTGAGCTGAGACCAGCTGTACGATGCTCATTGAATCGCATTTCCCTTGCCAGAGTCAGTGTGGAGAGCAGGACCCCGCACAGTTCCAGTGCAGGCAGGGGAGGTTGCCCTGTGGGGTGCTGACAAAGCCAGCAGAGCCGAAGGGCTCTGAAGGAGCAGGCCAGCCTGGTGAGCGCCTCAAGTTAGGTGCAGGGTTTTCTCTGCATGGACATTTTTCTTAGAAGAAGTTCACAGTTATCCAAAATTCACACAGTCTCTGCTGCCTCACATGCTATTCTGAATATATATATATATATTTACATATATATATTTATATATTTAGATTATCTACAACTCAGTTTCTTATTCAAGAAATGTTTTTAAAAATTGGTTGTTATTTTTATTATCAAGTAATCCTTAAAGTTTAATGTAGTATATTTGGGGTGTTTAGAGGATAAGCTATATCCAGAATCATTCATTTGCTGAATAATGTTTTATATTTTTTTTGTTTTTTAATCACTGTTTAGGACCTTATTTTTAGGACCCACGTTTTCCACTCTCTCCCTCTCTCATTCCACCCCCTCTGTCTCTCGCTCCCTCCGTTCCTGCCTGCCTTGTTTTCCATAGGAATGAATGGGAATGCTCTTCACAAATACCTGACTCCCAGATTAGGGAGGTTAGGCACACTGCCCTCTCTTCTGTGCCAGGATGTTTGTAGTGATCCCCTTCAGCCATGCCCAGGCTTTCGACAGCCCTCGATATGTGTGTCCTTGGGAACTGGTCCTCGGTCATTGTCCCTAATAGCACCAAATGTCCGTGATTGTCGCCCTGGATGTGCTGGGAGTCCCACACCTGCGTGTTATTAATGTTTCTGCTGAGTCTCCATGCTGTGCCTCTTGGTCCAACAGGAGCTCAGTCTGAGGAAGAAAGGCCTGGAGTGCCTCGTGTCCATCCTGAAGTGCATGGTGGAGTGGAGCAAAGACTTGTATGTGAATCCCAACCACCAGACCAGCGTGGGTGAGAAAGCTGCGTTTCTCCATTCCTGATGGACTACTGTTAGGAAAAGTTGTCTGGGTGTAGTTGGCTTCGAATTGAGCAAAGATTAGTTTGCTAGTCTAGTATTTTCAAGGTTCTGTTTCTCTCTTTAACTACTTTAAGATTTAAATTTTATTTTTGTTGGAAAGTCAGATATACACAGAGAAGGGACAGAGAGGAAGATCTTCCATCCACTGATTGACTCTTCATGTGGCCGCAATGCCCAGAGCTATATCGATCTGAAGCCAGGAGCCTGAAGCTTCTTCTGGGTCTCCCATGCGGGTGCCGGGTCCCAAGTCCTTGAGCCATCCTCAGTTGCTTTCCCAGGCCACAAGCAGGGAGCTGGATGGGAAGCAGGACCTCCAGGATTAGAAGTGGTCCCCATATGGGATTCCAGTACATTCAAGGCAAGGACTTTAGCCACTATACTACCACTCCGGGCCCGATTCTTTTTTCTTTTTTTAAGATTTATTTATTTTTGTTAGAAAGTCAGATATACAGAGAGGAGGAGAGACAGAGAATAAGACCTTCCATCCGCTCACTGGTTCACTCCCTAAAGGCCGCAACGGCCGCAGCTAAGCCTATCCAAAACCAGGAACCAGAAGCCAGGAGCCTCCTCCAGATCTCCCACATAGGTGCAGGGTCTCAAGGCTTTGGGCCATCTTTGACTGGTTTCCCAGGTCACAAGCAGGAACTGGATGGGAAGCGGAGCTGCCAGGATACAAACCAGTGCCCATATGGGATCCCAGCACTTGAAAGGCAAGGACCTTAGCTGCTAGGCTACCACACCAGGCCTGAAGGTTCTGTGTTTGAGCTATTTGTAAATTTTAGGAGAAGAGTAGGAAGTTATTCTCTCACTTCATTGTGACTTTTTGCCAGTGGTCTCTTTCTTGTTAGTTTGAGGCACCACTCTGATATACCAAATTCTCCTGTGTCCCGATGGCTGCTTCTTGATTTTTGACTCTATGCTGTTGAACACTTTTTCAAATTATTAAAGTTACGTACTAAATGCATTTTTGTATTTATTTGTAAGAGAAAGGGGAAGCTGTAGCATTGAGGGTCAAACTGCCGTTAATGACATCTATGTCTCAGGGGAGTGCCAGTTTGAGTCCCATATGCCCCACTGCCAACCCTACTTCCTGCTCATGTGCCTGAGAAACCAGTGGATGAACACCCAGATATGTGGGACCTTGCCACCATGTGGGAGACCTGGTTGGCGCTTCTGGCTCCTGGCTTGCCTGGCCCAGCCCTGAATGTCGCGGGCATTGGGGAGTGAATGGACCAGCAGCAGGATGACTGAACTCTCCTTATTTCTCTCTGTTACTCTGCCTTTCAAATCAATAAAATCTTTAAGAGAGCGAGACAGGCAGCAAGCACTGCCGTGAATTCAGCGTGGGCTCCTCAGGTGGTTGACAGGGACCCTGCACTTGAGCCATCACCTTTTTGTCTCGAAATGGAGAGGAGCTGCAAATCCGCGAGCCCTCGGCCCTTCTTGCCTCTGCTGCCAGAGGCCCGGGGAGCCAGACTCAGCTCCGCCGTGTGTGCTCCTCTGCCAGTTTGTTTTCCTTTGCTTTTGTATCACTGCAGGTCAGGAGAGGCTCCTGGATCAGGAGATGGGGGACGGGAAAGGCCTGGACATGGGCAGGCGGAGCAGTGTGACGTCCATGGAGTCCACAGTGTCCTCCGGGACCCAGACAGCCGTTCAGGATGACCCGGAGCAGTTTGAGGTCATCAAGCAGCAAAAGGAGATTATCGAGCATGGCATCGAGCTGTGAGTGTGCTGGCGACACGGAGGGCGACATGGAGGGCGGTGCTGGCCGTGGGTGGGCCCGGCTGAGCCAGCCGGGCAAATGAGCGTGTGCGCATGGATGTGAGCCCAGAAACCTGGATGGCTTGGTGTGGTTGGTGCGAACTTCTTCCCTTTCCAATGGGAAAAGTAAAGCAATTTAGAAAATAGAGGTGAAGACAAAGCAGGAATGCAGACATCACTCATGAAACAGCTGCCTGCAGGAAAGAAAATTGCCAGTGACCGTGTTTCTTTTTTTTAATTATAGATCAGGAAAACTTCGAGCATGCAGAAGTTTGTATTTATATTTTAAATATATATAATATATTTTTCTGAACATTTGAAAGTAATTTGTAAGCTGTCATGAGATTTTTAACTAAACATCTTTGGAAAATAATCTTTCCCCCATACAGCCATAGGGTTGGCACAATTATTAATAAGTCTTAGTATGTTTCTTTCTGGTCTTTTCCACACATGAGTGGGGACACACACTCTCTCTCTCTCTCTCTCTCTCTCTCTCTCTCCATCCCTCCCCTCTCCGTCCTGCCTGGCCTTTAGTGATTGGACAACCTCATGAGTTCAGTGTGTAAAGGTTGGAGTCACAGGATCATTCATCCACTGAGTGATTTCTCCTCATTTCTCCTTTCACCATCTGCACCTCCCCACAGCAGCTGAAGTCATCTTTTGTTTTTGTTTGTTTCAGTAGATTGGATTTTTAAAAAAGTGTTCCTTGTTTATTATCTGGCAGCATGAACGATAGAGAAGGAGGGAGAAGCAGAGTTCTTCCATGTGCTGGTTCCCTCCCCAGATGCCTGCAACAGCCAGATCTGGACTAGGCTGAAGACGCAGCCAGAAACTCCATCAGGGTCTCGTGTGGGTGCTGGGGATGCAGGTCTTTGAGTCATCTGCTAATCCCAGGTGCCTTAGCAGGAGCCTGAAATGGAAGCAAAGATGGAACTCAGACCCAGGCACTTTGCCGTGGGTGTGGACACCTCAAGTAACCTGCTACCCCAGGACACTTGCTGCTAAAGTAATTCTAAAAATGATGAGGTGTTTCCATGGCCCTGCCTAAGGCCCTTCAGTCCAGTTTGCTCTGCTCCTTTACTGACCTCGTTTCCTGCCAAAGCTCACATGGTCCACAGGATTTTCAGTCCGCTGACCACCTTCACCTCTGTTCACTGAGGTGTTCCCTGCTTGAAATGCTTGGGGCTCTTTTTCATCCCTGAGTTGGTAAAATATGTCACTCAGCAGAGGCATGCTGTAACTTTGTTACCTAAACAGATCCCGAATCAGTCTGTTCTTACCCCAAGGTGCAAAAGCTACATCCATATTTGTCTCTTGAGTCAAGGCAGTCCAAACATAGACAGACTCAATCAGTCAGAGGCTTCCAGGGGCGCTGGTGCACATCCGGGAGCCAAGCTCCTGGGATCTGTCTGCTTCACGATCCCCAGCACAGGGTTTTCATGGAGGGTTTCTTGTGGTCCAAGATGGCTGCTGGAGCTGAAGGAGTTGGCTTTGCTGAAGGATCCTACCAAGGGGCACTGGCCGGAACCTCACGTGACAATGTGCTTTGCCTAAGGGAGGACAGGAAAGTATCGTCTTTTGTTCCAGGTGGTCATGGGCCCGGCAAGTCACTAAGCTTCCATTAGTAGTAGAAAGGGGATGGATGGAAGACAGTTGTCAGACTGTTTTAGCTGGCTTGGAAATTGAGAATGGCACCAGCATTACGTGTTAAGCCACTGCTTATAATGCCAGCATCCCACATGGCTACTGGTTCAAGTCCTGGTTGCACCGCTTCCAATCCAGCACCTTGGTAATACTCCTGGGGAAGCAGCAGTAGCTAACCCAAGTACTTGGGTTCCTACACCCACATGTGAGACCCAGATGAAACTTTAACCTCCTAACTTTGGCCTGCTGGCTCAGTCATGGCTGTTGTCACCATCTGGAGAGTGAATCAACGGATAGCAAATCTTACTGCTTTTCCCTCCCTCTCTCTAACTCTGCCTTTTAAATAAATAAGTCTTTAAAAAAAATAAGGTAGAATTGTAGAATTCAGAAAAGCTAGGAAGGCACGCAGGATTTTGCTAGCTTACATGTGAGGGCTTGTTTACGGTATTCAAATACTGGCTTTTTCTACCCTCTAGATTTTGAAATCTGCAACCTGTGTCCCATCTCTTTGAAACAGATTCAACAAGAAACCCAAGAGGGGGATCCAGTTTCTCCAGGAGCAGGGCATGCTGGGAACGTCTGTTGATGATATTGCCCAGTTCCTACACCAGGAGGAGCGCCTTGACTCTGTAAGGCTGGGGCTTTAAGGGTGTCGCTGGGTTCTGTCAAGGTCCTGAGCTTGACCTTGAGATTGGGGGGCTCTGCATACTGTGTCTGTTATGCACGCCTGACTCCAACAGTCCTGCTCATCTCAGCCCAGCGTTGGCAAAAAGGGTTCTTGAAGGGAACACATCAGGTCTCTGGCGGGTGGTTACACACTCTTGTTTGGTAAGACACTGGCAGAGCTGGGAGAGTCTGTGACTGTTGAGGTGGTTTGCTGGCTCCGCCCTTCTCCAGTGTGCTTCCATTTTGAAGTCCCTCACACTGCCTGTTCTTCCTCTGTCCGTAGCAGGACATCCTGAATCTGGAACAAGTGGGTGGGTGGGCTACTTAGGAAGTCCTGTGGTCTTTCTAACCTTCCAACGTGTCGTGAGCATCTGGAGTTGAGTGTCCTGACCCTCCTCTAACAGCCAGGTCTGGGTCTGATCCATGTTTGACAGTTTATAGACATAAGTGTGTGTTTCAGACCCAGGTAGGAGATTTTCTGGGAGAAAGCACAAGGTTCAACAAGGAGGTGATGTATGCCTACGTGGACCAACTTGACTTCTGCGAGAAGGAATTTGTCTCAGCCCTGAGGACATTCCTGGAAGGTTTCCGTCTACCTGGGGAAGCCCAGAAGATCGACCGGTTAATGGAAAAATTTGCTGCAAGATACATAGAGTGCAACCAAGGGTAAGCGCTGTGCTGAGGTCTTGTCACAACGTTGCTGCTGCTGCTGTTTGCTCATCTCAGAACTCCCATCTGCAGCTGCTTGGGGTTTGTTTGATCTTCCTGTTCTGTACCAATTAACTGAGCTGCTGTTGCCTGTGTGCCAGGCCTGTGCTAAAGGATTGTCCCGCAGAAGACTTCGGAGCAACACAGTTTGTGTGCCTAGCCTACAGATAAACAGGTTGAGGATCAGAAGAGTTAAGGTCACATGACTAAAACCCATGCTGTTAGCTACTGTAAAGGAGCAATCTTAGGAGCTAAAAGAGGCATTTGGACACTTGTTTCCTAATCAAGAACAATTCTTTGATTTAATTTGTAGGATGGATATCGAGAATTTAGATTTTTCTCTGATTGTGTCCTGATAACAGGTTACAGAAATGGCTATGTTACTAATAAAGCAACTCCAAGTATGTCATTGTATCTCCAGGCATTTTTAATGGGTAGTTTTTGGTTTTGTTTTAAGATCTATTGATTTTTATTTGAAATGCAGGAGAGACAGAAGCAGAGGAAAAGAAACAGAGAAATCTTCAGTCTACTGGTGTTCTACTCCCCAGAGGGCCACAGTGGCTGGAGCTGGGCCGGTCTAAAGACAGGAGCCCGTAGCTTCTGGGTCTCCCACTTGGGTGCAGGGGCCCAAGCACTTGGGGCATCGTCTGCTGCCTTCCCAGTGCATTAGCAGGGAGCTGGGTCAGAAGTGGATCAGCTGGGACTCAAACCACTGTCCATATGGAACGTTGGCACTACAGGTGGCACCTGCTAAGCCACAGAGCCAAAGCACTGATGCTCTGTGTTTTTGTAAGATGTGGAGAGAAATAACAATTATTAGAACTCTCCTGTGTGTCAGCTGTGCTGTGTATTCTGCATGCTTTTTATTTAGTTAATGGTAAACCTGGGAGTTGTACCCCTTTTCTGCTTTTATAAGGAAACAGACTGAGAGATTGAACAGCTTGGCTATGGTCAGACGGCTAGTGAGTAACAGAGCAGGGTCTCATTCTAAGTTTCACTGAACAGGAAGTGGAGAACATGTGCAAATTCTGTGAGCCTCAGGTTGGAAGTGTCCAGTGGAAACTTTGCACCACAGTTTTGGCTCAAGGCAGTTGCAGTTTGGTGTGGTGTTCGTTGGTCCCAGTCCTCCAAGTGTGTGGCAGGCAGTCCCCAGGAAATGGCCTGGTCAGCAGAGACAGCACCTGCTTGCTGTAACCGCGTGAACATTGGAGTTCTGGAGGCGTGAAGACATATTGTTTTTATAAGCAAGTCTCCTGTGTGGGCCTGGAGACCTTGGTCTGACCTGTAAATCTCTCTTCAGATTAGACAGCTTTCCTTGTAATTCTTGAGTTTCCCCTGTTAAGGCCAGCTGGGATGGACCCCTGTAGACTCATCCAGGTTCCTGTGTTTCTTGCTTCTGGCCTAAACCAACAAAAGCACTTACTTAGTTTTACTTCTCGACCATTCAGTATTTAACTGGACACTATGAAGTGCCAATGGCCAATACCAGCGGCTTTAGGTATCTCTGTGTCTGGGATGGCGCCGAGCGGGTGCTGTTGAGGCCCGTGGGGCACTTAGCCTGGGCAGTGTCAGGAGTGCCAGCACCAAGGGAGAGCATGCTGGCATCCCTGCTCACTTGCCTCACTCTGCCTCAGTCTTTTCTAAAAAGATTGAGAGTCGCCTGGGACCTGACACACACCTTAGTTGGCGTTTTCTGGGCTGTGGGCCGTTGGTTCAGGGATGGGGAGAGAGTGAAGTCTCTCGCCTGGCAGGGTTCTGCACGCGTGTGCCCTGGGAGCGGACCGGCCCTGCCAGTGTTGTCCTTGCAGCCATGGCTGTGTGAGTGCTCATTCCCGGTGGCTCTTTTGTTGTAGGCAGACACTGTTTGCTAGTGCCGACACGGCCTATGTCCTCGCATATTCCATCATCATGCTGACCACAGACTTACACAGTCCTCAGGTAAAGATTTTTTCATGATTTAGGCATTGTTGTAGCTAATTAAGCAGCTTTGGGCGTTTCAATGTCTTTTAAATGGCTGTTAACGTTTTAAACCCTCAGGTAAAAAATAAGATGACAAAAGAGCAATATATTAAAATGAATCGAGGCATCAACGACAGTAAGGATCTGCCAGAGGAATACCTCTCCAGCATCTATGAGGAGATAGAAGGCAAGAAGATCGCCATGAGAGAGACGAAAGAGCACACAATTGCATCCAAATCCACTAAGCAGAGTAAGGCCCGGTAGCAAATTATCTCCCTGAATTTGGGGTTTGGAGTGTCAGAACGCGTGATTAATGACTCTGGTAAATCTCATTTGCATATGTAGGTACCCAGATAGCGTGATTTGCATTAATCATTGTGATTTGGTTGGTGTTCTCTGTGACATCGCCGTCTTGTGAAATTTGTGATTAGGAGAAAGAGGAGATTTAAGATAATTAATCTGAGAGCTAAATTCCCCAAAAAGAATGTTCCTTAAAACTTGGCTTCAATTCAAGCCAAGTTTTGATTGTGATGGAATTGATTAGGACTTTGTGGTGGGGGCGCCTTGGCGCTGTCAGTTTCCATGTCTGAGAGGACGCAGAGGTCAGCAGGTTAGAGCCCTGGCCCTGGAGGATGCTACCTTGGACCCAGCTCTGCCACTCATCAGCTGTGTGACCAGAGCCACGTAACTTAGCCTCTCTGCCTCGTTTTTCCCACCTGCAAAGTGATAATAATATTTGTAATACACTCACAAGAAGGTTGGGAGGATTTCTGAGCTCATCACTGTAAATCTTCCAGAACTGTCCCTGGCATATCCCTAGCGCTCAGCGAGTGTTCCTGCTGTGTCCCGCCCTTCCTTGCAGGTGTAGCTAGTGAGAAGCAACGGCGGCTGCTCTATAACCTGGAGATGGAGCAAATGGCGAAGACAGCCAAGGCCCTGATGGAGGCTGTGAGCCACGCCAAAGCCCCTTTTACGAGCGCCACTCATCTGGACCATGTCCGGCCCATGTTCAAAGTGAGTATCCTGAGAAGTCAGAGGGCGGCTGGTAGAGTCTGGTTGTGGAGGTGGCCAGCTGGGGCTCGCCAGCAAGAAGGCAGTGGTGGAGAGGATCAGAAGAGGAAGGGGAAGGTCTGGTGCTTCTGTGATGACAGCAGCTAAAGTGAGTCCTTTCTGCACATCCTTTGAAGTGCCAGCCTGGCCCTGCACTCTGGCATCAAAGTATGTGGGTTTGAATCCTGGCTTTGCCACGTGGTAGCCCTGGGGCCTGGGTCGGCTTACTCCACCTGCCTCTCTTCACCTCTGTGCAATGGGGATAGATGCGAGGCTGTTGGGAGGGCTGCAATGGACCCGGAAGGAACTGATGGTTGTTTAGGCAGAGGTTAACGGACATTGTACTTGGGACATCCTGCTGCGGTGGCCACAGGCTTGCATCATCAGGCGAGGTTGGGTGGGAGAAAGAGTCGTTCCTGCGGTCCCCGTTTTGAAGATGTTAAGAAATGGTCCATGAACTACGTCTACAGCACTCCATTTTCTTCCTAAGATGCCTTTTTAGTATCTTAGAGTGTTGTTAGGTGGTTGCTTTTCTATTTTGAAACCTTTTATTTCTGAAAAAGTCACAAGACAATTGGATGAAAAAATAGAAGCCAATTAATTTGAGTTAGGAGCCTTTCAGTAGCAACCCGATGTCGCTGGTGGGTTTTCCTCTACAGGTGGGCCTCTGCTTGGCAGTGGCCACCCACAGAGGGGGCACAGTAGCCACGTTTGGACCATCTGTCTTTTCAACTGTGTGTTCAGTGAAGAGCATGTCTGGTCTGGTGGCTTTAACCATAGTTGCAGGGGTGGGAAATCCCTGGCATGTGGGCTGTGAAAGGCCCAAGAAATCATTTGATTTAGCCCTGCCAAGGCAGCTGCCGGCAGGACTTGAAATTTAGTATATCCGTAACAGGCTAATTTCTAAGTTAATTTTGTATGACCTGCAAATGATGTCATAAATATCTAAAGGTATCTAGATGATCCTTGGCAAAAAAAAAAAAAAAAACAGTTATTCCTCAGCCTTGGCTTAGCGAAACTATTCTATGTTGTGAGTAGAATGGACTAAAATAAAGATAGCAGTGACCTGGGCATACTGGTGTGGCCTTTTGCAACTGTTCTCATACTGTGACTCTCATGTCTCTGAAAACGTTCTTTCTTGGTAGCTGGTGTGGACACCGCTGCTGGCAGCCTATAGCATCGGCCTGCAGAACTGTGATGACACGGAAGTGGCCTCCTTGTGCCTGGAAGGCATCCGCTGCGCAATCAGAATCGCCTGCATCTTTGGCATGCAGGTAGGTGGACATCCATAAGGCACTGGCAGTACTGGGCTCTGTGTCTTTTAGATTTGGGCACATGGTGAAGCTAGCAGAAATTGCTGGTTAACCGTGTGTCTCAGCAAATAACTCATGTTCACTGAGAAGAACCAATAGCTTTGTGCTGGCACCAGCCTTGTTACAGGGGAGAAAAAAAAAGGTGATTTAAACTGAATCCTTTGTAAAGGTAGGTACAGCCCAAGCCGGTTAACTGAATTTGCCCCAACAACCCATGCCTTTTTCACTTGCCTACCTACTTAGAGTACTTCTTTAATTCTTGAATCAGATTTTTTTTTTTTTTCAGTTCCTCAACCTTTTGGGCTAAGATCAAGTATAGATTTTTTTTTATTATTTTGTTTTTGAGATTTATTTATTTATCTGAAAGAGTAAGAGAGAAATTTTCCATCAGCATGCTCACTATCCTGCCAGGCCTGGATCAGGCTGAAGTCAAGAGCCTGGAATTCCGTGTGGCATCCCACACGCGTGGCAGGTGCCCCCACACGGGTGGCAGTGCCCAGGCTCTTGGGCCGTCTCATGCTGCTTCGCCAGGCACATTAGTAGGGAGTTAAATCAGAAGGTGAGCAACAGGGACTCGAACCAGCATCCATCTGAGCTGCTGATGTGGCAGGTAGCAGCTCCACTGTGTTACAACACTAGCCCCCTCACATCCAGTTCTTCTCTGGCGAAACAAGTAGGTAAGTGCAGACATGCAAATAGAATCTTGAGAACTTCAAGCAAGCAGATGAAGTATAATTTCTAGACTGTTAGATCTGAAAACGGTTAACAATCCTTTGTATCGCTTTTATTTCTTAAAGAGGATGTATTCGGCCTTTTTTTAAAACAAACATTTTATTTTGTATTTATTTGAGAGGAGAGAGGGCATCTTCCCTCTACTGGTTGACTACAACAAGGGCCAGACGAAAGCCAGGAGCTTCTTCCAGGTCTCCCACGTGGATTATAGGGTCTGAAACACTTGGACCATCCTCCCCAGCTCTCCTCAGGCTGTGTGTGTAAGCTGTCTGTAAAACATAAGTAGATTTTGTATTCGGTTCGGTTCTCATTTTGACTTTAGCTCGTTTATATACAGATATTCAGGAATCAGAAAAGAATCCAAAACACGAGGTCCAGTGTGGTAGCCTGGTGGCTAAATTCCTTGCCTTGCACATTCTAGAATCCCATATGGGTGCTGGTTCATGTCCCAACGACCCCACCTCCCATCCAGCTTCCTGCTTGTGGCCTGGGAAAGCAGTAGAGGATGGCCTAAAGCCTTGTACCCTGCACTCACATGGGAGACCCAGAAGAAGCTCCTGGCTTTGGCTTTGGATCAGCTCAGCTCCAGCTGTTGCGGCTGCTTTGGGAGTGAACCAGCAGATGGAAGATCTTCCTCTTTGTCTCCTCCTCTGTGTATATATGACTTTCCAATAAAAATAAATAAATCTTTTTAAAAATCCAAAACACTGGCATTTTGATTAAGGGATACTCAGCCTTTGTTAGAATTCTGTGGTCTCAGCACTCAACAGAGAGAAGGGAACACAGGACTCATGAATTTGGTTAATGCTAATTGGAAAGGAGAGAGCCAGTTTCCAGATGGGTGGCAGCGCCTAAGGCTGTCCGCAAGCACAAGGACTCCAGGATGGAATGACTGGTGTGTGGCTGTGCAGAAAGCCTAGCGGTCTGGCTGTGTAGCGTCCGAGGCACCCAGGGCCCAGCCCCACAGGTGTGGGAGTGGCTGTGCCCAGGCTGGGGTCAGCATGCCTCCTGGTCTTGTGTTGCAGCTGGAACGAGATGCCTACGTTCAGGCCCTTGCCCGCTTCTCCCTGCTGACAGCCAGCTCCAGCATCACCGAAATGAAGCAGAAGAACATCGACACCATCAAGACGCTCATCACGGTGGCTCACACGGATGGCAACTACCTGGGGAATTCCTGGCACGAGGTGTGTATCCCTCCTAAGTGCTTTTGCTCAGGGTAGCTCCTGGCGTCCCTTCTTTCTGTTCAGTGGCTAGCTCTCTGTCCATTCTGTTTTTCTTAAGGCTTGACTTGACTTCTGGGGCTGCAAAAGGCAAGGAAAGTTCAGATGCACCGAAACCTGTGACCCCCACCCCCAGTGGCCGGTGTCCACACAGGAGTTCACATCTGTTGGGCTGACTTTCTCCCCGTGTTGTTGCCACATTTCCCAGGTCCTTACATGGCCTCCGGAAGCTCTCACAGTCACTGCATACATCTGAGACAAAGCTGAGCCTGCTTTCTCCCAATTAGATCTTAAAAGAAATGGTCAGTCTTCACAGCAAGCCATCTGTTAGGGAGAGTGCCAAATTCCCACCTAAGGCAGTAGACGCAGGGGCTTGCGTTGTGGCATAAGCAATAAAACTGGTGCCTGCCATATAGGCACCAGTTTGGGTCCCAGCTGCACCACTTCTGATCCAGCTCTCTGCTGATGGCCTGGGGAAGACAGTAGATGATGATCCAAGTCCTTGGGCCCCTGCACCCACCCATGTGGGAGACCCAGATGGAGCTGCTTGCTTTTTGGCCCAGCCCTGGCCATTTCACCCATCTGAAGAGTGAATCAACAGATGGAAGATACTTCTCTCTCTCTCTGGGGGCAGAAAAACAGTATTCATCAGTTTTAGTTGCTTCAGGGAAAAAATTGGATTCACAATAGCTTAATGTATCAATGAGAGGTCATTTGTTTTAAAACCAGTTATGGTAGGAGAGATGGGATTTGGAGAGGGGTGAAGGAAAATCCCAGAGCCTTTGAAACTGAATGATAAACTCAGGATGGCAACATGGAAACACAGGTCTTTTTTTTTTTTTTTTTTCATTTAGATCCTGAAATGCATCAGCCAGCTAGAGCTCGCTCAACTAATAGGAACTGGTGTGAAGACACGCTACCTATCTGGGTCTGGCCGGGAGAGGGAAGGGAGCCTGAAGGGCCACACGCTGGCAGGAGAGGAGTTCATGGGCCTTGGCCTGGGTAAGTGAGCAGCCCGCAGACCTGGCCCTCGAGGGAGAGCGGAGTCACCAGGAACACCGTGCCCCTGGTCTGCCATTGCCAGGGCCTTTATGGCTACAAGTGGACATGCTGCTTCCACTCTCTGAACTGTGTTCAAACTACCGAGTAAACTTTCTCTATCCCCCAGATTGGCAGAGTGCCTTTCCTTCCCATTCTTGTGCTTGTCCTGCAGGACAGGGAGCCTTAAAAAGGCTGCAGTGTTTGTGCCTGAGTGAGAAGCGCACGTGTGTGTGTGTGTGTGTGTGTAGAATCAGAGGGTAGGGTAGGTCCAGCAACTGTTCCATATTCATCTGGGGAGCTTTCAGGAAACAGGGCAAGCAAACGTGCCAGGCTGCCTTCTGGACACTATGTTTATGTTTGTTTGCTCCCCTCATCCTCTGAACAATCCAATTCACTAAGGATCCATGTCCTCATTTTGTGATTGAGAACACTGAAACATAAAGTGAACTGAGCAAGGCTACCCCGCAAGAAGTGGCAGAGACAGACGCAGGATCCGAGCCCAGACTGTCTGCTTGTGGCCTTCTGAGGCCCCGGGCACAGGGGTTGGAACCTACAGTGTGATGCTTGCGCCTGTTGGGGCATCTTAGTTTAGAATGTTTCTGAGGAGAACCAAGATGCAACAAGGTGAAGAAGCGTGCCGAGCATTCAGCAGGAGGGAGGCACGATGCTTTTCTAGAGACAGGCCTTTTATCATATACAATTTAAAAGACTGTAGAGAAAAGAAGTGGGTATAAATGAGAACTGGTGAACAAGCATGTATTTTAAATGGCAATACATACTTACCCTGTCATTGGTGGGGTTTTGTTGTTTTGGTTTATCTGTGGAATCATTTTCATTGACATTCCTTGTGCCACCCTGTGTGTTGACACAGCAGGGCCCTTTGTTCCTGAAGTTGTCTAAGTTCCTGACTGTTTCTAAGTGCAGCTGATGGAGCACGTCATGTTTCAGGTACTCTGGTGAGTGGTGGAGTGGATAAAAGGCAGATGGCCAGCTTCCAGGAGTCTGTCGGGGAGACCAGCTCGCAGAGTGTGGTTGTAGCTGTGGACAGGTAATGAGTTCATGCTGCAGTACGGTTAGGCTTCCCAGAGGTGGGATGGCCGCCTCCGTGTAAGGCCTAAGTGATTCCTCCTTTCTTTGACGGCACCCGTATGGGATGCCCGCGCTGCAGGTGCTGGCTCCTGGACTGATGTTTTAAATTACCTGGTTTTCTTTCTGCTAGTTTCCTTTAAAATAAAGATTTGTTTATTAGAAAGACAGACATTGGAAAGAAAAAGAGGAGCAAAGAAATATCTTCCATCCATTGCTTCACTCTCCAAGATGCTGTAACACCCGGGGTAAGGCCATCCAAAGCCAGGAGCCAGGAACTCCATGCAGTGGCCCAAACAATTGGGCTGTTCTCTGCTTCCCTCCTGGGTACACCAGCTTGAAAATGGGATGTTGGTATCCCAAGCTGCGACCTCCTGGTTTTAGAAACATCTGAAGAGTTTAGGCTCTTCTTCCCCCCGGCCCCCCAAGACTTTTCCATTGTGTCTATTTTTTTTTTTTAAGATTTATTTTCATTACAAAGTCAGATATACATGGAAGAGAGACAGAAAGGAAGATCTTCTGTTCAGTGATTCACTCCCCAAGTGAGTGCAACGGCCGGTGCTGTGCCGATCTGAAGCCAGGAGCCAGGAACTTTCTCCAGGTCTCCCACAAGGGCACAGGATCCCAAAGCTTTGGGCCATCCTTGACTGCTTTCCCAGACCACAAGCAGGGAGCTGGATGGGAAGTTGAGTTGCCGGGGTTAGAACCGGTGCCCATATGGGATCCTGGCACGTTCAAGGCAAGGACTTCAGCCGCTGGGCTATAGCGCCTGGCCCCTTAATTAATTAATTAATTAATTAATTATATTGCAAAGTTAGATACACAGAGAGGAGGAGAGACAGAGAGGAAGATCTTCCATCCCATGATTCATTCCCCAAGTGACCAGAATAGCTAGAGCTAAGCTAATCCGAAGCCAGGGGTCAGGAACTTCCTCCAGGTCTCCCTCATGGGTGCAGGGTCCCAAGACTTTGGGCCATCCTCAGCTGCTTGCCAGACCACAGGCAGGGAGCTGGATGGGAAGTGAGGCTGCCAGGATTAGAACTGGGACCCCCACTTCCTGGCATATTCAAGACTACGTCTTTAGCCGCAAGGCCATCATGCTGGGTCCTAAGGATGATCTTAGTTTGTAACGTTCTAGTTGAGTTCATCTCACTAACAGAACACCTTGCCTCTAATACTGCTCCAATGGCTCCCCTCCTCTCTCTCATTGGCTCTTTTCCATGTATTATATCTTTATAAATATACACCCATCAACATTGAGTTTTGAAGTTTCTGTATTTTTGCTTAGGTAGATTTAAGAAGAGTTACAAAGACATGTTAGTGTTTCTTAATTTTTAAGACTTATTTATTTTCATTGGGAAGTGGATTTATAGAGAGGGGAGACAGAAAGATATTCCATCTGCCCGTTCACTCTCCAAGTAGCCACAGCAGCTGGAGCTGAGCCAATCAGAAGCCAGGAGCTTATTGCAGGTCTCACCTGTGGGTGCAGGGTCCCAAGGCTTTGGGCCGTCCTCTGCTACTTTCCCAGGCCACAAGCAGGGAGCTGGATAGGAAGTGGAGCAGCTGGGACATGAACCAGTGCCCATATGGGATCCTGACACACACAAGGCAAGGACTTTAGCCACTAGACTACCGTGCCAGGCCCACATGTTAGTATTTCTATTTCATCTATAGTAACATTCATTAGTGTGCTTTATGTTTGTGTAGTTTTAATTTCATTTCAGTGTAAGAGACTTCCTTTACTATCTGCAGGACAGCTGGACCAGTGGTGAATTCTTTCAGTGCTCACCTACAGATGTCTTAGTTTCTCCTTCCTTTGTGGAGAATGACTTTACTGGGTAGAGAATTTTTGGTTGATAATCTCTTTTTCTTTTAGATTTATCTTATGTTATTTGAAAAACAGAATTAGAAAGGGAATGGGGGAGGGAGAGAAACGGAGAAAGTTCTTCCATGTGCTGATTCAAGTGGCCATAGTACCTGAGGTTGGGCCGTGTTGAAGCCAGGAACTCCATCTGGGTCTCACATCAGGTACAGAGCCCAGGCATTTGAACGTCCTCCACTACTTTCCCAGACTCATTAGTAGGGAGTTGAAGAAAAGGCAGAGCAGCTGGGATTCAAAACAACACCCACAGGCAGTGCTGGTGCTGTAAGCTGTGGTTTGACACGCTATGCCACTGTGCTGGTCCCTGTTGATTACCTTTGAGCATCTTGAACTTTCAGATAAATGAATGTGACAGGGAAAGAGTTCCTCCATCCGTTGCTTCTCTTCCTCAGATGGCTACAATGGCCAGAGCTGGGCTTACAGATAGGCCTTGGCCATCACTTCTTGTTCAGACAGAGCCCCAAGGGCAGCCAAAGGGGAGAGCCTGCCCTTCTCGCGTCTGCCCTGGGTGTGTGAAGAGCCTGTGTGTCGGCAGCTCTCCGGACTCCCAGGACACGTTGGAGCTTCTCAGCGCCTGCTGTGGATGTCTCATTTTGAGATTATCCTGCTGATTAGTTTTGATACAAACTCCACAGGGAAAGACCGTTGTTGAGCGAGGTCTGAGTTGGATTACATGATGTTAGTTGTCCAAGAATGGTTTTGGGGGGACTGCGGATTACCCTGTCACTGCGTCCCCAGGCCTTGGCTGTCACTTTACTGGGTTTACAGTTACCTTTATTGTGATATTATTGGTTTGTAAGGCTTCCTGTGCAGTTAGGTAGAAGATAGTGGAAATAGACGAAGCTAGTAAGATAGAGCTAGCATGTCACAGCTCTCACTGTTCAGACAAGGAGTCAACAATTTTTCTTAAAAAAAAAAAAAATGCACTCTTGGGCCTGGTGTGGTAGCCTAGTGGCTGAAGTTCTCACCTTGCATATGCTGGGATCCCATATGGGTGCTGGTTCTAATCCCAACAGCCCTGCTTCCCATCCAGAACCCTGCTTATGGCCTGGGAAAGCAGTCGAGGATGGCCCAAAGTTTTGGGACCCTGCACCCACGAGGGAGACCCGGAGAAGGCTTCTGTCTCCTGGCTTTGGATTGGTTCAGCTCCAGCCGTTGCGGCCACATGGGGAGTGAATCATGGGATGGAAGATCTTCCTCTCTGTCTCTCTTCTCTGTATGTCTCACTTTCCAATAAAAATAAGAACTCCATTTTAAGAAACTAAATTTTGATCATTTTTGCCAGTGTTCTTTTCTTACAGAGGATCAGCTACTTATGTTTTTAGTGGCGTTCTCACTGCAGCAGTCCCCACTGAGCTCATGTCCGGCCCCGACTTCGGGCATATTGCTTCCTCTTTCTCTCCATGTAGGTTTTTCTACTTCAGTTCATCACTCTGTCTTTGTGATGCCTGATCGTTTGTTGTGGTAGAGATGCCAGACCTAAAAATATTTTACACTCTGCCTTTTCTGAGAGTTTGAGTAGCTTCAGCTTCCAAAATCTAATTTTTATTTTATTATGTCTGGAATTGTCTTTCTAGAATCTTTACTGGATCTACCAGACTGGATGGAAATGCAATAGGTATGTGTCCAAGTTGCCTGTGACAACTGCAGAAGCCTCCCGTGTGGCCGCCTGTTACTAACGAGGCTTCCCGTGTGTTGGGTCTGGCCTGTAGTTGACTTTGTCCGCTGGCTGTGTGCTGTGTCCATGGATGAACTGGCCTCCCCCCACCATCCTCGCATGTTCAGCTTGCAGAAGATCGTGGAGATCTCCTACTACAACATGAATCGCATCAGGCTGCAGTGGTCCCGCATATGGCACGTGATTGGCGATCACTTCAATAAGGTAACATGGCAAATTTGAAAACCATTCCGTCAGCCACAGAAACAAAAAACTGGACATATATATCCGAAAAACAAGGAGTGAGAAAGGACTGGCCCTGTATTAAGTGCTTAGAATTAATCTTGCCTGTGCAGCATGCCAAGAGGAGTGGAAGAACTCATGTTAAAATTATCTTTTTACTGGAGATTTGGTTTTTATATAGACAGCTACATACACACATATACTAAACAAATTCAAAGTTAAGTATGTATTTTAACAGAATTTCACAAATATGAAGAAAATTAAAATATATGTATATAATGTATGTATTTGTGATGTCATTCACTTCTTGAGGGAAATGCATTAGCTTAGTGACATGGTTGCCTACCAACACACAGTTCTTGATCTCAGGAGAATTACCTCAGAACAGGAGAGAACTAGAGTTACAATACAAATATTTAAGAACAGGCCCGGGCCCACCACATTAGCCTGGTTGCTAAAATCCTTGCCTTGCATGCACTGGTATCCCATATGAGCGCCATTTCATGTCCTGGCTGTTCCAGTTCCTGTCCAGCTCTCTGCTTATGGCCTGGGAAAGCAGTAGAGAACAGTCCAAAACATTGGGACCCTGCACCCATGAGAGAGACCTGGAAGAAGCTCCAGGCTCCTGGCTTCAGTTAGGCTCGGTTCCAGCCATCATGGTATTTGGGGAATGAACCAGCAGATGGAAAATCTTTCTGTCTTTCCTTCTGTCTGTAAATCTTTTTAATAAAAAGAAAAAAGATAAATTAAAAAAAAATAGAAAACAGTACCAGTGAGGGGCCAGTGTTGTGGGGGCAATGGATTAAGCCACCAGTGGCAATGCTAGAGTCCCGTGTCAGAGTGCCAGTTCAGTACACGGCTGTTCTGCTTCCAGTCCAGCTCCCTGCTAACGCACCCGGGAAAGCAGCGGATGTCACCCAAGTGCTTGGGCCCCAACCATCCATGTGGGAGACCTGGATGGAGTTCCCAACTCTGGCTTCAGGTTAGGCCAGTCTCGGGAAAGGAACAAGCAGTGAAGTGAGATGTGTGGTTGGGGAAGTCTTTTCAGGTGGTCTTCTATGGAAGTCCTCAGGGACGAGCCAGAGCCCCCTGGAGCCCGTGACTGGCAGCGTGGAGCTGTCTGCTGAATGAATAGCAGCACTTTGCAGTCTTCAGGCTGACATGGCATCACCCTCTCCGCTGTTCAGGGTAGACGGAGTCTCAGAGAACAGTTGAAAAAATTGAGGGGCATGCCTGGGGACAGTGGCATGGTATTGCATGCTAGCCTCTGCCTGTGGTGCCAACATCCCACATGGATGTGGATCAGAGCCTGACTGTTCCACTTCCCGTCCTGCTACCTGCTTGTGGCCTGGGAAAGCAGTGGAGGATGGCCCAAGTTTTTGGACCCCCTCCATTCACTGGGAAACCTGGAGAAAGCTCCTGCCTCCTCGCTTCAGACCAGTACAGCCCCATTGATCCTGTCTAAGGCGTGACCCAGCAATGAAAGATCTCTGTCTTTCCTTCTTTCTCTGTAATTCTGCCTTTCAATAAATAAATAAATTTTTTTAAAGAAAGTAAGCTACTGTGCTGCACACGGGTATAATTAACAAACTCGGTATTGACCAGGTTCAGAATGCCCACCAGCTACTGGCTGCTTTTCTCTTAGCATTGCAACACTTGCCTAGGTACAATACAGCCTAACAGTTTTAGCAGCTGGATAAATTAGTCTTTAAAAAAAAAAGGAAAAAACATTGAAGCAAATTTCCCTAAGAAACCGTGAGCGCTTCCTGTTACCGCAGTTTGCGTTCTTATCCATGCCCCTGACAGCTGAGCTCAAACACATGTTCTTCGCTTATTCCTCAAAGGTTCTTCCCAAAATGATGATCCAAGCCTACTTTGCCAAATTCTGTCCCAACAAAATCCAGCAAGCCTGCTGATTTGGGAGGGAGGGAGGGGGTTCATCAGTTTGTAGCAACTGCTTTTCCCACCTGCAGCTGTCTTATCCAGCCTCTGCATGCCAGGCCTCAGTGATCCCAGCAGGCTCGGGACAGGGGCTGGCAGGCAGCAGGCAGGCTGCCGAGCTCTGCTGCAGCAGCACGGCCTGGGGACTATGCTGGCTTACTCCAGGGCGCTCTGGCTCTCCGTCATGGACAATCTTCTGCTGGCCCAGGGCACAGGTGCCATGTGTCCTGGGAGAGCCAGAGCTGCACTCGGTGTGGAGCACGTGCCTGAAGCATCTGCCTCCCCTGGGCGGTTGGAATGGAAAACGCTGTATTAATTAATCTCTAACTCATGGCTAGGACATGGGCACGTCAACTTGCTAAGAATATGTAGGGCTCAGCACAGTAGCCTAATAACTGAAGTCCTTGCCTTGCATGCACCGAAATCCCATATGGGCACCAGTTCATGTCCCGGCTGCTCCACTTCCCTTCCAGCTCCCTGTTGCAGCCTGGGAAAGCAGTAGAGGACAGCCCAAAGTCTTGGGAGCCTGCACTCATGTGGGAGACCCGGAAGAAGCTCCTGGCTTTGGATCAGCTCAGCTTAAGCTGTTGAGGCCATTAGGGGAGTAAGCCAGTGAGCAGAAGATCAGTCTCTCCTCTGAAAAGCCGCCTTTCCAACAAAAGTAAATAAAACTTAAAAAAAAAAAAAAAAAAAAGGCGGGGGGGGGGGAGAGAAGAACCACAGAACTCCATGCACATTGAGACACCTATGCACGGTCCTTCGCCATCCCCATTGTGCTGTTCTACCTCTGTGAATTTTACTGTATGTATGTCATGATTGCTTCACTTAGCAACAGCTGGCGCTGAGCCAGGCTGAAGCCAAGAGTCAGGAATTGCATCCAGATCTTTTGTCCTGGTGGGGAGGCCCAAGCTTTGGACCATCCTTCTCTGCTGTCCCAGGTGCATTAGCAAGGAGCTGGATTGAAAGTAGAGAGCCAGCACGTAAACTGTCATTACTATATGGAATGCTATTGTCATAGGAGACTGCTTAAACCATTGTGCCCCAGTGGTGTCTCCCCTCTGGGTGAACCCAAGAACCTGCGAGGGTCCACATTAGCAGGAAGCTGCACTGGAAGCCAAGCAGCCAGGACTTGGAGCAGTCTGACACTGAATGTGGAGCTTAAGCTGCTGTGCCACAGTGAGGAGATTGATGAACCTTAGAGCTTCCCCAGGATTTTTCACACCTGGTAGTTTTTTTTGGTTTGTTTTGGTTTTTTTTAATGTATTTTTTATTGGAAAGTTAGAGGAGGAGAGAAAGGGAGAAATCTTTCGTCCGTTGACTCTCTCCCCAAGCAGCTGCAGTGGCCAGAGCTGAGCCAATCCGGAGCCAGGAGCTGCTTCCAGGTCTTCCACGCAGGTGCATGTCCCAAATCCTTGACTGCTTTCCCAGGCCACAAGCAGGGCTGCCGGGATTAGAACCAGCACCCATATGGGATCCCGGTGCATGCAAGGTGAGGACTTTAGGCACTAGGCTACCGTGCCGAGCCCAGCTGATAGTATTTTTTTTTAAGATTTTACATAGAGCAAAGGAAAGAAAGAATTTCCATCTGCTGGTTCAATCCTCAGAGGGCCACAATAGCCAGAGCTGAACTGATCTGAAGCCAGCACCAGAAGCTTCTTCTAGGTCTCCCACATGGGTGCAGGGTTACAAGGATTTGAACCATCCTCCACTACTTTCTCAGGGTATAAACTAGATCAGAAGTAGAGCAGCTGGGACTAAAACCAGCACCCGTATGTTATGCCAGTGCTAGCAGGTGAGAATTGGCTTGTTATGCCACAGCACGGGTCCTAGTTGTAACACATTGGTAATCAGTGCTTTTGGTGAAAGACACTGGGAAAGGGTGGAAAGGCCTTCCATAGATTATAAAGGCTCTTGAGCCTTCATATGTAATTGGGTAATATTAAATTGTATCTGAGAATGACAGTTTAATGGATAGAGAGGTTCAGTTTTGCTGATGGGGTATTACAGCAGGGTGAGTGTGCTTACCAGCACTAAACTGTGTACTTAAAACTGGTTAGGATGATGAATTGTGTGGTATGTTTTATAACTTTAAAAATTACTTCATAGCACATTTTTTGGAAAGATTTTTCCTTGAATGTGTCATACTGCTTCTTCTTCACTAAAGTAAAACTGGGCAGATCTGGCCGAGGAGTGACCTCTCTTCCCCGAGGGCGTGTTTTCCCAGGACGTGCGGCATGGAGCTGGGCGTGTCTGCAGTGTTTCACCCTGTTTCATTGCATTTCTGTTCTTGCTCAGGTGGGTTGTAACCCCAATGAAGATGTGGCTATTTTTGCTGTGGACTCATTAAGGCAACTCTCCATGAAGTTTCTTGAAAAGGGTGAATTGGCCAACTTCCGTTTCCAGAAAGATTTCCTGAGGCCCTTTGAGCACATTATGAAGAAAAATAGGTAGGTGCATTGTGCATTGCTTTGGGAACCCCTTGTTCAGCATCTCCTTTGGCGGCCTCAAGGCCCTCCCAACACTAAACCTCCGCTTCCTGTTTCCCTCCATTGAGGGTGGAACAAGGCAGAATGGAGAGACTGAGATTCACCCGACTGTCCTTAGTAGGATGTGTGTGCAGCCCTTCCAGAAGCATGGCAGAGCCCGTGCTGAGCGACAGCCTCCCGAGGCCTGGCATCTGCTGGTGCCGAGAACACAGCTTTGAGGTCTCCGCTCCGTGGGGTCTTGTGCTGGCCATGGTTGCAGCTGGGTATGAGCATACAGGAGTTCCTCACACCCCTTCTCTGTGGTGCTCCTCTGTTCTGAGTGAGATACAAGTTCCTGTGAGCCCGGGTGGAATCCACAGGGAGCCTTCTGCACTTAGCAGCAGTGGTGCTCTGGGGGCCGTTCCGTCAAGGGCAGGGATCTGGAGCTGTCCATCATACAGAGCAGCTCCTAAGGTGAGAGCCGAGCTACAGGAGTAGCAAAGCCAGAGCAGTTCTTTGCTGTCTTGGTGGGAGTGTGATAATGAGGGACAAGCAAGAGCAGAAGCCCTGTGACAGTAGGTGAGTGGCGTGCTAAGGGGCCCTGAAGAGGCCAGTCAGTCGGGGCAGGGTGAGCAAGGCCAGAAGCCCAAGGTGAAGTCCTTTCAGTGGTAGCAGGCCACCAGTCTGCAGAGGAGCCATCAGCCACTGCGAGGGAGCTGTTGGAAGAAGTTTTTATAAAGAACTTGTTAATTTGAAAGTAAGAGGTACAGAGAGAGAATGAGAGAGATGTCTTCCATCTGCTGGTTCACCATCCAGATGGCTCTACAGCCTGTGTTAGACCAGGCTGAAGCCAAGAGCCAGAAGCCAGGAGCTTCTTCCAGATCTCCCACATGGGTGGTAGAGGTCCAAGTTCTTGGGCCGTCTTCTCCTTTGCCATTAGCCGGGATATAGATCGGAAGTGGAGCAGATAGGACATGAATGGGCACCCATACGGAATGCCAGCTTTGTTGTGCTCCAGTGCTGGCCTCCTGTGCAAAGATTTTAAGCCATAAGTGAAGTGGTTTGAAATATTTTCAAGCTCAATCGGCGTGTAGCCATGGCTGAAGCTCCTGGCTGAGGTGAGAGCCATGGTCGTTGTCCAGCGTCAGAGCTGGGTGGTAGTGGCAGCTTGGATCCTCTGTGATTAAAAGAGAATCTGACAGCATCTGCTGGTGACTAGGCAATGCAAGAGGACTCTTAGGCATGAGCCTTTGCGTCTGTTCCTCCCCTAGAAGGGGTTCTTCTGTCGGCAAAGAGCAAGAAAGCCCACAGCAGAAGGCCAAAAGCCACAGTGTGCCTTGGAACCGTGAAGGAAGTGCTTAACAGTGTGGTGAAAGGGCAGTGTAACAGGGTGATATATGGAGCACCTGTCAGGCCCGTGATACGTGTGCACAGGCCATCAGGCCATACAAATCCATCAGGCACATGAGTGACCTGTGTGTAGGATGTACTGTACCCTCAGGCCCATGGCACACCTGTACCTAGGATCTACTATGTCCCCAGGCCCGTGGCACACCTGTGCTTGGATGTGCTGTGTCCTCGGGCCCATGGCACACTTCTGCACCTCTGCCATCATACAAAAGAAATTTTAAAGGATTTATTTATTTATTGTATTAGAAAGGCAAATTTACAGAGAGAGATGCCATCTGCTGGTTTACTCCCCAAATGGCCACAGCAGCTACAGCCAAGCCAGTCAGAAGCCCAGAGTCTCTTCTGGGTCTCCTACATAGGTGTACAGATTCTCAAGTACTTGGGCCATCCTCCACTGCTTTCCTGGGCCATAGGCAGGGAGCCGAATGGAGAGTGGAGCAGCTGGGACATGAATCAGCCCATTTAGAATGCCAGCACTTGAGGGTAGAAGATGAATAGTTTGAGCCATAGCACTGGTCCCTAAAGAATTTTTTAAGTTATATTTTCCCTGTAATTTAACCTTTACTGTCATTATATATGTAGTTGTATCAGGCAAAATCCACTTTTTATAATTTTGCAAATATATTGACTTATTCTGCAAGGGAAACGTGTTGATAACCTGGATATATTGTCCATGTTGTCTGTAGGTGGCATGTCATGGACTTTAGCTGATTCTTAACTCTGACTTGGTGCTTGCCCCCTTGGAATGGCCTTCCTTTCCTGTCAGCATGGCAGACCAGCCCTTCATGCTAAGCCTCATGCCGTGTGAATGACTCCCACAGCTGGTGCTGTAGAAGCAGTAGGTTATTTTACATGAGCACACGTGTGTGTGTGTGCATGCACACACACAGCCACGCTGTTGGTGAGGCAGTAATCCCCCTTAATCATATATGTCACAAAAGTTTGCCGAACATATATACCAGTCTGTTGCATATATTTGATAAGTGCTTTACCTCACAGCTCTTTCAGAAGAAAAGACCATTCTTTCTATTGTCAGATTTGTATAATAGTTGCATTTACAATATTACATCTTAAATTGTGTATATAATCTCTGACCCAGGCATGCATGTGCTTATTGTGTACATATATTCTTGCTCAAAAATCTAAGAATGGTTCTCTCTTGGTAAATATGATGTGTTAGAATATTTTGTGCTAGAAAACTGACCAGTGATTTAGATAGCAATGTTGCAATGTTACTGTACTGTATCTTTTTTTTTTAAAAAGATTTATTTTATTTTTTATTGGAAAGGCGGATATACAGAGAGAAGAGACAGAGAGGAAGATCTTCCGTCCAATGATTCACTGCCCAAGTGAACGCAACGGCCGATGCTATGCCAGTCCGAAGCCAGGAGCCTCTTCTGGGTCTCCCACGCGGGTGCAGGGTCCCAAAGCTTTGGGCCGTCCTCGACTGCTTTCCCAGGCCACAGGCAGGGAGCTGGAAAGGAAGCGGGGCTGCCGGGATAGAACCGGCGCCCATATGGGATCCCGGGCGTGCAAGGCGAGGACCTTAACCACTGCGTCACCGCGCCGGGCCCTGTATCTTTTTTTTTTTTTTTAAGATTTGTATTATTGGGACCTGCCTGCATTGTGGCATAGAGGGTTAAGCCATGTCCTGCAATGCCAGCATTCCCTAAGAGCACCTATTTGAGTCCTAACCGCTCCGCTTCCAATCTAACGCCCTACTAATGTGCCTGGGAAAGCAGTGAAAGATGGCCTGAGAGACAGAGCACAGAGGGGGATAGAGGGATCTTCCATCTTCTGGTTCACTCCCCAGATGGCCACAGTAGCCACTGCCAGGTTAGGGATGAGCCAGGCCAAAGTTAGGGTCTCCCACATGGGTGACAGGGTCCTAAGTACCTAGGCCATCTTTTATAGCTTCCCAGGTAAAATAAAACTGGATTGAAAATGGAGTAGCTGGGCCCGGCGTGGTAGCCTAGCCTTGAAGTCCTTGCCTTGAACACGCCACGATCTCAACTGGACACTGGCCCTAATCCCATTGGCCCCGCTTCCCATCCAGCTCCCTGCTTGTGGTCTGGAAAAGCAGTCGAGGACAGCCCAAAGCCTTGGGACCCTGCACCTGTGTGGGAGACCCAGAAGAAGCTCCGGGATCCTGGCTTTGGATCGACACAGTTCTGGCTATTGCAGCTGCTTGGGTAGTGAATCAGCGGATAGAAGATCTTCCTCTCTATCTGTCCTCCTCTCTGCATATCTGACTTCCTAATCAAAATAAAATAAATCTTTTTTTAAAAAGTGAAATAGCCATTACTCAAACTGGCACCATGTGGGATTGTGGCTTCGCTCACTCTGCCACAGTGCTAGCCTCTGCTGTGCCATTTCCTCGGAAGCCGCGTGTGGACTCCTTTGGCTATAGAGTGCACGTTGTGACAGCAAACCCAGGCTCTTTTCCATGCTGTGGTTCTGCTGGTCCCCAGAGCCAGCTCTTCAGCCTTGAGTGTAGGCGTCCTGCCTGTTGCTGGGTGACTCGGACTCCAGGCATCCTGCATGGTTCTGGAGGGGAACGGGAGGAAAGGGGTCCGAGCGCAAATGACAGAGGGTTTCTGTGCGTTTTTATCTTTAAAGTGCTTGCTTGTATGGTGGCGTGAGTGTGTCCCTGTCGCTTCCCACCCTCCCTAGCATGCATGACATGACTGGCCCGTTCCTCCTTCCTCAGGTCCCCCACCATCCGGGACATGGTGATCCGCTGCATCACCCAGATGGTGAACTCCCAGGCAGCCAACATCCGCTCCGGCTGGAAGAACATCTTTGCCGTGTTCCATCAGGCTGCCTCTGATCATGACGGGAACATTGTGGAGCTGGCCTTCCAGACCACGGGCCACGTCGTCAGTAAGTGCACCTTCCCGTCAGGTCTAGAAAGCTGACTGCTCACTTGCTGGTTTCCTGCCCAAAGCCTCTTGCTTGCTTTAGCCCTGCTGGAATCTAGTCCTGGAGCCAGCAGTGTTCCCAGCGTGACTCATATTAATGCTCACAAAAGCCCCCTGAGGAAACCCCATGGGGAGTGTTGATGCGTGAAGTCCGTGTTTGCCAGTTCACCTACCCAACCGTTATTTGCCAACACATGTATGCACAAAGCAGGGGGGAAGAGAAGACTGGAGCCACCCAACACTCACATTGCCAGCTGAGGGGCAGCTGGTTGGCTGCTCCCTGCCATTCCCTCTCTCAGGAGCCTGTCCTTCCTGTCGAGTGCCATGTGCTGCACATTTTCATGTTTTCCCTTAATGACTCCTGAGCCCGCTGCCACCTGCCAGCTGTTGTTCCAGTGCAGCCAGGCTGCAGTGGGCATCACAGAGGAAACCATGCCCGATAAACTTCCTTCAGGCAGGAGTCAGAGGGCTGGTGGCTGTGGCTTCTGTGTTAATGCCTCAGCAGTGTGTGTTAAATTCTCTGTCTGATTCTTTTAAAGGATTCATTTATGCATTTTGAAAATCAAGCTTAACAGAGAACTCTTCCACCTACTGGATCAGTGCCCAGGCAGCTGTAGCCACTGGGACTGAGCCAGGCCCAAAGCAGGAGCAGTCTTGAGGTCTCCCCAGAGGTGGCAGGGGCCCAAACAATTGGACCATCTTATGCTGCTTTTTCCAGTTTAGTGTCTACAGAGAAACACGCGCACCACAAGGTTGTCTGTTGGATGGTAGGTGAACGTTATGACCAGGATCTTGTGGAGAACTAACCCCACATGGTTAGCAGTGCTTTAGTTTTCTCCACTTACCTGTACACAGCTACTTTGTAGAACAAAGCCACCACTTGTGGCAAGAGCTCACTGTAGCACTCTTCCTCCATTTCTCCACAGAGGGAATTGAGATACAGAGAAGCAGAGTAGGACAGCTTGCCTGTTGTCACACAGCTAGGAAGTAGTAGAGCTAGGACACATGCCAGGTGCCCAGTCCGGAGTGGGCACAGAGTTCCCTTGGCTGGCCAGGAGAGCTGGTCCTGCCCGTGATCATGGAACAGGGTGTTTGTGTGATAACCACAGAAATGCTAAGTAAGCACTCGATAAGGAGATGGCTTTCTGGGCCTTGCATCATTGCCTAAGCTCAGGAGAACAGCCGAACCCCAACAGTATTCAGGGCTTTCCTCCCTGAACAGAGGCTGACCTACTTAGAGCCCCACAAAGGTACTCACATCCTGGGGGGTGATATTCCTATTCAAAATCTATTATCAAACATGTGCCGTGTGTCTGTCTGTCTGTCTGTCTCTCAATCCCCACTCTGAATCCAGGTCCTGCTGAATATGTGGTGGTGCTGGTGGCGTGTATCTGTCTGTCTCTCTGTCTCTCAGTCCCCACCTGCATCCAGGTCTTACAGAGCATGTGCCATGTGTTTCCACAGCCAACATTTTCCAGCACCACTTCCCTGCCGCCATCGACTCCTTCCAGGACGCGGTCAAGTGCCTGTCAGAGTTCGCCTGCAATGCCGCCTTCCCAGACACCAGCATGGAAGCCATCAGACTCATCCGCTTCTGCGGCAAATACGTGTCGGAGAGGCCTCGGGTGGGTTTCTATTCTGCTTCCCAGCATGAGCAGTGATCAGAAATGGGGTCATGGGCCGTGGGATGAAAAACCAGGACCAGGAGTTTCCTGCGACACTTTTAGAAGCCCATGGTTATCCCAGAGCAGGCTGTGATCTCAGAATGCTGCCTTGTTGGCATTATACCACCTCATGATTTTGCATGTAGGAAATTATCAATTTTATTCTTACTGACTTTTTTTTTTAAAGATTTGTTTCAAAGTCAGAATTCCAGAGAGAGGGAGAAAGGCACAGCACCCTCTACTGGGTCATTCCATTTAAGGTTGCAAAGGTCAGGTCTGAGCTAGGCTGAAGCCAGGAGGCTGGTGCTTCATCCAGGCTCCTACATGGGTGCCAGGGGTCCAGACACTTAGACCATTGTCCACTGCTTTTCCCAGGCCATTAGCAGGGAGCTGGTCAGAGGTTAAGCAGCCGGTCCTCTAACCAGTGCCTGCGTGCGATGCCAACATGTCCTCTAACCAGTGCCCATGGCAGGCTGCAGATTTACCCTCTATGCCACAGTGACCCCTATATGCACTTGTTTTTTTAATCTTAAAGGCAGGTCCCGGCAGCCCTGCTTCCCATCCAGCTCCCTGCTTGTGGCCTGGGAAAACAGTCGAGGAGAGCCCAAAGCCTTGGGACCCTGCACCCATGTGGGAGACCTGGAAGAAGTTCCTGGCTCCAGGCTTTGGATCAGTGCAGTACTGGCCGGTGCAGTCACTTGAGTGAATCATTGGACAGAAGATCTTCCTCTCTGTCTCCCCTTCTCTATATATAACTGACTTTCCAATTAAAAAAAAAAAACCTGAAGAACAATAAAAAAAAAAAAAAAGAAATTACCTTTTGCTTTTCCTGAAAATATGTTCCTGAAAGTTTTTCTGGTGTCTCTCACCTTTGTGAAGAGGCTCAAAGCCTAAATGATAGAGTCACACAGCTCTGAAGCTGGGCGATATGAGACATGTAAATTGTGATACCTGGAGCTAGCACAGTGGCTCAACAGGCTAATCCTCCACTTGCAGTGACAGTGTCCCATATGGGCACTGGTTTATGTCCTAGCTGCTCTACTTCCCTCCTGGCTCCCTGATCGTGGCCTGGGAACACAGCAAAGGATGTTCCAAAGCCTTGAACAAATCCTGCACCCACGTGGGAGACCCAGGAGCTCCTGGCTCCCAGCTTCAAACTGACGTGGCTGTGGCTGTTGTAGTCACTTGCTGGTGTGAACCAGCAAATGGAGGCTTTCCTTCTCTGTCCCTCCCTCTGTAACTCGGTCAGGTAAAAATGAACTGAATCTTTTTAAAAAAGTTTTGTGAGAGGCACACAGCCCCTTCCTGCAGTGCTCGTTGGAGCCCTGAGTGCCACAGTCCTGTCAGTCGGTGCTGCTGCCAGTCAGTCCTGATGGCACTGGGAGCTGTCAGGCACCGCCGTAGCTCCCCTGTTTCTGCTCTCCACTTATTCCCCGTCAGACCTGTGAAGTGGGCGCTTACATCGACCGTACAGGGCAGCTAACCGGAGTAGAGAAGCTGCCACATGCTGCATTGGGGTAAGCTGGGTACCGCCAGAGGCGAGCTTACGCTGCAGAGAGGGCCGAGCCTGGAGGCAGGGCAGAGTAGAGCACCATGGCCCCATCTAAGACCTCCTCCCCGGGCTGTGCGGCTTTGCACTGCTTATGTGGCTCTTGACACCCCAGTTTATTCATCAACAAAATGGGATCATATCTACCTGCTACTCAAACCTGTTGCCTTTAACAGTTCCTGGTCCATCACAAACTCTCAGTGAATAGTGACTGCTGGTGTTGTATGTGTCCTCGTGACATTTCAGAAATACCTGATGTTGACTCCTCCTGGATAGCTAACCTGTAGTGCTCTTGTTAATGTAAGAACTCCTGACCCCAGCGCTCTGTGATCTCCCTAACTTGTTCTTAAGCTTAACAGCATCCACAGCTTCATTCAGGGGACCATTCATGTCCGGGGACCGCCCTTGTCCAGTGACTGCCCCTGTCCCATTCTCTATTGTACCCTTAGTAGTGATGATCTTCAAGAGAGGAAAATGTGTGGAGCCCTCCCTGTAGGATTGCCTTTCGATTCCTCCTTCCCGCTTTCTCAATCCACATCTGAGATGGGACTTTCATTCCAGGTGCTGCAAGAATACACGAGTGATGACATGAACGTGGCTCCTGGCGACCGAGTGTGGGTCCGAGGCTGGTTCCCCATCTTATTTGAGCTCTCCTGCATCATCAACAGGTGCAAGCTGGATGTGCGGACGAGGTAACACATCGTGGGCTGCTGGCCCTTTCCCTGCAAGCACACTCGTCACCTACTCACCCTCTCTGGCCCTCTTCGTTGTCTCCCTTCCGCCTCCAAATCTTTCTTTGTTTCCTACAAGGGGACTCACGGTCATGTTTGAGATCATGAAAAGCTACGGCCACACATTTGAGAAGCATTGGTGGCAGGACCTGTTCCGAATTGTGTTTCGGATTTTCGACAACATGAAGCTGCCTGAGCAACAGTCGGAGGTAAGCCATGCCAGTGGTGCTATCTGGATGCCGGGGAGAGGAGAGCCCCAGGCCTGTGGCTGCCTCTGGTGGAGAGAGGGCGTGTCATCTTCTACCCAGAGGTTGAATACTAAGTAGGTAAGGTACATTTTATTCATAGGGACAGGCATTCGGCCTAGTGGGTAATGGTCACACCACGTAGTAGAGTGTCTGGGGTGTCTGGGTCTCATGCTTGCCTTTGGCTCCTGCTGGTAGCTTTCTGCTAACACAGACACTTGACATATCTCAAGGAGGACAGGATTGAGTTCCTGGCTCCTGGCCTTGGCTTAAGCCTAACTGTTGATGGCATTGAGAAGTGAACCAGTGGATGGGAGCTCTCTGTGTTTAGTCGGCCTCTCTAATTAATTAACTGGAATAGAAACTTCCTTCCTTTCACTCTTGCCCCAGTGCCGGCTGGTTGTTAGACTCTGTCTGGGAGTCAGCAAGGCCTGCTTGCTTGGGTCTCAGGCCTCGGGTCTCACACCTACCATCTCCCAGGGCTCCTGGGAGGTCACCTTGGTTGTTCCAGTCATGATGGTTTCTTTTTTAGATTTATTTTGTTTGCGCTACAAAGAGAAAAGGAGAGACAGAAAGAGATCCTCCGTCTGCTGGATCACTGTCAGCTCTGCTCCAGCTGCTGCGACCATTTGGGAGTGAACCAGCAGATGAAAGACCTTTCTGTTTTTCCTTCTCTCTAAATCCGCCTTTCAAATAAAAATAAAATACGTATTTAAAAGAATATAGCAAATCCTTAGAAATATTAGGAGTTATTTCACCTACTTTGTTATTTTTACTACTTTTGATTCTGAAAATGTTACCTTTTTTTGAGAGAGAAAGATCTGCCATCTGCTGTTTCATTCCTCAAATGCCCACCGCAGGTACTGGCGTTGTGGTATAACAGGTGACGCTGCTGCCTTCAGGGCCAGCATCCCATTTGGCTGCTGGTATGAGTCTGGCTGCTCATCTTCCAATCCAGCTCCCTGCATATATGCCTGGAAAGCAGTGGAAGATATCCCAAGTCCTTGGACCCCTGCAGCCACATGGGAGACCCAAACAAAGCTCCTGACTTCAGCCTGACCCACTCCCAACCATTTCAACCATTTGGAGGATGAACTAGCAGATGGAAGATCTCCCCGCCTCCTCTGTAAATCTGCCTTTTTGAATAAATAAAATATTTAAAAGGAAGAAAAGAAATTCCATAACAGCCACAACTGGATCGGCCAAAGTTGGGAGCTGGGAACTCAGCAGTCCTTGGGCTGTCCCCTGCTGCCATCCATTATTTCCTTAGCAGGACACTGGAATCAGCAGCAGAGCTGGGATGTGACCCCTGGCCCACCAGGATGGATGCAGGAATCCCAAGTGGCAGCTCAGTGCTACCCAGAATACCTATCCTGGATAGGTGTTAAATTAAGTCATTTTATATACACTTACTTATAATTAAATTTGATGCAGACATTGGTTGGCATTGTGTTTTATCCATTTTCAGTATATGAATGCTATTGTGATAAACATCATTATTCGTAAACTTTTGAATTATTTTTTTTTTTTGAGAGAGGAAGAGAGTGCACACACACACCCATCTGTTGGTTTACTCGTAAATACCCACGAGAGCTGGAGCTGGACTGGGAGGAAGCAAGGGGGTCTCCATGTCTCCTACATGACTGGCGGGGTCCGACTGCCTGAGCCATTACTGGAGATGGGAGCAGAGTAGGCATTCTAATGCAGGAAGCTAATACACTCTAACCTGTGTCCTAACTGGTATTTTACTTGCTGGACTAAATGTGTTCATGAACTTGTACACAAAAATCTTTGAGAGTTTTTTCTTAACAGTTTTATTTATTTTTATTGGAGAATCAGATATATCAAGAAAAGGAGATATAGAGAGAAAGTTCTTGCTTCTGCTGGTTCTCTCCCCAAGCAGCCACAATGGCTGGAACTGAGTTGGTCTGAAGCCAGGAGCCAAGAGTGTCTTCCCAGTCTCCCATGTGGGTACAGGGTCCCAAGCCTTTGGGCCATCCTTGACTGCTTTTCCAGGCCACAGGCAGAGAGCTGGATGGGCAATAGAACAGCTGGGATTAAAACCGGCGTGTATATGGGATCCTGGTGCATGCAAGGTGAGGATTTTAACCAGTAGGCTACAGCACCAGACCCAGTGAGAGGAGGAGAGACAGAGAAGAAGGAGAGATCTTTCATTTACTGGTTCATTCCCCAAATGGCTACAATGGGTGGAGCTGGGCCGGTCTAAATCCAGGAACTTTTCTAGGGTCTCCCATGTGGGTGCACGGGCCCAGGGATGTGAACCATCTTCTACTGCTTTCCCAGACCATAAGCAGGGAGTTGGATTGGAAGTGTGGTAGCTAGGGCATGAACTACTGCCCATATACCATGTGGGATGTTGGTGTTTGTAGGTGGAGGATTAGCCTGTAGAGCCTCCGGGCCAGCCCCTGATTATTGAGAATTGATTCTGGGAAGTGGTATTGCCAAGTGATTGTGAACATCTTTAACACTGGTGAGACATGTCACCATATTGCTTGCTGGAACTATACAAATGTTATCTTCTTACTGCTTTTCCAGAAATCTGAGTGGATGACAACAACCTGCAATCATGCACTTTATGCTATCTGTGACGTGTTTACACAGTTCTATGAAGCATTGAATGAAGTCCTTCTTTCTGATGTGTTTGCACAATTGCAGTGGTGTGTGAAGCAAGGTATTCTTTCAATCCCAAGGGGTCCTTGTTCCTCCCCTGTCTTAGCGGAAGATTAACTTCTTCAATATAGAACACCATTTAGACAATGCCATTTAGTATGTATATGATGTTACTTTACTCTTATTTGAAAGGCAATTACAGAGAGAAGGAGAGAGAGGTCTTCCATCCAGTGGTTCACCTGCCCAAATTACCACAAGGACTAAAACTAAGCCAACCAGAAGTCAGGAGCCAGGAGCTTCCTCTGGATCTCTCACATGGGTCAGGAGACTGCTCCCCCATTCTCCACTGGTTCCCCAGGCCACAAGCAGGGAGCTGGATCAGAAGTGGAGGAGCCAGGACACAAAGCAACACACCTATGCAATGCCTCTGGCCTCCCAAAAATATGTATTTTAAAATCTGTTTAGAACAGAAGAACAATTCCTTCAAGCCAGTTTAAGCATTTACTTTTTTTCAGTTTTATTTACTTATTTATTTGAAAATATTATGTGAAGAGACACAGAGAACTCTTATCCAAGAGTTCACTCCCTAGATGGCCACAATGTCCAGTGCTGGACCAGACCAAAGCCAGGAGCCAAAAACATCTACATCTCCCACACGAGCACTGGAGTCCAAGCAGCTGGACCATCTTCTATTTAGCAGCAAGCTGGATGAGAAGTGGAGTAGCTGGGACTTGAACCAGTGCCCATATGGACTGCCTGTAGGCAGTGACTTTACTCACACCACCACAACACTGACTGCTGTAGAACATTTAAGATGGAATGTAGGGTCTTGTGCTGTGGCTCAAAGGCTAATACTCCACCTCTAAGCACTGGCATCCCATATGGATGCTGGTTCATGTCCTAGCTGCTGCACTTCCATCCAGCTCCCTGCTTGTGGCCTGGGAAAGCAGTAGAGGATGACCTGTAAGGTTCTTAGCGTGCTGCACCCAGGTGGGAGACCTGTAAGATGTTCCAGGTTCCTGGCTCTGGCTGTTGCGGCCACTTGGGGAGTGAACCAGCAGAGGGACAGTCTATCTCCTCTGTAAATCTACCTTTCCAATAAAAATACACCACGGAGGGGATGGAATGTAGGATTTATTTTGTATTTTAAAAGATGTACCTTTGTGTGTGACGCTGTTTTATATTTTCTATAGTAAAATTTTTTAAATTGATCTTGCAGTCAAAATCAACTTCTTGAGAGGAATTTTTTGTTTGAATAGTAACATTTATTTTAGTGTGTTCAAGAAAATACTGTGCGTGTTGGGCCTGGATTGTCTTGGAGCAAGGTTTGTCAAAAAGTGTCACTGCTAAAAAGTAAGTGACAAAACAGTTGCTTGGTTTAGATGCCAAAAAGGAAACAGTCTTGGACTGACTTTCAGCAAGCTGTTTAATATTGTCCATCTCGGTTAGCTATTGCTCACATATGAGCCACTTAATTAAAAGTAGCAAAACACGGACCTCTTTCCATCCCTGGGAATAGACGTGTGACGAGCAGTCCCACCTCCTTCTGGCCCACTTTAGTGATAAAGCTTTTATTGTTTTTGTGTTATTGTCTCCTTGGTTAAAAATTTAGCAGCCTGGGCTGGGAGACGGTCGTGGGGACGGTCCAGCAGCAGGGCAGGGGTTCCTAACGGCAGCTGCTTGGCTTTGCAGACAATGAGCAGCTGGCTCGCTCTGGTACAAACTGCCTAGAGAACCTGGTGATCTCCAATGGGGAGAAGTTCAGTGTCGCTGTGTGGGATGAAACGTGCAGCTGCATGCGGGACATATTCCAGACAACCATCCCACACGTGTAAGTGCCGGGGCACTGGGCGCAGCTCTCTCATGGCCAGCAGGTGCCCCAGGGCTCCTGGCTGTCTGACACGGTTCCTTCTTCTCATCCTTGCCCATTCCCTTCAGTTTGCTGACGTGGAGGCCTGCAGGAATGGAGGACGACTCGACAGAAAAGCCCTGGGTAGGACTGGGTTTTTGGTTGTCTCTTCTCTCTCCTCCTATCCTAGTAAACGGTTAAACATCCTATGCTATTGTTTTGATGGGAAGTGAGTTTTAAAATAAAAAAGCAATCTGTATTAATTATTACGTTCTTAAAAAGTACAGGCCAGCTGTGGCCTGGCGCAGTAGTCTAGCAGCTAAAGTCCTTACCTTGCATGCGCCGGGATCCCATATGGATGCCGGTTCTAATCCTGGTGGTCCCACTTCCCAACCAGCTCCCTGCTTGTGGCTTGGGAAAGTAGTAGAGGATGGCTCAAAGTCTTGGGAATCTGCAACCATGTGGGAGACCTGGAAGAGGCTCTGGGCTCCTGGCTTATAGCTTCACACTGGTGTAGTTCTGGCCATTGTGGCAGTTTGGGAGTAAACCAGTGGACGGAAGATCTTTCTCTCTGTATATCTGAGTTTCCAGTAAAAAAATAAAATAAAATAAATCTTAAATAAATAAAGTACAGGGAAGTATTAAGAGAATAAGTCACATCACTGGCAAAAAGCAATTTGCATTTCTAGCTTTTTCTTGGTATGAGCATGCTCCACTGGTTGACCCACACAGGTGTGAATCTAGGGTCACTTGGCACATAATATGTTAACAACACTGGGAGCCAGCCATTGAGATAGGATTTTCAGTGGCTGCACTGTATTCAACTTTTTAAAGTTGTTTTCTTTTAAAGATTTATTTATTTTTATTGATACAACTAGAGAAAGATCGTCCATCTGCTGGTTCACTCCCCAAGTGACTGCAAAAGCCAGAGCTGAGGCAATCTAAAGATAGGAGCCAAGAGCTTCTTCTGAGTCTCCCACGCGGGTGCAGGGTCCCAAATCTTTGGACCATTCTCTACTGCTTTCCCAGGCCACAAACATGGACTGGAAGAGAAATAGAGCAGCCGGGACATGAACTGGTGCCCATATGGGATCCCGGCACGTGCAAGGCAGGGACTTTAGCTACTAATCCACTGCTCTAGGCACCAAATTATTTTTTTAAAGATTTATTTATTTATGGAACCCAGAACAATGGCTTAGTGGCTAAATCTTCATTTTTCAGGATCCCATGTGGGCATCATTCATGTCCACGTGGGAGACCTGGATGAAGCTCCTGGCCATGGCTTCAGATCAGCTCCGGCCCGTGTGGCTGCTTGGAGAGTGAACCAGCAGATGGAAGAGCTATCTTTCTTCTCTCTGTAAATCTGCCTTTCCAATAAAAACAAATAAATATTTAACAAAAAAATTACTTATTTTTAAGATGTATTTATTTATTTGTAAGGCAGAACAGAGAAAGAGAGTATATTTTTTATTTGTTGGTTCATTCCCCAAATACCCACAAGGGACAGAGCTGGACCAGGCTGAAGCCAGAAGCCTAGAACTCCATATGAGTCTCCCATAGGATCCAAGGACCCAAGTGCTTGTGCCATCACCTGTTGCCTTCCCAGGCGTGTTAGCAGGAACCTGGATTGAACGGTAGTACCTGAGACTGGACTTGTGCTCTGACATGGGATGCCACGTGTGCTTACAGTGTCATTTCAGGAGCTAGTTTCCCTCCCGTGGCATCTCAGGTCAGTTCCAGGGTGGCATTGTTAGGGACAGTGCTTTGATGTCATTTCTTCTGTATTGCTCTCCTAAATAAATAGTACAGTTCTCTGCTCCAAAATAAGGGTGGCTCTTGTCTGTTACATGTGCCATATTCAGATGTTCACATTCAGACCCCAGCGACATTTTGGTTTATCTGGGCAGAGGGAGGTGAATTACTCAGTTTTATTCCCAAATACTCTGAGACCTTTAGATTTTAAAAGGCATTTGGGATATAGCAACTTTAAAAAATGAAATGCAGAGCTGGGTATTGGGGCTAGCAGTTGAGCTTCCACACCCATGTCAAGAGTGCCTGAGCTGGGCAGCCAGCTCCACTCCTGACTGCAGCTTCCTGTGAAGGAATTCCTAGCGCTTGGCTCTGTCCCTGGCAGGGCCACTGCAGGCGTCGGGGAGTGAGCCAGCAGTGTACACATTTACGAGGGGACTGGGAGGGACTTGTAGTTGGAATTTGTAGTTGGAATTCTCCATCACCGCAGGGCAGACTTTGGGAAAGGTTGCCTAAGCTGGGCAGTGAGCTGAAGTAGCACTTAGGTTCATGCTGAGCCAGCAGTGTTGAAGCTGGCACATCTGCTGCAAACGAGTGAGCCTTGTGTATGTCTCTGATTGGCCCTCAGGACGTCGACCTGGACCGCCAGTCTCTAAGCAGCATTGACAAAAACGCCTCCGAGAGAGGCCAGAGCCAGCTCTCCAACCCAACCGACGACAGCTGGAAGGGCAGGCCGTATGCAAGTAAGGCACTTGCGTTTGTTCTCCTTGGTTCTTTATGTGTTCATTTTCGGTAGATGGCACACAGCCATGTGGTTCAGATGTTCAGAACGCACCAACAGTAGGCCCCAGGCCTCTGACCCCTGCGGCTGTGGCGTGACTGTTTGTCACGTGCGTTTCCAGTGATTTAATCTCTGTGCCAGCAGATGCAAACAGAACTGCTTCCACACACGTTCAGTACAAGCACACACAGTGACTCTCCTTACAATTACTGCCTAGGCATGTACTGTGCATTATTCTGTTCTTGACTGCTTCTTAGGGGTTATTCAGCCTCGGCGCATGAAGCACTTTCACTTGTTTAATACTATTAACAAAGTATGTAGATGTGTTTATTAATGCTTAATAGGGCTCCTACTAATGGACATTTATATGACTTCTAACCCTAGCACATGTCATTTGTGAATATATATAAAATTCTTAGAACATGGGGTCCACAGATTGTCACATTTGCCAGTTGAACATTTTTGCAGATTTAATGTGCATTGAGTTTATGCCTATTTACTTACTCTTTGGCAGCACCCAGAGGGAATTTGATGCCTTTGGGGTCATTGCAATTTGCACTTTCCTAATTGTACATGGAGCTGAGCAGTTTTTGTGTGTTTAGAGCCATTTCTGAGTTCTCTGTGGTCTCCCTATTGGTGATCTTTGCTCATGCTTTGGTGTCTCTGGGTCCTTTTCCTTCTGGTGGGTGGAGACTCCTGAAGGGTTAGAAATCCTTACACTAGATGCAGGGTTCAGATTACTTTTGCCGATTTTTCAGTGTTGCTATGGTATCTTGCACTGCTGATCAGTCATTTTTAGACATAGGTGTAACAGCTGTAACATGCAGACACTGCACTGTGTTTCTGGTATGTGTGATTACCAAGAATTGTTGACGATGCCATTAGGGTGCCAGAATCCCACAGGGGGACTGTTTCTGTCTCAGCTGTTCCAGCTTCCTGCTTGTGGCATGAAAAAGCAGCAGAGGATGGCCCAAGACCTTGGAACCATACACCCATGTGAGTGACCTGGAAGCTCCTGACTCCTGGCTTTGAATGGCTCAACTCCAGCCTTTAACAGCCACTAGGCAGATTTACAGAGAGAAGGTGAGACAGAAAGCTCTTCCATCTGCTGGTTCACTCCCCAAGTGGCCCCACCAGCTGGAGCTGAGCTGAGCCAAAGCCAGGAGCCTGTTTCTGGTCTCCCACACAGGTGCAGGGTCCCAAGGCCTTAGGCCATCCTTGACTGCTTTTCCAGGCCACAAGCAGGGAGCTGGAAGGGAAGTGGAACAGCCTGGATACAAGGCAAGGACTTTAGCCACTGGCAGCTACTACGCCAGAACCCAAAATAAATAAATCTTCAAAAAAGTATATTGATTTGTCAAAAGTTGCTGCAGTCTAAAGGGTAAATAAGTGCTCTCATGAACTGCTAAGCAGAACCTGTGGAAGGCAGTTACTGTGGCCCCTAGAAAGGTGAACAAGTGATCAGGAAACCAAGAACGAAGGAGCCGCAGCCCACACTGGGGTTCTGGCTTCTTTGGGGTCTGTCTGCTCCCGAGGACCTGCAGACAACTATGGTTAGGGAGTGCAGAGCCGATCTGTAGGGGCAGAATAGAACCTACAGAGTACCCTCTGGAGAACAGGGGACCTTGCAGGCCGAGTCCCTCGCCTTTTTCCAGGTCTTTGCACAGGTAGTGTATCTGCAGAGTAAGCTTTGCTGATGTGTGAATATTTAAGCTCACCTCCCACCCTGCCTGGATGTCTACCAGGTGCTCATCATTTGACTTGCTGTACCTTGCACTTAACTATGTGTCCACACCATGAGACCAGTAGATTCCTGGCTATGCCATGGCATCAAGCAGTAGTCTGTCAACGTTACTCAACATTGTTGGCTGAGTTGTTACTAGGATTCCTCTCTGTCATCCAATACAGATCAGAAGCTGTTTGCCAGCCTGCTCATCAAGTGTGTGGTCCAGCTGGAGCTGATCCAGACCATCGACAACATCGTGTTCTACCCTGCAACAAGTAAAAAGGAGGATGCTGAGCACATGGTTGCTGCCCAGGTAACAGTGGCAGGCCTCACCTTAACCGCCCTCATCCACAGGCAGGAGGCTCCAAGTCAGTGGCCTGCTGGAGCCAGCGAGCACTGGCTTTCCCAAACCTGGTGTGTCCATGTCTTTACAATGCTGAATTCAGGAATCAGTGGCCTAAAATTGGCCATACAGGGGGTTGCCCCTCAGAAATAAGCAGGCTCTCAGACACTACCATCTAAACTGTGCTCCTGATCCCTGTAATTGGTGTATATTCTAACTGCAAATGACTGAGAAGGAAAAGATATCTCTAAAGATCTTAGCTTTTCATTCAGAAAGTTGACTTTGTTTTGTACCTGGGACTGAGTGTCTAGAACTTGGATATTGCCTCCCAGCCAGGGTTGCACACCGAGCTCCTCAGAGGCCAGCAGCAGGCCCAGCGGAGTGTGTGAGGCACGCAGGGTGGCACCAGGGCCAGTCAGGGCTCTCAGCCCTTCCACCTGCCAGCCTCAGAGCTGGGTGGGATTTCCAGTTTCTCAAGAAGAACCAGAACCATCCCTTTTTCCACATAAAAATCACCTGTTTTTTAATACTGGCTGTTCATGTATGTCTTTTGATTACTGCTGATCATTGATGGGCTAAAGCCAGCTCAAATACCGACACTTTCTTAGGTGTATAATGCAGTAATTTTAGCATATTGCAGAGTTGTCTAACTTGGGAGTATCTTTATCACTGCACAGAAAATACAGGAAACCATGAGCTGTGACTTCCTCCTGGCCTCTTAGGACCACTCATCTACTTCTTGTCCTGTGGATTTGCCTGTTCTGGATATTTCACATAAATGAGATCACACAATGTGTGAACTTTTGTATCTGCTCCCCAAACTCACTCAAGTCACCGCTTCTTTCCTCTGCTACGTGGCTAAATAACCTTCCATTATACAGATGTAAATGTTGAACAAACCCAGTCCAAAACTCTGAGACGCTGTGAAATCTGACATTATGAGCACTGATAGTACAAGTGGAAAAGTCCTCCCCTGACCTCATGTCATACCAAGTCCAGGGACATGCAGAACATTGTACAAATGCACCTTTAGGCTGGAAGGCATAAATATGAAACACAAATGAATCCTCGTGAAGATTTGGGCCTTGCCCCCAGCGTGTCTCCATGTTTATATACAATGTTCCAAACCCCAAAGAACACTGTGGTGCCAAGCCTTTTGGATCAGGCGTGCTCAGCGTGTACTGTCCCCAGCAGCCGTGTATGAAGCCGCCCTCACCCAGTGGTTATCACTGCTCTTTCAGAATCACAGCCATTGTCTTGGGTGTGACATGGCATCTCATTGTCGCTTTGATTTACATTTCTGAGGTACCAGTGAAATCAAATATCTTTGATATGCATCGGTCATTTGTTTGTCTTTGGAAATGCCCCCTCGAATCCCTTGCCTGTTTTTACATTTTTTTTTTATTGCTGAATTGTTGGCATTTTTATTTATTCTAGGTATATAATTCCTTATTAGATATGTGACTTGCACCTGTTCTCGCTCATTCTGTGTGTTGTCCTTTCAGTTTCTTGGTGGTATCCTGTGAAGGACAAATGTTCTAGTTTCTTGTTTTTAAGGTTTATTTTATTTATTTGGAAGGCAGAGATACAGACAGAAGGAGATCTTTTCCTTCTAGTGGTTCCCTGCCCAAGTAGCCACAACAGCTGGGGCTGAGCCAGGCCTAAGCCGAGAGCCAGTCAGGTATTACCTGACTGAGGCAAGGATGCACTGGGGCTTTGTCAGCCGATCTGCCCTTTAGTGAAGCTACTGGAGACACATGCACAGCTGTCTAGTGTCCTCAGACCATGGCAGGGGCTGAATGGATAGAGTTCAGGGCATCCAGGACGCTGTGTTCTATAGAGGTGACCGTCAGAGCAGCAGACCTGCCTTTGCCTGCCAGCAGAGTGCCCAAAGCCACTCCATCTCCTTCACTCAGCTCTCCTGTCCTCTGTCCTCTAGCAAGACACACTGGACGCAGACATCCACATAGAGACAGAGGATCAAGGCATGTATAAGTACATGTCTTCCCAGCACCTCTTTAAGCTGTTGGACTGCCTGCAGGAGTCCCATTCCTTCTCGAAGGCCTTCAACTCCAATTACGAGCAGCGGACCGTCCTGTGGCGAGCAGGTATGGCCACACAGCAGGTAGACCAGGTTGGCTGCATGGTCACCAACCTAAAATGGGCATCTCCTGACGATCTCAGAGCAGCGAGAATAGCCTGCTGGTACTCTCCAGCCTGATACTGACTACATTTCGTCCTCGTCCCAAAGGTACTGTTTGACACTTGACAGTTTCTCAGAGCTAATCAGGACATTTTGCATTAAATAAACTGTAAAATAGGATATTACGAAAGTGTGATAGTCTTGGAGGAACAGAAGCATTCATTTCCTGAGATTTAAGATGTTTTCTGTCTTTTCTGCCTCCAAAAATCAATACATAAATCCCAGAAGTGAATTTATATTGTTCTCTGGGATGATATGGAAATTTTCATTGTTTTTGAATGTATCCAAAAGTTATACTTTATGTAGATGTTTTTTAAAAGATTTATTTTTATTGGAAAGGCAGATAACACAGAGAGGGGGAAATACAAAGGTCTTTTGTCCTCTGGTTCACTCGCCAAGTGGCCACAGCGGCCATAGCTGAGCTGATCTCAAGCCAGGAGCCAGGAACCTCCTCCGGGTTTCCCACACAGGTGCAGGGTTTCAAGAGTTTGAGCCATCCTCTACTGCTTTCCCAGGCACTATTGCAGGGAGCTGGATGGGAAGTGGAGCAGCCAGGACCCCATATGGGATCTTGGCAAATGCAATGTGAGGATTTAGCTACTAAGACTATTCTGTCAGGCCCTTTTATGTAGCTTTTTTTTTTAAAGGATTTATTTATGTTTATTGGAAAGGCAGATATACAGAGAGAAGGAGATACTGGCCCAGTGCAATAACCTAGCGCAAAATCTTCACCTTACACTCACTGGGATCCCATATGGGTGCCAGTTCTAATCCCAGCTGCTCCACTTCCCATCCAGCTCCCTGCTTGTAGCCTGGGAAAGCAGTCGAGCACAACCATTATGTAGCTTTTAAAGGTTGTTTGACAGGTGGAGTGAAGATGTCTTCCATCCGCTGATTTACTCCTCCTGATGACCAAAATAGCAGTGTGGAGCAGGCTGAAGCCAGCAGCCAGGAATGCCTTTAGGTCTCCCTACAAGTGGACAGGGGCCCGAGCACTTGGGTCATCTTCTGCCTTCCCAGGAGCACTAGCAGGGAGCTGGATCAGAAGTGGGGCAGGCAGAACTTGAACTAGTCCTCCAGTATGGTGGCTTAAGCTGTGCCACAACAGCTCCTTCCTACATAACTTTTGCATTGCCATCATTACTTTTTCTCCCCAAATGCCTACTTTTGCTCACAAGTGGCTTTGAAACACTGAGATGCTCTGTGTCTTTGTCTCTGGTAAGGTTGAGTTTGTGGGAGTGATTTCCACCTTGTGCGGCTGAATGGGATGCCTTTGTTCCTAAAGGTGTGTTCTTCGATGTGCTTTGCGACGCAGACGAGTTCTACTGGAGCAGATATTGTGGCACAGCAAATTGGGCCACCTTTAGGGATGCCCACACCCCAAATCAGAGTGTTGAGTTCAGCAGCTGGACATCTGAGCTGGCTTCCTTGTAATGTGCCTGGGAAGGCAGTAACTGAAACCTTAAGTGTTTGGGTGCTGGCCACCCATGTGGAAACCCAGATGGAGTTCCCAGCCTCTGGCTTTGTCCGGGCCCCATGCTAGCTGTGGGGTCGTTTGGGGAGTGAACCAGTAGATAGGGAAATCTCCCTTTTTCTGCCACTCTGCCTTTTTAAATTAAACCATCTCACTGGAAGAAAAGCACTAGAATTCTTGAGCACTGTTACTTTGAGCCGATGGAAGTGATGACGTCCCAGGCAGTGGGCCAATCCAAGTGGCAGGGTGAATACACGTGACACCGAGGAGGACCTCTGGAGTCATACCCTAAAGTAGCCAGCACACACATGGTCACTCAGCATTATACACCTAATACCGTACACTGCTAATCATTGTCTGATCTCCAGGTTTTAAGGGCAAGTCTAAACCCAATCTCCTAAAGCAAGAAACCAGCAGCCTGGCCTGTTGTTTGAGGATCCTGTTTCGAATGTATGTGGATGAAAACCGCAGGGATTCCTGGGAAGAAATACAGCAACGACTTCTAACGTAAGAAGACTTAAGGTCCACTATGGAGATGGTGGGAGAGCCGGGAGGGAGTCCCAGGCAGCTAATCAGAACCTTCACCCCAGAAGCTGCCAGTGTCCCATCGCCTCCCCCAGCCCCACCCCGCAGGACTCAGAAGCCGTGACACACAGTCCTGGTGGCATGGGCTTTCCTGCTGGGCTTAGATAGGGTCGGCGCAGCATGCCCCAGGACCCCAGAAGTGCTGCTTCTGTCTGACAGCTGTTCTACTCTCCCAGCATCTCCTCCAGAAGGTGTTTTAGAAATAGCGGGCTTCATACCAAATATACTGAGTGCAGGCATGCAGGAGAGAATGTGAACAGCTCAGCTCTGGAATGAGTAGATGACGGTCTAGCCTGCACAGGAAGAGGCAGTCATTGAAAAGTGAAGTTTAAAACATAATTTTCATAAAACTAAGTTTCACCCAGGCCAGGAAAAACAAAGCAATAGGTAAAACTGTACTTTCTGGCAAATTTCAAGAGTAGTTTTCATTTTTAAATAGAAGCCCTAGAAGGAAATAGGCCAGAACATTGTGGCTGATAGTTTTTTGTTGTGCTGCAGATGTTAGCTAAGCCCAGCCCTAGCCATGTGCCTGGCCTGAGCGTTGTCTGTCCGTTAGCATCCTGACTCAGCCTTCACAGCAGCCCCTTGAGTTTGGTGCAGTCATGTATCCCATTTTCTGGCTGAGGAAGCCAAGGCCTGGGAGTGGCGCACGGCAGGTGCAGCAGGCGGGAGGGGGTCACTCAGCTAGTGGCGCTCATCAGCTGTCTCCGGCCCTCTCGCATTTCTTGCAGGGTGTGCAGTGAAGCGCTTGCCTATTTCATCACAGTGAACTCTGAAAGCCATCGGGAGGCCTGGACAAGTCTCCTGCTGTTACTTCTAACCAAAACCCTCAAGATAAATGATGAAAAGGTAATAAGGCACCTGACAGGTGCTCTAAGACACACAGTTTGAACTGACTTCCTATCAAAGTTGGAGGCAACTCTTCCCTGGTGCTCCAGGGTGCTTGCCTAATGGGCCCATCCATGTTCATTAGAGAGAAGCGTCATTCGCTCACGCCGTGGGGGCCTGGGTGCAAGGGGCCTCTCTTGCAGAGGGCTGATGTTTGAATAAGTGTGCTGCTGGGAGCCGGGTGGTGATTTTCAGTGCATGTGGGGAGGGATGAGGTTGTGAAACACTGGCTGAGACCTCGGAACTAGCCTTACAAAACCAAAGGACTAGGGTGGGCCTTGGGCCCAGCAGGTAAGATGTCCACGCACCACCCGCGGGTGCCTACATCTAGCCCTCACCTGCAACTCCTGCTGAGGCGGACTGTGGCTTGCAGCCCCAAGTAGTGGATTCCTGCCACCTGCCTGGGGGACCGGTCTTCAGCCCCAGCTGCGGAATGAACCCAGTGAAGGAGAGCTCGCCCTCTCTCTCTCTTTCCCCTTAAAATTTTTTTGAAAGGAGAAGGAAGAGGTACTTTTGACAACCAGGCTATCCTAATGTACTTTTCTCAAAAAGAAGTTTAAACAACTTAAAAAAAATTTTTAAGGCATATTTACACATGCAAAGACAGATAAAAAGGAGTCTTCCATCCACTGGTTTACTCCCTACATGGCCACATTGGCCATAGCTGGGCCAGTCTGAAGCCGGGAGCTGCTTCTGAGTCTCCCACGTAAGTGCAGGAGCCCAAGGATCTGGCTTGTCTTCATCTGCTTTCCCAGGCACATGAGCAGGGAGCTGGGTTGGGCATATAGCAGCAGGACTCAAACAGGCGCCCATGTGGCATTCTGGCACCTACAGGTGGCTTCACAAGAAAAGGCACTGCTGCTTTCCACAAGCTTTAGGATAAGATGAATACATTTGGAAAACTGCTGTTTAAAAAAAAATTCATGTCTAATTTTGTCTGTTTCTTTCCCAAGTTCAAAGCACATGCTTCAAGGTACTACCCCTACTTGTGTGAAATTATGCAGTTTGACCTGATCCCTGAGCTCCGAGCAGTGCTGAGGAAGTTCTTCCTGCGGATAGGTGTAGTCTATAAGATATGGATTCCAGAAGAGCCACCGCAGGTGCCGGCGACACTGTCACCAGCGTGGTAGCTCTGGCCCCCGCGGCCCACTCCTGCAGCTCTGCAGCTCATCCCAGCGGGTCAGACGGGGACACCAGGTCAAAGGTCACCCAGGACCGAGGAGCCAGCGTGTCTGCTCGGCTCTCAGGATGGCCTGGAGAGGGATGAGCTCCGTGCTGGCCTCATCCATGTCCCCGACCAAGGCTTGTGGTGTGTCATTCACTGTCACCTCCCGGGCAGCTTCGCTCGTCTCTGCCATTTCACTTCACTTTTTGAACTGTCCAGTCTGTCCTCGTACGTCGTGCTGTCATCTTCCAGGAGTCCGTGATTGGCCGGCAACGTTGCGTCAGAGGAAGCCCGCACCTTGAAGATCCTGAACTTAGCTGTATAGGTTCACGATTTCTTAGAGAGTGTGTTAATAAAACTTTCTTGTAGTGGCGCCCTGCCCCCTGACACATGCTGGGCTGTTTTTGTTCGAGTGTCTCTCAGTCGTGAGGCAGCCACAGTTAGGTTAGCTGGGGGAAATGCAGGAATGGGAACCCTTGTGTTTTGTGCTTTGTTCATGTCAGAGTAAATTTTTTTTTAAGTATTTTACAAAAAAAAAGGAAAAACATTATTGGAGGCTGAATTTAGTCATTAAGTTAGTAGAATTAAAGAGCTATTAAGGTTAAACAGACAGAAGACACAGTGCCTCGTGGCTCTCTCCCTGTCCAGTAGCTCGGGGAAAATGTGCAGGACAATGAGCAGTGTGCTGAGGACGGTGAACTGTCCTGGGGTCAGTATTAACACGGGGAACACAGTGTCCCAGCCCAATCTGAAACCTACCTAGGAAGCAGTGATGAAAATGCAGCATTTAGCCAGAGTTCATGTTTCTTTGAGTAAAAAACCTTGCGTTTTTACCTCCCCCGAGTGCGTGTCCTAGCATGGCTGCTTTGCACAGTCCCTGTAAAGGGCCCCTGGGTGGGAGGACCCCCTCAGCCAGGAGTCATGGGTGGAGCCAGAGCCAGCCTGGGGCCGACATTGCTGGTCTGTGGCAACAGTGGAGAGGGCACTCACCCAGCATCTGCATTCATCGCCACCCAGGAGCTGAATGCCCAGGCAAGGTTGCCTTCCGGACTGCAGCTTGCGTACACACGGGGCTGTCATGCGTGGGACCCGGGGCCCACAAGCAGCATAGGTGGAAACTCGGTTTATTCTGAGTGTTGGAGAAAAACATGCTTCATAGTCTGCCCTCATCCACTGCTCACCTGGAGCACCAGGGAGCGTTTCAAAAGTGTTTGCAGAGTCCCTGAGCCCTCAGACTGCTGCCCCGCGCCCTTAGTCCCGGAAACTGGCTTGTTGGCTGTCAACTCTGGTGCCTTAGGAGTCAGTCATTTGGGAAGCTGTGAAATCAGCTGGTCTTTTTCCCTCTTCTGGAGGAGGATTTCTGGTGCTTTTGCTAAGAGGCCGCTTTCTTCTTAAGTTCTCGTTTTGTTCTGAACAGCCTCAAGAAGTATTTGATCTTATTAGCCAGCACTGCTCATCTGCTTTTTTTCTTTCCATTCCCCTCCCCTGCCAAAAAAAAGTGTTTTTAATTTCTCTACCAAAGAAAATGCAAGAGCAGGTTTCCATTCTTAATGTTCAAGAAAGGTGAGCTGCATGGTTTAGCTGGAAGGGAGAGCACGAGGAGACCTGTGCGTGGAGGGTGTGTTTGCTGAGCCTGTGGTCTCTGGCATCTGCAGTGACACTGGGACAGAAGCCGTGGGTCCAACGTGCAAACAGCCGCATCTCTGAGTGCTGGCTTCTCCCAAGGTTTAGGGGGAGAAGGGTGGCGTTTTCTAGCCAACACGTTCCCAACCTAACCCTGGCTCCTCTTGAAGCTTTAGCCGCCAGGAAGGGAGTAAAATGTTGACATTTTTCCATCACTTCCCAAAACATTTCGGCTTGGATTTCTTTTGGTCACTTAAAAGATGGAATTTTGTGAGGGAAGCATTTGAATCAAATCAGCATCAGACTTGGTAAAAACTGGACATAAAATTATCTGGGATCATTCTTGTTCGGTGGTCAGCTGGAGAGGGGAACTTGCCTCCAGTGATAAGCCAAGCAGCCTCGATTCGTGTTTGTGGGCACAAATCCATCAAACAGCCTCTGCCTGGGGGTGGGGGAAGCAGGGGAGCCAAGCGCCTGCCAAGCCTTGTTTCTTCCTCAGAAAGTGCCAGGTGTTCATTCTGTGCTCCGGGTCTCCAGAAAAGTCTTGATTCACACACAGTGCTGCTGCTTCGAGTGCGTCTCCTCGTTGTCTAAGGAAATCCCCGGTTCTGGCACCTTAACAGCAAGCACTGCACGGAAATCTCGTTTCTAATCTGCATCTTTACAGTCAAACACACCTTTTGCTTGCATTCTCCACGCATAACCAAAGAACGCATACGTTAGGAAAATGGTATGATAATAGCTGGAAACACATAGCACTTTGCTCTGGCAGGGGATTTTGTAAAAATGCAGAAAAAAGACCTTTACAGTGGTTAAAGGAACCGGTGCAGAGTTTGTTGTCATGGTGTAGCCAGACTCTGCTTTCAGCAGGAGCCGGGTCCTTCCTTCGCCTAGCATTATCTTAGGGTCTGTTGAGGGAGACATGTCACCTGAATTCCTGGAATTTTGCCATCCGCAGCTTTGCAGTTTGAGAAACTAAGAAACCGAAGCTGAATGTTTTAAAAAATGAATATATCTGGAAAGCCTTCCTCTTCAAGAAATAAAAAGACTCATCAAAGGTGTAGTTCTCAGTGTTCTAATTTTTAAAACATTTTATGTGTGTATTTGCACCAAATATTTCTTTATGTGCAAGATGTATGTTTTACTTCCTTAAAATGCCTAAAAGTCAATATTTACTTTGTTTTAATTATACACGATGATTAAGTGCATTTAATATAATTTAATGAAAAGCATTCTCTGCCCAACAGATGTAAACATTTTTGAAAGAATAAGCAGAATTATATATGAAATGCTATGTAAAGTTTTCTATGTAAAATAAAATTATGTATTATACTGTTAAAATATGCTTTGATCAGGTGGTAAATCAATAAAGTTTTAAAAATTACATGTTTTTTACTTTCTTTTAAAACTCTGTAGAAAAAAAAAAACCATATATATATTTATTTGAAAGGCAGAGCGAGCGAAAGAGACCCTCCCTGTGTTGGTTCACTGCCAAATACCCAAGCGCCTCGGCTGGGCCAGACGGAAGCCAGGACCCTCAAGCTTCCTCCAGGGTCTCCCATGTGAGTGCAGATGCCCAAGTGCTTGCCCAAGTGTCAGCTGCTTTCCCAGACCTGTTACCAGGGAGCTAGACCCAAGGTGGAGCAGCCGGTTTCCAAGGGACACCTCTACGGGATGCATGTGTTACAGGCAGCAGTTTTTACCTGCTATGCCACAATGTCAGCCCCAGGTTGGTGGTGGTTGGCATAGGAATTCTAAGTGAGAAGATAATCATAGGATTAGGCACAATATTGGAATTGGACCTTCACCGCCCCCCCCTTTGGGCTACTGGAAAACTTTGGATTGCCCTTGATTTGATTGAAGAGGAAACTGCCAGCTGCAGACCCACTTCCCCACACACCTGTTAAAACCTATGCTGGATGGAAACCAGCCCTAGGTACCTGCTTCCCTCAGAGTCCCAGGGGGTGCATGGCATGCGTAGGCCGCGGATGAAGCTCCCCAGTCCCTGGGTTCCGGCTAAAGTCACCCCCCAACTCCACCCCCAAGGCAGGGAAGAAGAAGATATTTTCACAACCTACCTTCTCACTGATTTTATTTATTTGAAAGAATTAAGGAGGGAACACAGAGCTGCAATAACGGGGTGCTGGGCCAGGAGCATGGAACTGCATCCGGGCTCTCTTGTGGGTGGCAGGCCATGCATCCGTTGCTGCACAAGGCTCCCTGAGCAGGGAACTGGGTCCTAAGGGGAGCACTGGGGACCAGCAGCGCTCAGGAAAGCACTCCCACTGGATCACTCTAGATACTATTCTCACTGTCTTTTGCAGGTTCTCCTGCCATCAGCACCATACCTTCATCCCCCATTTACGGTGCCTGGGGCTGGCTGGGGTCAGTGCCCTTGCCTGAGGCCTCTGAGCTAGACAGGAAGCTCCACAGTGACTCCAGAGCTGCCTCTTAAACACAGCCAGGCCCCACTGCCCACTCCTGCCTGCCTTCCACTGCAGCCAGAAAGGGCCAGTGGTCGGTGCAGACCCCAGGTGCTCTGGCCTGTGGGTAGATTGTATTTCACATGCTGTGAGTCTAAACAGTGAAAAGTTCTATGTCAGGCTAATAGGTTTCTAAATGCACAACATTCTACCTTTGTTCCTGTGGCCTAGGAAAGCGGTCCAGGACGGCCCAAACCCTTGAGACCCTGAACCTGCATGGGAGACCTGGAAGAAGCTCCTGGCTCCTGGCTCCTGGCTTCAGATTGCCTCAGCTGTAGCTGTTGCGGCTGCTTGGGGAGTGAATCTGCGGATGAAAGATCTTTGTCTCTTCGCTTTGTACTTTGGCCTTTCCGATTAAAATAAGCAAATTTTAGAAAATCTTATATCTAAAAAAATTAAAAGTGCCATGTCAGAGTTCCTGGCTTTGAATCCTGGCTGGCTTCTGACCCCAGCTTCCTTCTTGAAGCACACCCCAGGAGGTGACACACCAGGGCTGCTCGGGCTTGGGTTCCTTGTACCCACCCCCGTGGGGTCGGAACGCAGTTCTCAATGCCTGGTTTCAGCCTGGTCCAGCCCTGGCTGCTATGGGGACTTTGGGAAAACATCTATCTCTCCCTTTCAAATGGATAAAACCAAAATGTTAAATGTATAAAAACTCCACTTATAGGAAACACCAGTCAGCTACATCTCAATGTCAGCTACTGTCTCCGGTCGGTGGTGGCTCCTCAGGTTGAGCCGCCACCCACAATGCCACCAACTCATGTGAGCCCAGCTTCCACCAGCCCCCCTGTTGACATGGTCTGGGAGAGCAGCAGAGAAGGGACCAAGTGCTCAGGTCCCTGGCCACCCAGGCTCCTGGTTTTGGGCGTGCCCAGTCCTGACTGTCCAGCCACGCGGGGGAGTGAGCCAGAGGATGGAAGCGTGAGCTCTTTCTCGCTTCGTCCCTCTGCCTTTCCAGTAAATAAACACCTGCTCGGCGCCCTCCCATGGACCTCCCAAGTCACTGCCTGGCGGAGCATCGGAGCGTCCTGGTCTTTCCACCACAGCACTGCATGTCTTACTGGACGGTTCCTTTTGATTCTGTCAAACAGCATCTCTGGGCGGGGGGGAACTCTCTTTGGCCTGAGACGCTCCCCACGTGGCTTGCCTCCTGTCCTTCCACGGTTACTGAAGATCTACTATTTGCCAGGCCATGACACCCAAGTAGGTCACCGATGGGCGCCGGCCTGAGGTTTGCAAAGTGAGGGAAGCGGTTGGGGCGGCAGGCGTTGTCACCTGTGACGTCAGCGGAAGCAGCGCGGGGTCCCCATTGGCCGTTTGCGCCCGGCAGGACCCGCCCCCGAGCAGGACCCGCCCCCTCGGCCCGGCTCCGCTCGCGCATGCGCTCCGACCTCAGCCTCGCCGCCGCGCCATTTTGCCGGGGTTTGAATGTGAGGCGGAGCAGCGGCGGGAGTGAGCAGTGCTGGCAGCAGTCCGCGGCTGGGATTTCCTCCTCCGAACCCGGATCCCCACGAGGTGAGGCGCCGGCCGCGCACGACCTGGCGGGGGTGCTTCCCAGGGCCCCGCCGACCGAGCGAGGTGGCGCTCCCAGCAGCTCCGAGCGCCGGGCCCCTCGCACCGCACGCCGCCGGGCCTTGGCCTCGGGCCGTGCGCCCCGCGGAGGGAGTCTCCTGTCCCCCGCGACGAGCCTGGCCGCTCCCCCGGCGGCCCTGCGGGCTCCGGCCCGGGCCCCGCGGCCCTCGAGCCGGGCCAGGGCGGCCGAGCCGCGGCCTAACGCGAGCCTGCGTGAGCCCGCCCCTTCCCCTCCGGCGCCGCGCCGATTGGCTGTGCCGGCTGCCAGGGCCGCTGCTCATTGGTCGCCCGGGCGCGTCCGTCGGCGCCGCTGACCGCCGCGGCGTGCACGGGGCAGCGAGGCCGGGCTGGGCCCCGAGTGCCGGGCGCGGGTGGCGAGTGCCGGGGCTGCGCGCTCGCTCGCCGCCCTCCGTGCGCTTCGGCGTCCTCGGCTGCAGGGCGGGCAGCGGTCCCGACTCCCTTCTCTGCCCCCGGGTTGTCGGTGCACGTGTTGGGGTGGCCGTGGCATGAGATGGCCCGGGGTTCACGAATGCGCTTGGCTGCTGCCTGGGGAGTGTGGTTCAAGGATGGAGGCTTCGTCTCTCCACACCTTCATGTCTCTGCAGAATGAGGCTTGATAAGCTAACCCACCGTGGAAAGCGGTTCTGCGGACTCCCCGTCGTCGCGGCCGCTGTCCGTCTCCCCTCTCTCCCCGGTCCTCTCTTCCTTGGCTGCTGCTGCGGCTCTACCGACTTGACCTTTTTCTATCTTGAACTTTCCAAGCCCCTCCAAATCTTAAAATATTTGCATACATCCGTAATGGAAATTTGCAGCATCCGACTTTGCAGAGGTCCCCGCCCCCAGCTCTCCCTTGAAGACCTGCGGACTTTCCTTGTCTGTCCCTCCCTGCCTGGTTGCCTTGCTCTGTCCTGAGGGTAGGGGAGAGGGGTGCCCCTTCTCCTGAGGGCTGTCCCGGAGGCACACGGCCCCTCTGGTGACCAGCTTTCTTTGCTGGGCTCCCTGGCTCTGGATGTACCCAGGCTCTCCCACTTACCCTTCCTTGTCTTTCTCTCTCCTAGTGCAAGGGCCTTCCTCCCCTTCTCGTCACTGCGTGCTCCTACTTGGAGGCCCGGCGCTTCCTGCACAAGATGGGGCAGGGGGCTGAGAGAGAATCGCTCTTGCACAGGATTTCTCATTCTCTCTCTTTTTAAGATCTATTTATTTTTGTTTGAAAGGCAGATTTACAGGGAGAAGAAAGTGCTTTCATTCTCTGGTTCAGGCCGCAAATGGCCACAACAGCCAGAGCTGAGCCGGTCAGAACCTAGGGGTCTCCTCCAGGTCTCCCACGCAGGCGCAGGGTCCCAAGGCTCTGGGCCGTCCTCAGCTGCTTTCCCAGGCCACAGGCAGGGAGCTGGATGGGAAGTGGAGCAGCTGGGACACGAACCAACACCCTTATGGCATCCGAGCGCTTCCAGGGGAGATTAGCTGAGCCATTTTTTCCGAGCCCATTGCTCTTTCCATTTAATGACTTTATTGAGCCTGCACTTAATCTCTGGGACTACAGTGAAAAAGCAGCAATGAACAAAATCCCTCTCTTTGAGCAGCTTTTATCCTGTTGGGTGAAAAAGACAAGAACATGAACAAATGCCCTGGGATTATCTTGGATAGTGACAAGTGACAGAATGAAGGCAAAAGAGTTTTCTGAGAGGCTGACTTTTTTTTTTTTAAGATTTATTTTATTACAAAATCAGATATACAGAGAGGAGGAGATACAGAGAGGAAGATCTTCTGTCAAATGATTCACTCTCCAAGTGAGTGCAATGGCCAGTGCTGTGCTGATCCGAAGCCGGGAACCAGGAACCTCTTCCCACATGAATGCAGGGTCCCAAAGCTTTGGGCTGTCCTCAACTGCCTTCCCAGGTCACAAGCAGGGAGCTGGATGGGAGTTGGAGCTGCCGGGATTAGAACCTGCGCCCATATGGGATCCCAGCACATTCAAGGCGAGGACTTTAGCCACTAGGCCACGCTGCCGGACCCGAGAGGGTGACTTTTTAAAGATTTCTTTTTTATTGGAAAGTCAGATATACAGAGCGGAGGAGAGACAGAGAGGAAGATCTTCTGTCAAATGATTCACTCCCCAAGTGACTGCAATGGCCGGAGCTGAGCTGATCTGAAGCCAGGATCCAGGAGCCTCTTCCAGGTCTCCCACACGGGTGCAGGATCCCAAGGCTTTGGGCCGTCCTCGACTGTTTTCCCAGGCCACAAAGCAGGGAGCTGGATATGGAGTGGAGCTGCTGGGATTAGAGCTGGCGCCTATATGGGATCCCAGCGTGTTCAAGGCGAGGACTTTAGCTGCTAGGCCACTGCACCAGGCCCTGAGGGTGACTTTTAGAAAGATTTATTTCTGAAGAGAGACTGACACTTGATTGGCTGGCTTACTCCCCTGAGAAGTGTGACAGCTGTGGCAGGTGGCCAGAGCTGCCAGGGGAGCACAAGATTGGTTCGTTGCTTTAAAAGGAGCAGTTCCAGAGCTCTCTAATCTGGTTCACCCCACACATGGCTGCAAAAGCCATACTGAATCCAGGAGGTTCTTTGAGTCTCCCGAATGAGTGCAGGGGCCCAAGCATGTGTGCCGGCCTCTACTGCTTTCCTGGGTGCTACTGCAGGGACCTGGATGGAAAGTGGAGCAGCCAGGAGTAGAACCAGTGTCACAGGCCAGGAGCTTTACCCATTACACCGCAGTGTGAGTCCTGGAGCCTGGGACCCAGTGCAGGTCTCCACAGGAGTGTCGGCCCACGCATGTGGCCCTGCACCTGCGTGTCCCAGAGTACACAGTAGCTGGAAGTGGAGCCAGTGTTGGATTCCTGGCACTCAAGTATAGCGTGCAGGCATCCCAAGCAGAGGCTTTTTAAAGCTTTATTTATTCATTGGAAAGTCGGATATACAGAGAGGAGGAGACACAGAGAGGAAGATCTTCCATCCGATGATTCACTCCCCAAGTGAGCGCAACGGCCGGAGCTATGCTGATCAGAAGCCAGGATCCAGGAACCTCTTCCGGGTATCCCACACGGGTGCAGCATCCCAAAGCCTTGGGCCGTCCTCGACTGCTTTCCCAGGCCACAAGCAGGGAGCTGGACGGGAAGTGGAGCTGCCAGGATTAGAACTGGCACCCATATGGGATCCCAGCGCGTCCAAAGCGAGGACTTTAGCTGCTAGGCCATGACGCCGGGCCTGGGTGCTGGTTTTAATCCTGGCAGTCCCGCTTCCATCCAGCTCCCTGCCTGTGGCCCGGGAAAGCAGTCGAGGATGGCCCTAAGCTTTGGAACCCTGCACCCGCGTGGGAGACCTGGGAGTCTCTTGGCTTCGGATTGGCATAGCATGGGCCGTTGCGCTCACTTGGGGAGTGAATCATCGGACGAAAGATCTCCCTCTCTGTATATCCGCCTTTCCAATAAAAATAAAATAAATCTTTAAAAAAAAAAAAAGATTTTTGTTTTTATTGGAAAGGCACATTTACAGATAGAAGGAGAGACGAAAGGATCTTCTATCCACTAGTTCACACCGCAAATGGCCACGGCTGCCAGAGCCAATCCGAAGCCAGGAGCCTCTTGCAGGTCTCCACATGTGTGCAGGACCCCAAAGACTTTTTTCGGCCATCTTCGGGTGCTTTCCGAGGCCACAAGCAGGGGGCTGGGTGGGAGGTGGAGCAGCTGGGACTACAACTAACACACATATGGGATGCCAGCACTTTTTAAAAGTGGATGAATAGCCTGTTAAATCAGCAGCAGCCCAAAAGTTGGACTTGAGTCAATGCCCGCACGGACCACCAGTGTTGCCAGCAGAGGCTTAGCGTGATAAGAAAACTTTTTTTAAAAAGATGTATTTATTTTTATTGGAAATGCAGATATACAGAGAGAGAGAGGAAGATCTTCCAGCCGCTATGATGGGAGCTGAGCCAATCCAAAGCAGAGAGCCGGGAGCTCCTTCCGAGTCTCCCACGCAGGTGCAGGTTCCCAAGGCTTTGGGCCATCCTCTGCTATTTTGCCAGGCCACAGGCAGGGAGCTGGAGAAGTGGAGCAGCCTGGACTCAAAGCAATGCCCACAGGGATAAGGGCACGACAAACAGAGGCTTAACATGCTATGCAGTGGTGCCGGCCCCAAGGTTACCTGCTTCAACAACAGTCCCTGTTCCAGACTCCTCTCTAAACTCGGGGCAGGCTCATGTAGGCCATGTGGGAAGCAACAAAGAAGTGAGGGAGAGGAGCTGCCTAATGCACAGTGAGTGTCTGATTCACTGTGTCCCCGCGTGATTGATTACCCAACTTTTTTGTTTTAGATTCCATAGCAATGGAGCTCAGTGATGCAAATTTGCAAACGCTAACAGAATATTTAAAGAAAACTCTTGACCCCGACCCTACCATCAGACGTCCAGGTAAGAACAAATGCTGTTTGGGGTTGGTTTATTCTTTCTGTGCAGTCTGCCAGCTTGTACAGTTTGACAGCAGTCGGGGCGGTTGTACTTGGAGTGTCATGGATAGCTTGTGGTGTGTGATTGACTTTTTGGTTAAATATTTTTTTTTGTTTGGTGGGAGCCCTAGGCGGGCGGCAGGCCCGGGAGCTCGCTGTGGGGCGTGGATGTCTTAACTGCTCCCTGTCATCAAACTCTAGGAAGTCCCCGGGTCTCCCAGTGGCTGACATGAGTTAAATAATTTTACTTTCATTCCAGTATTTCTATGTTAAGTACCAGTAGTACTTTCTGGGCCAAGCTTTTTCCCAGAAGTCACGCTTGTCTCTGTAACGTAGAGGCCTAGAGCTGCAGACCTTCCCTAAGGAAGGTGGCCTAAGCTTCTGATTCTCTGATCCTTCAAAGGTCCGCACATGCTCTTCTTTTACAGCGGAGAAATTTCTTGAATCTGTAGAAGGAAATCAGAATTACCCACTGTTGCTTTTAACATTACTGGAGAAGTCCCAGGATAATGTCATCAAAGTGTGTGCCTCAGTAACGTTCAAGAACTATATTAAAAGGAACTGGAGAATTGTAAGTAGTTTGAAATACTTGTGTGATGTGATGTCCTGTATAAAGGTTCCATGCGGGCATTAAAGATAGAAGCTGCTGCTGTTTTTATTTAAATTCAGATAAACTTCATGTTCATAAGCTGAATTGCTTGGAAAGGGCATTATTTGGGTTTTGCCCATAACCACTATTATGGTTGGAATGTAACTTACACACTGTCTCGTGAAGAAGCACTGGGAAGTGAGAATGAGTAAAATAATTTTTGTTGGGGACTAGAAAAATTAGAGCTGAAAAATCTTATTGTAGAATGCAAAATAATTTGGAACTTTTTTAATTTAAATTTTTGATAAGAGATTTTGGCCTCTGGTAGGGTGTGGAATACTTTAAACAATTTATGCAAAGATAGGATAATAAAAGGTAACTTTGGGTGCAAAAAGACATTTGAAATTCATGCATAGTTTGTTCATAAAGCACATTTTTCCAGGAAGTGGATTTTGTTTTGTTTTGTTTTGTTTTTGTCCTTTGTTTTTTAATCAAGAGCAAGGAAGAAACTGTCAGCCCCCATCTGCTGAGGAAGTGCCTTTTGTGGGAAACAAGTTGGTTTTAAGTTACTTCCTAGTTCCCTGATGTTTTGCTTTAAGGTTGAAGATGAACCAAGCAAGATCTGTGAAGCCGACCGAGTGGCCATCAAGGCCAACATTGTGCACCTGATGCTTAGCAGCCCGGAGCAGATCCAGAAGCAGGTGAGGCTCACGGCCGTGCTCCCTGGGCGGGCCGCCTCACGCAGTGCTCCCCGGGCGGGCGGCCTCACGCAGTGCTCCCTGGGCGGGCCGCCTCACTGCCGAGCTCCCAGGCGGGCCGCCTCCCGGGCTCTGCGCTGACTCAGCCTTTCCTCTCGCAGCTAAGTGATGCTATCAGCATTATTGGGCGAGAAGATTTCCCTCAGAAGTGGCCAGATTTGTTGACAGAAATGGTGAACCGCTTTCAGAGTGGAGATTTCCACGTTATTAATGGAGTCCTTCGTACAGCACATTCGTTATTTAAAAGGTACTGATGTACTGACATCTGCTTTTAGAATGCTTGTATTTGCTTGTAGCACTAATTCCTGGTGTTCCTCCTGTGACCATGGTTACCTCGGAGTGAGCTTCTTGATTCGTTACTGTTGGTTTCCTCTCAGCTTAGAATGCTTGTTTCAGATTGCCCTGGTAACTGGAAAATGTGCAGATACGGTAAACTGCTTGGTTCCTTTAAAAGAAATTTCTCTTCTTTTAACTTTAGAAAAGTCGTTCAGTCACATATGTATCTAGTCCACATCTGGAAGACCTGAACAAAAAGTTAATTTGTGTTAATTTGTGCTTTTTCTAGATATCGCCATGAATTTAAGTCAAATGAGTTATGGACTGAAATTAAACTGGTTCTAGACGCCTTTGCTTTACCTCTGACTAATCTCTTTAAGGTACGAGACGGCGTCTTGACACAGTGCCAGGATTGGCATGAATTTAAGAGCATTCTTAAATGGTAAAAATGTCTTAATACCTTTTATGTTGAAAGGTAAAATTACATAAAAATAAATCTTTTTTTAAGCTTTCGGGTTAACGTTTTATTCAAATCATGCCGTAAGTCAGCCAGAGTGCAACGAAACACGGAGAAAAGCAGCATGTATTCCCTTAGTCCAGAAACGGGAACTAACAGCACCAGTAGACACGGTGCTGTCGTGTTTCCTCAGTCAGTGCTCTCAAACTCCAGATTTGTCTAATACAATAAGGAAATTAGGCTGTGGGGAAAATCATTCAGCTTTGTTAAAGAAATGCTTTTTAGTTGTGTGGAATTGGGGTCCAGTCCAGATCTGACCTCATGGTCACTTCTAGAATGTCAGGTGAGGTCTAGGAGACTGGCGGTGCGCGGATAAAGCCGATTCTTGCTTAAAGAACACTCAGCCAGCCTGTGTGCCTGCGTCAGAATTAACGGGGACATTTGAAGACAGTTTTGTATTATGTGGTTATATAGAATCACAAAGGTGATTAGAAGGAGTGTTAGTAGTGGGATTGAGTGCTATAAATGACTGCACTGCCGTTGGGATCCTTGGGAGGCGGCGGTCTGTAGCGTTGCTCCGTTTCCTTGCGATGGCCGTGCTAGCTTGCGCTCTGTCTCCCCAAGGCCACCATCGAGCTGTGCAGCACCCACGCCAACGACGCCTCCGCGCTGAGGATTCTTTTTTCTTCCTTAATTCTGATCTCAAAGTTGTTCTATAGTTTAAACTTTCAGGTAAGTCATCTTTTTTTGTTTTTGTTTTTCGTTTGTTTTTCTTCTTTGATGTTAAATGTGTAGTTTTCCTTTCGATGCAGATTGATTTTTCTGAAGCTGTTTTTTCTGACTCTGCTCACAGTGGCCCCTAGGGAAGCTAGTACGTGTTGCATAGGAAGCAATGTGGTGGTTGTTTTTTTTAAGGATATATTTATTTTTATTGGAAAGGCAAATGTACAGAGAGGAGGAGAGACAGAGAGGAAGATCTTTCATCTGTATTTACTCCCAAGTGACCACAACGGCCAGTGCTGCGCCAATCTGAACCCAGGAGCCAGGAACTTTCTGGGTCTCCCACATGGGTGCAGGGTCCCAAAGCTTTGGGCTCTCCTCGACTGCTTTCCCAGGCCACAAGCAGGGAGCTGGATGGGAAGCAGGGCTGCCGGGATTAGAACCGGTGCCCATATGGGATCCTGGTGTGATCAAGGCGAGGACCTTAACCACTATGCTATTGCACCGGGCCCAGGAAGCAGCGTTCTTACACCTAGTGAAGTTACACAGAAGGATTCTTAAGTGAAACTTCATGACGGAGACAGAATGGCGAAGTAGACTGAGAGATGTAAGAACCCATGGCAGCTTGGAGGTAACAGCAAGAAATAATAACGCTGTTCAGTAATTGTTTCTGTACAGTCAGGCGGCTTATGTCTGCTAAGTTACCTCCCAGATGGCCACTGTGGCCACAGCCAAGTCAAGGCCCAAGGAGGACACAGGAACACAATCTAGGGCTCCCGGGTGAGTGACGGAGGAGAGAGCCAAATTCCCTGAACTGTCACCATGCGGGAGCCAGGAGCCAGGAGCCAGAAGCCACCGCACAACCCAGCCCCAGTCAGGCATGTGCGTCTGGGCTGCTGGGCTGCGTACCATCCCCCAGAACCAAGAGAGGGGAGTTAATTAAGAGGGACAAGAAGCAAGGTCTGGTTTTTTCCTTATTCTTGTCCAGTACCTGAAGTTGTCTTAGAACATGGCTGCACTTGCTGTTGCAAGGAGAGCATTCCCTGAGGGAAAGCTGGGTTCTCTCAGGTACAATATTCAAAATGACAACCCCTTCACCTACCTTCACCTCTAGTGGTTTGACAGATTCTCTCCTAAATAAATCTTCAAGTAAATTTAAAAATGTTTTTTAAAGTCTCAAGTTAATATTTATTTGTTAGGATCTCCCAGAATTTTTTGAAGATAACATGGAAACTTGGATGAACAATTTCCATACCCTCTTGACACTGGATAATAAACTTCTACAAACTGATGTAAGTTTTTAAAATATTAACATAGTAACCCCTTTTTTTTTTAATTTATTAGGAATTATTTGGCTGTTACCTAGAGACTTACTAATCTCCCATTACCGATAAAATTCATTGAACAAAAATATTCTAATGGATATTCTATAATTTGGTTTATTCTATAATTGTGTTTTAGTATACAAAATTAATCTCTTTTTGAATATTTATTTGTATCTACTTGAAAGACTGGTGACAGAAATAGATCTTCCATGCAGTCACTTGAGGCAGGCTCTACTTGTCTGCCACTGTGGTCAGGTCAGCAAGAAGCAGGGTGGGAATCAGAGTAACCAAGCGCTCGGGGAAGATGCCCACCTGCCAGTAGGTGCCCCTCACCACCTGTCCTTGTAAACTCCAGCTTTGTGGACCATCTCACCACAGTGCTGGGGGACACCAGTCTGGAGTCCAGGGATGCCTGCACAGGTAGCATAGTAGGCACGATTTGCAGACCGAAGTTGACCCCTGTTTTAGATTGTTGTTTAATGTCTTGCAACTGAAGTATTTGTGACAATCCTATAGCATAACCTGTTTTGAGTACTAGTGTGTTTGATCAAAATAAGGCTTTGGGGAGGCAGCAAGATGATCCAGCTAGCCACACTAGAGAGAAGCGTGTGTGATCTTTGCATTCAGGTTTCTGAGGTATATTCTGTTTCGTGGTCTAATGTGGAAGGATTCATTGATGAGCCTGAAAGAAAGGCCTTAATGAACTTGGAAACATTGTGAGAGCTGCTTCCATTGGTCACTAAACAGGAAGTGTGTCTTCATTATTCCAGAGTCCTTGTGGCTGGGTTAATGATGGCGGAAATGTGGTTTATAACAGTTGATTTGAACTTAAATTGGGGGAGTTTTAGAAGTGATAGCTACTTTTATTTGTGGTAACATTAAATTTATATGTTTGAGTTTTCTCTCTCTCTTTCGTTTTTTTTTTTTTTCTGAGGATGAAGAGGAAGCAGGCTTGTTGGAACTGCTGAAATCACAGATTTGTGATAACGCTGCCCTCTATGCTCAGAAGTACGACGAGGAGTTTCAGCGGTACCTGCCTCGCTTTGTCACGGCCATCTGGAATTTGCTAGTTACAACTGGCCAGGAGGTTAAATATGATTTGGTAAGATAAGGTGGAGCCGAGCAGTTATAAGACCTTCTCTCCTTCTAAAAAGTAGGTATTCAGGTTTCCTTCTGAAAATGTTATTGTTGTGTTTTGTTCCAGTTGGTAAGTAATGCGATTCAGTTTCTGGCCTCGGTTTGTGAGAGACCTCATTATAAGAATCTCTTTGAGGACCAGAACACGCTGACGAGCATCTGCGAGAAGGTCATTGTGCCAAACATGGAGTTTAGAGGTAATTATGGCCAAGCATAGGGGACTTGTCACTTAAGGAAGGGCTCTGTTTTTCCAGTGTGTTCGTACAAATTTGATAAGTTATGCTGCTTCTTATCCTCAGGCAAGATACTTAACAGAAAGAGATCTTCCATCTGCTGGTCACCCACAAATAGCCATAGTGGCTGGAGCTGGGACATGAACCAATGGTCAAATGGGATGCTGGCTCTAGAGCTGGAGGGTTAAAGAGGCTTTTAAAATTATGTTATATTGAAAAGAAAGTGTATTTCAGTGAGAATTATTTTTCTTTGGTTTAGATGACCATGCAGATCACTATTGCTGAGCAGATGATTTGAGAGAAGTGACTGATAGCTTACTGCAAGTCCGAAGCTCACTTGGCTTGTGTTTCTGTGCGGACTGTGCCAGGAGCAGGAAGTAGTACATGGGAGAAGGGCTCAGTGTGTAGATCACAGGTTCTCAGTTGATCATTCTGCAACCAGACTACAGAAGCAGTGGACAGCGAAGTTTGGTCTGTTTTGTGCTTTCATTAAACTGCATGTAAGGACAGAGCTTGATTCTTACTGTCCTTCCTGGGTTTTGTTGTTCACATGACTCATGTGGAAGAATGGTATAATTATAGTTGTTGGTTTTTTTAATGTTCTTACCTGTCCAAAAAGTGGGAGTGTTCTTACGTTGGTCCCCGGCGTGTGCTTTTGCATGCTGTCGCCCAGGACCGCCCCAGCAGTGGCCGCTCTCGGGAATCCGGAGCTGCGCGCCGGGTGTGTCTTGGGAGGGTTTCTGAAATGTCACCTATCTTTGCAGCTGCTGACGAAGAGGCATTTGAAGACAATTCTGAGGAGTATATAAGAAGAGATTTGGAAGGATCAGGTGTGTGGTCTTGGTGTCTTCACTAACTGGTCCCTGAGCAAGCCCTTTTTAAGGGGTTCTCTGTTCAGTGCAGACAGTGTTACGGGTTGGGGTGAAGGGTGTCATTCCAGCTGTCTTATATTAAGAACTGTTTTGTTATGTAACACCCCAACAAGTAGCTTATGTACTCAGTACTGTTTATCAGAATCCTTGTCTTTTGGTGCTTGTGGTGGGAATTAAAGTTTTTGTCAGTACTGTTAGTCACGGTGCAGGGCGGTTGATTTTCTTGGAAATGGCTGGTTTGTGGAGGTTTCTCCCGTAACAAATTGCCTTTCGGTTCCTAGATATTGATACCAGACGCAGGGCTGCCTGTGACCTCGTGCGAGGGTTATGCAAGTTTTTTGAGGGACCCGTGACGGGAATCTTCTCTGGTTATGTTAATTCTATGCTTCAGGAATATGCCAAGAATCCGTCTGTCAACTGGAAGCACAAAGACGCAGCCATTTACCTCGTGACGTCCTTGGCGTCGAAGGCCCAGACACAGAAGGTGCGCTTGTCATGCGATTTGTCTGTAAACCTGATCTTGTTAACAGACTACAAGACAATACTAGCTTTATATGCATGTTTAAAATGTTTTTTAATGTATTAGTTTAAGACAGAGTGACAGAAAGAAACAAACACCCCCTGTTGACTGGCTTACTCCCTCAGTGCCACACAAGGTGGGCTTGGGCATTTGAGGACATTTCTCTTTCTTTTGCCTTTTTTTTTTTTTTAAGATCTTATTTATTTTTATTGGAAAGTCAGATTTACAGAGAAAGGGAGAGACAGAAAGATCTTTCATCCACTGGGACACTCCCCACATGGCCCCAGCAGCTAGAGCTGAACTGCTCCGAAGCCAGGAGCTTTTTCCAGGTCTCCTGTCGGGGTGCAGAATCCCAAGGCTTTGGGCCACCCTCAGCTGCAAGCAGGGAGCTGGGTGGCAAGTGGAGCAGCTGGGACAGCAGCCAGCGCCCATATGGGATCCCAGCACATGTAAGGCGAGGACTATAGCCACTAGGCTATTGCGCCAAGCTCTAAAGGCAATTTTTACTATCAAAAATGGTCTTTTGTATAGACTCAGTTTTTGTTTTGAAGTATTCATCTCCACTGTGAGCATGATTTTTTAAAGTGTTCCATTTTTAATATTTCCTATTGAACTGTTACAAATTTACTTTTCAGCATGGAATTACACAGGCAAATGAACTTGTAAACTTGACTGAGTTCTTTGTAAATCACATCCTACCTGATTTAAAGTCAGCCAATGGTAAGTTTTGTGGAATTTTTCATGCAATATGTCCACATAGTGTCACTGTGAAATAATAATATGGCAGAAATCATGAGGGCTCTATCACCATGACACTTAAAAAAACCCTCCTATTGTTAGTGAATGTGGTCTAATGGTTCTCTAAATCTTGTCATGTGAAATTGCTTCTGATAAAAGTGCTGTTTGGCATGAAGATGGGGTTACTGAGTTGTGGTCTGGAAGATTCTCAGTTAACTGAGGAATGCATGTAAAGACAAGGGTAAAAATTATCTTGCCAGGATTTACAGCTGTACAGCGTGTCACTGTGCTTTAATTTCCTTGACATTTTGGCTAGCTTTCACTGATAACGTCCTTAGTAGTGTGGGATTAACAGTCCTTAGCACTCGCTTAACCGCAAGCCATCCAATGTTTTTACCAGTGAATGAGTTTCCTGTCCTGAAAGCTGATGGCATCAAGTACCTGATGATCTTCAGGAACCAGGTGGGTGCCCTTTCTGTGGGCGGTGTGCCAGCCTCTTCCTTCATGCCGTTGCTTTTGTCATTCATTTCTGACAGAAGTATCACTTCTTAATTTATGATTTTAGACCATTTGTTGTTTTCTTCAATTATCTTAAATTGTCTTTTATAATGGTTTTATTTAAACAGGGACCAAAGCAATGTACAGATTTCCACATGTTGATATTGATTAATCAAGATGCAGTTAATAGCAGAAATGTTCTTCATTCATGCTTGTATTTTTACTTTAAGAGTTGGAGAGGGAGTTGGTTGTCTGCTTCACTCCCCCAAAGGCTGGTTGGCCGGTCCAGGGCCAGAGCGAAGCTGTTAGCAAGGAGCTCTTCCAGGTGCCATGTGGGGCGAGGGGCCATACCTGGAGGAACCACCTCTCCAAGGCAGGGATGCTTTGTCTAAGATTTACTTATTGGTAGGCAGGCACACGAGGTCAGAAAATACGCTGGTTTCACTCCCCAAGGGGCTGTGAGGGCCTGGTTGAAGCCAGGAGCCAGGAATTCCACTCAGGCCTCCCACGTGGACGGAAGTTGCTGCCACCCTTGAGCAGGATGTGCTGCCGTCCGGCTGGTTCCTAGGGTCGTAGGATCGGGAGCAGGTCAGCCGGAGCTCGGTCAGGACTGTTGTGGGCATCTCGTGGTGGCTTGCCTTGCTACACCACTGCCCTGTGGCGCGTGGGTGAAGGTCCATAGGTTATAAATAGTGCGCACAGTTTACCGTTCATATTTATGATTTCATCTTACTTTCACAGAGATCATTTTTTAAGATGTCTCTGTGAGGCAGAGTGTCCCCATCCAGGTCAGTCCCTCTCTGCCCATGACAGCTTGCAGCAAGGAATCCAGCATGCAGTCCAGGTCGCCATGTGAGGGGAAGAATTACGCGAGCCAGAGTCAGAAATTTTTTTTTCTTATATTTGAAAGAAGGAGGAAAGACAAAAATAGATATTTCATCCCCTTATTTAGCCAAAACAGCCACTGTGGAGCCAGACTGGAGCCAGGAGGCAGGAATTTAATCTGTGTTCCCCACATGGGTGCAGGAGTCCAGGCACTTGGGCCATCCTCTGCTGCCTTCCCAGGACATTAACAAGACGCTGAATCAGAAGTGGAGCAGCTGGGACACAGACTGGCACCCCTGTGGCATGCCAGCATCACAGGCAGTCCTTCACCTGCTACCCCACAGTGCTGATCCCTGGGAATCGAAAGCAGAGAGGGAAATTGCTGGTCCTGTGAACACCACAGGTGGCGAAACACTGAGGACATCCATGGCAGGCTGCTTTTTCTGGCAGTCACTGTGAACAGTGAAATGGTTTTACAAATGTCCAAACGGCACCTGGCCAGAAATCGGGTGCCCGCCCTGTACCCACTCTCCGGTGTGGTTTGCTCTTAATCTTTGCTCCTTTTTCTCAGGTTGTATGTATACCTAAAATTACTTGATTTGTTTACCTCTCCTAACGTATACATAAGTACCTTCAGGTTAATGTCAGCGTTCTTATAAAGGAAGTTAGGTAAGTTCAGTTTATTTGTGATCTTCGTCTCCTTAGGATATTATCTCGGTGGGTACAAACAACTTAAAAATGTCCTGCCTAAACTAACTTGAGGTTCTTCCCACCACATGAACCTGCCCTTTCTGCTCGGATGTGTCTGCTGATGCGCCTGGGAAAGCAGTACTTGATGGAACAAGATCGACTTCGTCTCCAATTTACTTCTTGAATGGCTGTGGCAGCTGGGGCTGTAGCTCTCCCTCCCATGTGGGGGCAGAGGCCCTGGCACTCGGGCTGTCTTGTGCTGCTTTCCCAAGAGCTTCAGCAGGGAGCTGAAGTTGAAGAGCCAGGATTTGAACCAGGACCCATACAGAAGGCTGGCATCTTGATCTGCTGCACTGTAGGCCATCCCTTTTCCAGTTGTCTTTGAGTCAAAAGTGTCATTATTAGATTAGCAGCATGTGTGTTATTCTATTTTTCAGGTGCCAAAAGAACATCTTTTAGTCTCTATTCCTCTCTTGATTAATCATCTTCAGGCTGAAAGTATTGTTGTTCACACGTACGCAGCGCATGCTCTGGAGCGGCTCTTCACCATGCGAGGGCCCAGCAGTGCCACTCTGTGAGTACTGGGCCCGAGTGGTCTCTGTGGCCTTAAGGGGGTGAGCCTGTGCCGTGTCTGTCCTCGGCGGCCCGTGTGTAACTGAGGGAGGGTCGTCAGGGAGGGGTGAGGAGAGTCACCTCTGACCAAGGAACAACTGTACAAGAGTGGCTGCTCCGCCTGTCTTTCAGGCCATTCTCCAGTGTGTTATTTCTTGACACAGAGGTTTGACTAACAAATGGGGAACAGTCTTTCATCAAGAACTTGATATACAGATTCTCTGCGCCAGGTGAGGGTGGAAGGAGGCATTTTTGAGGTGAAAAGCCAGCGCCTGTCTCCTAGATTACATTTTATGCAGAGACCCTGTCTACAGGACAAATAGATGACCAAGACCCCCTGCCCAACCTCCAGTCAGGCTTGGTTTCCATGGTGATGGAGGAAGCAGCTTTAGAGGATGGGATTGCATGGTTCTTGGGCCTGCTCAGCTGTGTCCCAGATTGCCTCAGCAGCTTAATATGAGCACATGTAAGGGGTTGTGTTCGGTCTGTCCGCTGGTGGCCAGTGGGAGATGGCTCAGTGTGTTGTCCTGTGAAGTGTGATTTAGTAGTGGCCAAGGGTATTTCTCAGGCAGCTCAAGACCTGGTAGTGACTGAAAGCTGTTTTTTCATCTATAGTTTTACAGCTGCAGAAATCGCACCGTTTGTTGAAATTCTGCTAACAAACCTTTTCAAAGCTCTCACACTTCCTGGCTCTTCAGAGAATGAATATATTATGAAAGGTAGGCCATTTCCGTGGTGTTGAGCTGTGTCAGTATACCAGCCCCAGAGATGTCAGGGTTACACTGAGTGCCACCGCAGCTTGGTACTGTTTGCTAAGGAAAGCTTCAGAGGCTTCACAGTAACAAGTACTGCTTGCTGGCTTTTTTGGGGGCAGTGTAACTTGGAATAGATGCCCTCATAAAGAATGCTGCCAGCTCCTCAGCGCGGGTGCAGACCCTGCCAAGACGTGGCTGCGGCGCCCTGTGCCCGGTGTCCCCACGTGCCTGCCCCGACTCCAGTCACTTTCCCCTGGGGAGTCCCAAAAAGCCAGCACAGAACCTTGGTCACAGGAAAACACTTTGCAAAGAAACTGTCTCTGGTCCGTGCGGCCAGAGCTTCCGGGGTGGGGGCGGTGTCCAGCACTCTCAGGGTCTCTGGGCTGTCATCCTTGTGCTGTGGTGTGTGTGCTGTCCTCCTGACCCCCTGCCTCTGCCTGGGTTTTGTCCGGCTGAGGTGTGAGGGCCAGGGCAGTCTCTGAAGGGTGAAGCAGTGTTTGACTCATCTGGAGGAGTTGTCAAGTGTAGGAAGCAAGAGAAAATCACTTTCTATCCTTTAGGCTTGGCGTCAGTAAGGGTGCTGCTTAGTAACATCTGGAATGTTTTTAGTGGAAAGAGAGCAGTTGTAGCTGGAAGCTGAGATACATCCTCTCCCCCCTTGCAGCTGCATTAGGCACCTGCTAGTTTTCTTGGGCTCCTAAGCCTCCCAGTCTGCTGTGAAGGGAGACAAGTAGGTGGTCTTCTCATTGACTTTACTGTGGGCTGGGGCGCTGCCTTCAGGCTGCAGTGAGCCCACGTTAGTGATCCCTGCTGTGCTGCCTTCACCTCTTCTTGGCCTGTGTTCACGGAGCCATTTTCTGTGTCCCCGCTTTGTCTGTGCTGCCAACGCGAGCTCTGTCAGCCCAGCTCTGATTCTCTAAGCGTTGAGGTCTCTGGAAGATTCAGTGTGTCCCTACTAAATATTACTGCCAGCTTTGTCCTGGTTTTTAAAAGGAAACGAGACCTAGGCAGATCTACAGAGAGAAGGACAGGCAGAAAGATCTTCTTTCAGTTGGTTTAATTGCCAGGTGGCCACAACGGCTAAAGCTGAGCCAATATGAAGCCAAGAGCCAGGAGCTTCTGGCTGGGTGAAGGTCCCAAGGCTTTGGGCCGTCCTCGACTGCTTTCCCAGGCCACAAGCAGGGAGCTGGATGGGAAGTGGAGCAGCTGGGGCATGAACCGATGCCCATATGGGATCCCAGCGTGTGTAAGCTGATACTTCAGCCGCCTTTGAGTGTGGAGTGCTGTCAGAGGGCTAAGCCTCTGAAAGAATGGTTCAGTGTAGGTGGACTAGTGGTTCTCTCGGTTGCTGCTCTGAAGTCTTAACTGAACGGTTTCCTGTTTTCCTGTGTTACAGCTATCATGAGAAGTTTCTCCCTCCTCCAGGAAGCCATAATCCCCTACATCCCCACTCTGATCACTCAGCTCACACAGAAGCTCTTAGCTGTTAGCAAGGTAACAGCCGATTGTGAACGTGCGGTTGCTTTTTAACTTGCTCCAGACTGGGCCTCCGAACGCACTGGCGCTGGGTGAGGCTTTGGGGGTCGTGAACTCGACCTGACCGGCCCCTAACACACTTGCTTTCAGTCACAGTTAAGTAATATACAAAGTTTTAGGGGGAAAAAAAACAAAGGAGTGACGGTTCTTGTTTGGCATCTACTTACTTTAAGAAAATGTAGAGATTCACAGGAAGTGTGAAGAGCATCTCAGGCACTGTGGCTTGGCGGGAAGGAACGGCCATCCTGCCAGGACGGGCTGCTTGACAGAGCGCTGGGCTCAGGACTAAAACATGGCACCTGCTGAGCGTGAAGGGCATGGCTGGTACTGCTGCTGCTGTTGGCACCCAGAGCCGGGTCGGTGTCACCAGCTCCTTCTGACTCCACGGTGAACAGATTTGCACAGTACACTTCTGGCCACTGGAAACAGCCAGCTACTCAGAGAGACTAGTACTGGTTTAGTGAAAGTTTTGTTGGTTTTTTTTTTTTCTTTTTGTCCTTGGCGGGGGTGAAATTTTATTTACTTATTTGAGGGCAGAGTTAATAGAGGAGAAAGGATGTTCCCACTGGTTCACTCCACAGATGGCGGGGAACTCGCGAGGCTGAGGCAGGAGCCCAAGCACTTGGCTGTGTTCCAGTGCTTTCTGGCACATTGGCAGGCAGCTGGGTGAGCGGTTGAGCAGCAAGATCTGAAACCAGAGCCTGTGTGTGATCCTGGTACGCCACAGTTCTGCCTACCCAAAAAGGATTTCAAATGGCTGCAGCAGCCAGAGCTGAGTTGATCTGAAGCCAGGAGCTGCTCTGTCTCTTCTGAACAGGAGCAGGGTTCCTAGGCTTTGGGCCATCCTCCACTGCCTTCCCAGACTGCAAGCAGGGAGCAGCCAGGACATGAACCAGCGCCATATAGGATTGCAGGCAGAGGATTAGCCAATTGAGCCATAGCACCGGTCCTCTGGTGGCATTTTAAGCAGTAAGGGCCTGGTGCAAGGCTAAATCCTCACCTTGCAAGCACCAGGATCCCACATAGGATCTAATTACATCCGCTTTAAATGGATTTTGCAGAAGTTAGATGTCTTATTTTAGACATTTAATGCAATCATTTAGATTGTTAGGGATTTTTTTTTTTTTTTTAAATTTCAGAATCCAAGCAAACCTCACTTTAACCACTACATGTTTGAGGCGATCTGCTTATCCATAAGGGTCACTTGCAAGGCCAACCCCGCGGCTGTGGTGAGCTTCGAGGAAGCCTTGTTCCTGGTGTTCACCGAGATCCTACAGAATGACGTGCAGGGTGAGTGCACGGACGGCTGCGCGGGCACAGCGGCTGCCGCAACTCCTGAAGCTCACTCTGCATTTCCTCTCATGCACAGAGTTCATTCCATACGTCTTTCAAGTGATGTCTTTGCTTCTGGAAACGCACAAAAATGACATCCCATCCTCCTACATGGCCTTGTTCCCCCACCTGCTGCAGCCCGTGCTGTGGGAGAGGGCAGGGAACATCCCCGCGCTGGTGCGGCTGCTGCAGGCCTTCCTGGAACGCGGCTCAAACACGATCGCTAGCGCGGCTGCCGACAAAATCGTGAGTTGTAATAGCAGTAGAAATTGTTAATGCTATTTGAGAACTTTGTGGTTATACCCATGATGCAGGAAATTTTAAAATTATAGGCAAGTAAGTTCATCTCGGGAACTTGCACCTCGTGTTGTGGTCTAATAAGAACCAGAGTGAGGGAAGCTGAGGCCTCATCATGACTCCTGCCAGAGGGTGGCTGGCCGGCTGGCGGGCGAGGGCACGCGGGCCTCTCACGGCCGCTCACTGCTGCTCTGATCCCCACAGCCTGGGTTGCTCGGCGTCTTCCAGAAGCTGATTGCGTCCAAGGCCAACGACCACCAAGGCTTCTATCTGCTCAACAGCATCATTGAGCACATGCCTCCGTGAGTGGGACGGCCCTGCGGGGCTCGGGAGGGCACGCAGGGCAAGTCCCGCGTACTCATGGTGACCTTGTTCACTTCCCAGGGAATCAGTCGACCAGTATAGGAGACAGATCTTCATTCTGCTGTTCCAAAGACTTCAGAATTCCAAAACGACAAAATTTATCAAGAGTAAGTGAAATTATTTGGAGTTCTATGGAAAGAGAGAAGTTCAAGTTCTTAGTCTGTTTGGTTAGGGAAGCTTTCGTATCAATTATAAAATTACTGTATAGCACCAGCATTGTGTCCCAGAAGTAGGTTTGGGGTATGTTCAAGTATCATTAAAGATGGGAATTCTGTGACCTTGTAATGGAGGGCTGGGCTGGTGGGTCATGTGGGTTAGGCTGCTGCCTGGGAGCCTGCATCCCTCAGGAGTGCCAGTTCTAGCTCCTGCTCCTGCAGATGTACCCCAGGAGGAGCCCAAAGTGGCTGACAAGCCTGGGTCACCAGCACACACAAGAGCTGGATGGAGTGCCAAGCTGCTGACTATTCACTGAGAATGTGAACCAGTTGCCGACACATAGCTCTCTCTGCCTTTTTTTTTTTTTTTTTCTTAACTGATTTGCAAAGCAGAGTGGTACAAGTGGGAGACATGGCTTTCTCTACAGTTTCCCTCCCACATGACTGCAACAGCCAGGGTGGGCCAGGCCAAATCCAGGAGCCAAAGACATAATGCAGGTGTCCCACGTGGGTGGCAGGGGCCCAAGATGGTTAGCGTGGACTGAAACCAGCACTCATGCAGGATGCTGGAGTCACAAGTGGAGGTTTATCCTGCTCTGCACAACACTGACTCCTGACCTTACATGTATTCTAAGCTTGATCGACTTGTTTATCACAGAGATTTTTTTTCAACCTGATGCAAGTCTCCACATGGCTGCAGTGCCAGGCCATCTTGCATTGGGCTTAACAAGGACCTGGATTAGAAATCCAGCAACAGCACCCAGGATGCCACAATCCTAGGTGGCAGTCCCTACACAGCACTGGCATTGATGCCAATTAGTGGCTTATAATGATTATGCATAGGTTTCAGTGGACAGACTGACTACATCACCACGTAATGCTGTAAATCCTCTGACATCTTGTGTCTTCTAACAGGTTTCTTAGTGTTTATTAATTTGTACTGCATAAAATACGGAGCACTGGCACTGCAAGAAATATTTGATGGCATACAACCAAAGTAAGTTTTGCTTATTATTGTTTGAAGGGAGAACGTGACTTGAGCACAGGTGACTGCAGAGATCCCAACATGGTGACAGCGCTGTGGCTTCCCAGACCTGCCGAGTGACTTGGTCCCCTGATAACCAGAGAGCCACCCCACCCTCCAGGGACAGGGCTCTGTGTCTTCTCCAGGAGCCTGGGCTCAAGCTGACCACTCTAACTTCAGAGCTGCCTGGTGCCGATAACAAAGAAAAGTACTTCCTGTTAGGATAAAGGAAATGATGGAGGACAGCTTGAAGGGCCAGCTCTAAAAAGGAAGTGAGATCCCAACTTAGATGAAAGTGTCTTCCAGCACTGGGACATTCATTGTGAGGGCAGGTTTGGCCATCGTCCCCGTGGCCACTTTGAAGAGTTTAATTTATTAAAGCAAATTATATGGGTTTTGCATCATTCAGAACTCAGAAAAACCTTACTTGTAGCATGTCTGGCTGAAACCTCTTTTAAGTCTCCATTAATACCTGGGCACTTACAGGTCTGGAAGCAGAGTTAGGGAATTTATGAGTAATTCAGAACTGCTTAAGCTCCAAATTGCTGGGTGAATGCTTTGGTAATTACTTGAAAAGCACCTGTGCTTCGCATGCAAGGACCAGCGGCTGCCGAGAGATGCTGCAGCCTTTCTGTTTAGTGCTTTGCTGTGCTAAGTGCTGGTACTCAAGATGTTGTGTGTATTTTGCTTTAATAGAATGTTTGGGATGGTTTTGGAAAAAATCATTATTCCTGAAATCCAGAAAGTGTCTGGGAACGTTGAGAAAAAGATCTGTGCAGTTGGTATCACCAAGTTACTGACGGAGTGTCCCGCAATGATGGACACGGAGTATACCAAGCTGTGGTGAGTGCTGCCTGCAGGGATGGGTGGCTCCAGCCAGGCCTCGCTGGTCCACATAAGCTCGAGAGACTGCTGACAAAAGGAACAGAGAGGCTGCCGGGGCCCCTCTGGCCTGAAGCGCCTGCCTTGGTCGGCTTCCAGGCAGCGGCCACTTCTTATGCTTAGCTCCTTGGTTGACACGGGTCTCTGCTAGTTTGGTCATTTCTGGAAGATGCCCTGGGGAGCGGTAGCCAGAGGGCTGGCAGTGGGTGGGCCTGCCCCCGTCCAGCTTGCTGCCAAGGGCCCGCCCTTCCTGACTGTGGCCCGCTTCTTTGGCTCTTCCGATGCAGGACTCCTCTCCTTCAGTCTCTGATTGGCCTTTTTGAGTTGCCTGAAGATGACACCATCCCTGACGAAGAGCATTTTATTGATATTGAAGACACGCCAGGGTACCAGACAGCCTTCTCACAGCTGGCATTTGCTGGGAAGAAGGAGCACGACCCGGTGGGGCAAATGGTGAACAACCCCAAAATCCACCTGGCACAGTCACTGCACAAACTGTCCACTGCCTGTCCAGGACGGGTGAGTGCCCCTGTCAGCCCAGAGCGCTGTCATGAGTGGAGACGCTAGGCAGGAGGACAGGGGCGTTCAGCCAGCCTAATCAGACTGTACCGTAAAGACAAGTGGGCAGGGCGCAACTTCTCTAACCACACTACCACTGTGACACCTGCCCGTGCATCTACTTTGTGGAACTTTCCAAGATGTACCACTTACTTGAAAGGCAGAGTTAAGGGGGAGGACAGAGTTCATCCAATCACCAAATGATTCTAGTGGCCTGGGATGGACCAGGCCAAAGCCAGGACCTTCACCCAGGTCTGCCAGGTGGGTGCAAAGGTCCATATGTTTGGGCCATCTTCCACTATTTCCCCAGGCACATGTGATGGCAGTTAATAGCTGGTGTGATGGCCTAGTGGCTAAAATCCTCACCACACAAGCACTGGGATCCCAGTTAGTGTCCTGGTTGCTCCACTTCCCGTCCAGCTCCTTGCCTGTAGCCTGGGAAGGCAGCAGAGGATGACCCTAAGCTTTGAGACCCTGCACCCGAGTGAAACCTGGAGGAAGTTTCTGACTCTTGGCTTTGGATCAGCTCAGCTCCAGCCATTGTGGCCACTTGGGGAGCAGGCCAGGAGATGGAAAATCTGTCCTGTTCTCTGTAAATTAGATCTGCCTTCCCAATAGAAATAAATATCTAAGGGGGGGGGGAAAAAGATTGGAAATGAAGCACCCAGTGCTCAAGTTGGTGCCCTCAGGACTCCCCTGCCTGACACGCTGAGTGGGGTGTGTCAGGCCCCCGCCGTCAGCGAGTGTGTCCCTTCCTCCACAGGTGCCCTCGATGGTGAGCAGCAGCCTCAACGCTGAAGCGCTCCAGTACCTCCAGGGCTACCTGCAGGCCGCTAGCGTGACGCTGCTCTGAGCACCAGCTCAGCCCAGGACGGTTTCTTCAGAAATCATGCGGCTTTGAGCATAGCTGTGTTCAATCAAGTTTCCCTCTTGAACTTGTCCCAAAGTCCATCTTGTAAAGGATAGTAAATGTTGCTTTCAGCTGAACCCTGAACACATCAGGTGGCTTGTGTGATCACAAATAGGAAACCGGACATTCCTAGTTTGCAGCTTCCAGACAAGCACTAATTCCATGTGTGACAGCGGTCATTGCTGACAAACACCTTCTGTGAAGACCTACTAAAGCCTTCTGTTTTGAAGCTGTTGCTGTTCGTACTTGTCCTTTGTATTTTTCTTTGAAGCTTTTATCAGAAATATCAGAACCCCTTGTGACGTCCCAGTGTCCCATGGTCCGCAGCCAGCCACACCCTCCGCCTGGCCTCTTGATGGTTCTCACAGGATTGCTACAGATTCTTTCCCAGGCTCCAAAAAATCCCACTTTCTAAACCAGATTAGTCTTGTTCTTTGTGGTTTTTACCAAGAACGGAGACAATGGCAGACTTTATGGCTTATCTGCAGAAGGTGACCCTTGGGAGGGAGGTCAGCTCGGGGCAGCTGCAGGTGCTGAGGCCACGGGAGAGTGTCCGGCAAGGGCTGCCAGCGCTCACCTGACCTGGCGAGTTCTCTGGCCAGCAGTCATACCGTGTGAGGCCGCGGTCCTTGGCTGTCCGTGTCGGTGGCCTCGCCAGCGTGCGCCAAGACCGCTGCCTGTGCAGGTGACGTGAGGTCTCGCACAAGTAGCTGATTTTCTTGGTACTTGTTTCTCTAGTTGCGCGTGGGGAATTTTTGAGCAATGTGTTAACTGGAACTTTAACCTCAAGATCTCACTTGGCTTTTACATGGCCACTGACAGGTGTGGAGTCAGCTCACACTAACAGCGTGGCAGGGCCCAGGGGACAGTGGCTGGCCGTTCAGCTGCCCTGTAGCCTTGCCGCAGCTGTGGGGTGGACAGTGGTGTCCATTTAGCCCTCTTCTTCCTGGGCTAAAGGTGCCTTCCCACACTGACTGCCCAGGGAGGGCGCACATATCCATCCACACAACATTCCCGGGCTTTGAAAATGCAAACCACGTGAGGTTTCTTACTCCACCCAGAAGACGGTCCTCACACTGGACTCCCAGGTTGTTCTTGGATTGTGGGTTGCGGGATTGTTTTGTCGGGGCTGACAGAACTGGGCTGACTTGTAATCTGCTGCTCATCACTTGACTCTTTGGTTTCACTTCTGTTGGTTCAGCTGAAGTGACACGTGTGCAGGTAAGCCCCGGGCAGGGCTGTGCACCGTCCATCCTGCTGAGGAGTTGGTGGCCGGGGCCAGCTGGCCTCCACTGGGCAGCATGCAGGAAACACTGCATCCTGTGGCTTTGGCTCAGCCCGCCGCATGTTGGGTCAACCCATGGCACAAACCCACTTTTAAAATCACTTCTTTTAAATGTATTTTCTTTGCAAGAAATATTTTAAATATTTTAAAATTAAAGTTTCCTTTTCTGTTCAAATCAGTTCTCGTTTTTGCCCAGCAACATGGGGGTCATTCTGTGGTTAGAGTTCATGCATTTGGGGCGCCTGTGGTTTAGTTCGGGTACGTCCTTACCCAGAGCCGAGTTCTCTCGCTGGCCATCTGGTTTTGTCCCATCGCTGTCCCTTTCCTGTTCCCACTTCCTGCCGCACACTTGCCCCCCAAGCTTTGTCTTCTATTGTCATTTAGATGGCACTTGCTCTAGTTCTTGACGCCTGGCACAGCTGATGGGGCGTAACTGGAAGTGGGCAGGTCTCCCCTCTGTTCCCACGCTGGGACTGCAGCCACAGTCCGTGCTGACAGAACCAGAGGATGAGGCCACCCCTACCAGGTCAGGCAGACCTGCTGTCTCCTCCCGGGCTTCATTTAGTCAGTGTCACCACTAAGGCCTCTGGTGCTGTCCACCTCGCCTGCCCTTGTCGCTCCGAGAAGCTGAAGCCACAGAGCCAACACACAGCAGCACTCCCCACCAGACTGGAGACGGTGCTGAAACAGGGTGCCCGCAACCCAAATGGCTTGAACCTGCTGTGCCACAGCAGCCATTGAAACTTCATTTCTGGAGTTGGGTGTCCTCCCCTGCCTGAGCTGGGCTCCCCGGCCATCCCATTCCCTTGCCATAGTCCTTGGCCTCGCCGCCCTGCAGCCACCGCTGAGACCACACATCGCTGTGGGAGGGCAGATCCTTCATGATTTGCCTTGTCTGCTTGCTTTTTCCAGTTATTTTGTCTTCTCCAGTGCAGTCCACCTGCCGGTCAAAATGTCCACTTGGGAAATGTCCAGGAACCACTGCTCTGAAATTGGGCAGGTCCACAGGGTTGCATTCTGGGGGGCAGAAACTAGTGCACAGAGCTGGACAGCTGGGCATGAGGTGTGGACAGGCACATGTGAGGCACTTTGCCAGTAAGCCTTTTCAGAGGCTCTGTCCTGAGGGTATAACCTGGCCACAGCCCATCTGAGCAGTTGCTGGGTGCAGCTGACAACATGGACAGTGGGTTCCAGTCAACAGCCCAGCTCCTGGTTTCCTGTGAAATGGGTGGTTGGGTGTGTGACTGCTCCTTGCTGTCCACTATTCTAAAGACAGTCCCGTGTGTGTGTCCTCTGTTCACTCAAGGATTTTAGGGCAAAGTGACAGACTCCAACAGCTGGGCCCAGTGCAGTGGCCTAGTGGCTAAAATCCTCAACTTGAAATGCACTGAGATCCCATATGGCCACTAGTTCTAGTCGCGGTGGCTCCACTTCCCATCCAGCTCCCTGCTTGTGGCCTGGGAAAGCAGTCAAGGACAGCCCAAAGCTTTGGGACCCTGCACCCGTGTAGGATACCCGGAAGAGGTTCCTGGATCCCGGTTTCAGATTGGCACAGCTTCGACTGTGGCGCTCACTTGGGGAGTGAATCATCAGACGGAAGATCTTCCTCTGGCTCTCCTTCTCTCTGTATATCTGACTTTCCAATAAATAAATAAATCTTAAAAAATAAAATAAAACCATCAAGACAAAGTGGTACCGAATACAGAGAAACAGACCAACAGAGTAGGCCAGAAGTAAATGAGTCAGCCTCCAGTCATTGGTCCATCCTCCAAACACCCTAATAGCCAGGGCTGGGCCAGACGGGAGCCTATTTGCTGAGGTCTCCCAGTGGGCAAGGACCCAAATACGTGGGTGCATCAGCAGGAGGCTGGAGGGTACCAACAGGACCATATGGGGCGCAGCTTAAGCCCCTCAGGCCTGATCTGGTCCATTCTCTGAGCAGACGGTGGGCCTCGTTGCCTCTCTCCTATGCATTCATCCTGTGGCCACATATACAGAACATGTATCTCCCAAGCTTCACTGGACAATGCCGGGCCCTGCCAGCTGCCCCGCGATGGGGATAGATCATCAGTCTTTCCAACAAAGGACAAACTAGAAACTCTAAAGGAGCTGACATCTAAACACACCAAAAGCTGCAAGTCTTAACAAACAGCCATCACTCCACAACACTGGACTTGGGAATGACTGCCTGAACTTGTCTAAACATGGGCCGCTGCATGAGGATAAAGTTTCTCACCAAAACACTAGACAGTAAAAAGATCGACTCACAGAACACTAGGACAAATGTGCAAATCCTGATGTGGGATTAACGGGGACATCTGTAAATCCTGATGGAGTATTAATGTCCACATTACAGATTCCCCAAAACATAAACTAGTCCGACCCAAAAACGAAGATCTCCGCAGGGCACCAGCAGCTGGCATTATGGCCAAGGAGGTAACGCTCGCCTGGGACACTGACCCCCCCATATGAACACTGGTGCCCGTCCCAGCTGACCCACGTCAGACCCAGCTCACTGCCAATGGCCTGGGAAAGCAGCAGAGGATGGCCCCAGTGCTTAGGCCCCTGACCCACACAGGGGATATGGAAGAAGCTTCCCGCTCTTGGCTTTGGCCTGGCCATCTGGGCAGCAAACCAGCAGGTGTAAAATCCATTCTTTTCCCTGTCTCTCCCTCTTACTCTTTCATATAAGTCTTAAAACAAAGTCAGCAGATGTCTCTCCGAAGGCGCACAAATAGTTTATGCTCAACGCAACTAATCAACAGATCTGCAAATGACAACAATGACCCCCAAACCCAGGGCTGGGCCCCTTGGCACAGAGGCAGAGCCACAGTGCAGGATGCCAACACTCAAGTGCCTGGCATGGCATCCTGCTCTACCTCTGCTTTCCACCCAGGGGTGGTAGACAACCTAAGCAGTGAGCCCCTGCCACACATGGCAGGGACAGAGGCACCCCGGCTCCTGGCATCAGCTTGGCCCAGCTTTGGCTATCGTGGGGTTTTGGGGAATCAAGACAGTGGATGAAACTTATATTCCCATGTCATTCTACCGTTCAAATAAGAAAAAACATTTTTAACAAGAACAAAAACACAAGGGAAGTGTTGGCAAGGATGTGTGAGCTGGAATCTGCATACTGCTGGCAGGGTGCGGCGAGCGTGCTACAGCACCCCCAGGACAGCAGCAGGAAAAGCAATCTGTACCTTCAGGCACACCCCTGGATGGGCAGGTGAGACCCTACAGAGATGGGCAATCTCACCCGTGTACCCAGCAGCGGTCACTCCTCCTGACGGCGGTGTGCCCCCAGCACCACAAAGGAGCGGGGTCGGGGGTTACACTCACCTGGACCCTTCATCCTGATATGGCAGAGACCATCATGGTGGGGTGGCACGCCAAGCTTTCTACGTAGGCTGCTCTGCTTCCAATGCAGCTTCCTGTGACCATGGAGGTCTTGAGTGGTGGTCCAAGTGCTTGGGGCCAAGCTCCTCACATGGCAAAATCTGGATCGTCTCAGACTCCTGGCTTCAGCCAGTGCCAGCACCAGCTGCTGTAGCCTTCTGGGGAGTGAACCAGCGGGAAGATCTGTCTCCTTCTGGTACTCTTTTTTAAACAGATAAATCATTAAAAAAATAAAAAGCAAGTGAGGTTCTCCAACGTGTTCCAAGTAAAGCGGGATGCAAAGATCAGCAGCTCAGGACTCCACTCCGATGAAGACACACGCAAGCTAGAGTTGCAGGGACAAAGCAGAGAGCCGGCTCAGGGAGTGCAGGGAGCTGCCACGGGGCTCATTCAGAGCTCCGTGGACACACCAGAGTGCTGAGCTGTCTTATCAGATTTTCTCACACGTGTATTTTACAGCAGAAAAAAAAAATGTTCTTCAAGCACAGGGATGGCACACTCCAGGAAGGCTCAGGTGGTGGCCACATTTGCAACAGTTTGCACAGCAATGTAAAGGGTTCCCCATGGAGACGATTGGGCTCGGGACCATTCCTTCAGTCAACTGAGGAGACAGAAGGTCCCCCAATCACGCCGCAGCGACTGCTACGGATGGAGTACTGACAGAAGGCAGGGGGCTTCACAAAGGAGTGGGTGCCGATGGCATGATACACTTCTCCCCTGTGGCCTCCTGCCAACTACTGCCCAATTCCGATGCCCTCAGCCAGTGTCAGCCTGGGAAGAGAGATGTGCGCTGCAGGCATCACAGAGGGGAGGGTCGCACGGCAGGTCCAAGGAGGGAGCACCAGCTCACCCGCACCATGCAGGCCAGGGGGAGACTGGGCTGCCATGGCAGTTCTGACCCCTGCATGGCAATGCCTGCTTGTTTCCTGACTCAGGAGAACACCAAAGTTTTGAAGGGACTGTGAGGGTGGAGCCTGGGGGAGGAGGGACAGCAATGTACAGGCCATTCTACTACCAAGAGCTCTTCTCTATTTGGAATTATTGCAAAACAAATGAAATATTGAAGGATGGAGAGAGGCTACCACCACAGTGCAGCATTCAATCCTGGGCCCCCCCTTTAAAAGTGCAGTTCAAACACTGCCTGCTCCTTTCCCAACCCACCTCCCCACTGACATGGGAAAAGCAGCCCAGACAGACTGAGTGCTTGGGCCCCTGTCCGTGGGGGACAGACCTGGATGGAACTGGGTCTGATCCAGCCCCTGCTGCCGCAACCCATCTGGGAAATAAACCAGCAGACACAATCTTTGTTTTCTTTCCAATAAAGTCTTTTTAAAAAAGATTTTGTTTTTATTTTATTGGAAAGTTGTGCCTGGGAAAGCAGTCGAAGATGGCCCAAAACCTTGGGATCCTGCATCTATGTAGGAAACCTGCAAGAAGCTCCTGGTTTCAGATCAGCTTAGCTCTGGTTGTTCTGGCTACTTGGGGAGCGAAACAGCAGGTGGAACGTCTTTTTCTCCTTCTGTTAATCTGCTCTCCACCCAAAAAATAAATCTTTAAATGGGACAAAAAAGAGCCTTCTCCTGTGGCAGCAGAAACCAACCACTACAGCCACCACCAGCTGCGTCCCAGGTTCATTTGAGCATGAAATGTGGGGCGCCCAAGCCACCTAATTAATGAGAGTCACATGTCCCCTAAGAGGACCCAGGATGAGCTTTTACAAATAATCCAGAACCCAGAATGTGGCATAGGACAGCTTCCGTTGCCATTGTCCACACTGGTCCCCTGGGAGGTGCTCAGCCTGTCCCCAAGGAGAGGTGGTGGGCATGGCAGAACTCACAAGTCATTTTGTTAATACATATATATATGAAGATATAACAGGGCTTCCTTTCACTGCTTTTACCCTCAAAATGTTGACTTGTTCTACTACACCTTCTGATCAAGCACGTTAAGTTGAGCAGTCATCCCAGTTCTCTATAAACTCTGGAGCCCCCCAGCTGCACAGGCGCAGTGGCGGTGTTACACAGATACACCCAGGGAAATTACACGCCAGCAACTCCTAGGGACACATCTCCAGCAGCGAAACTACCCAGGCCGGCTCTCTGTGCCCGCTGTGCCAATACTTCCGTTCCCTCACTCACATCATCCCTCAGTTACTGCTCAACAGGCCAAAAACTTCGTTAGTAGCTGTTTATTGATCAACAGTTTGATATAAAGTTATTTCAGTTCTTCAGATTTCTGTTCAGATGAAATCACAAGCATTATAAATCTTTTTTCTTAAAAATAAAAAAGGGTAGGAGCCGAGTTGGGAGGTGTCCAACCTGGCAGAAGTGGTATTTGAGAATAAATTAACAAAAGAAATTTAGTACGACCATTTATTGGTGACAAACACTAAGTTTACTTACATTCCATGGGGAGAGAACATTCCAGCGTAAACATGAACGGAAGCGGTCCTGGGCTGGCGAGGCTGCCACGCTCTCATCTGGACCACACGCACATCTCTGCGTGTAGCAACACAACACCTAAAGCAACACAGCTGTACACACCCCCGCGGGTCACTCCAGTCAGCCCTCCAGCAGATGCAATCCGCAGTACCAGGCACCTGCAGGTATGTGTGTCCCTGCAGTGTCACCAAGCTATGTCCCAAGAGCCACACGTATAGACACAATTTTTTAATAATCTTTAAAACAAAGATCAAAGTTCATTTAAGTCCTGTTGCATTAACAAAAATAAAATAGAAAAGGAACAAAATGATCATCTAAAGTTTAAAATTTCTAAATCGTCCAATTTATACAACTGCGGGACACGTCATCAAGGTCCGAGACGTCAGACTGTCTCAGCCACAGCAAAGGGCAGACGGTTTGCATTCAGTGAAACGGTCCTGGGCGTGGCCAATGAAAGCAAACACGGAACCACAGACACACAGGGTGATCCTGGCCGGTTACATTACTGATACAGTCAGTCTCAGACAAATTCTTAAACTGTGCTATAGAACTAGATACAACGAGGAAACTCTCAAATGAAAATTTCATATAGTGTCATATCAATCAAAAGAAAATAATGAAACTAAGAACAGGCGTCAGTGTGCAGAGCAGTGGTTACGGCATGGAGATGCACGCTAGGAAGGCTAGGTGGCGCTGGGAAGGAAGCATCTGGTTTTTTCAGGCGCTCTTCGCTCGGGGGCGGTTAAAGGCCTGTCTCCAGGGTGGTTGTCCAGGGTTTGTCCCGAGTGTCGAGTGAGCCAGTTTGAGAAGGGGGCTTGCGTCCTGTTTCTTCTCCCACACACACGGGGAAAAAATCCCCAACCAAAAGCAAGCCCTGAAGTACAGGGAGCAGGGAGCTGCGGCCCCTGGCGGAGCCCTTCCCACAGCTATGCAGGAGACACCGCTCAACCTCAGCCACAGCCACCTCCTCAGGACTGTGCTGTCCTCACCGCTGCCCACATTCTTACCCACTATGTCTCTCGGCCCACTGGAGGTATCAGAAATTCCAAATTTTCAAAGCAGTTTCAGTATTTTCAGTATATATGTTGGGATTTTGTGATGGTTCATTGCCACAAAGCTTCAGCACCTCCCACACCTTTAAGGAAAAAACACAAAAATGACACCGTTTTGATATGTCAAGGCCATTAATTAAGCTACAGGAGAAGCAGCAACATCTGGGAGCCCGCCAGTATCAGCCCAGGTTCACACAGGACAACTGGACCAAAGTACAACTCCCCTTGGCATGCAGCCGGAAATGAGGGGACGGAAGATGGAAGATGCATATTTCATAAAGAAAACACATCAACAGGATGGGGTGGAGACTGTGAGGCCAAAGCGCACCATCACATCCCGCAGTCAGCAGCTGTGAGGCATGTGGAGGATTGCTTATTCAAAATCAAAGTGGTTCTGAACAAAGGCAGAGCTCTCTGCCCAGAGAACAGAATCCTTTCAGGGGCAAGGACCTGAGGGGACCCAGGGTCAGAGCCCGTGAGCCAGCAAGGGCAGGAACGCGGCAGCGTGCGGGTACGGCGCAGACTCACACAGACACTGGCCCGTTGCTTGTCCTCGGTGTCCCTGGGCTCTGCTGGTCCAACTCCGACAGTAACTTTAAAATGTTCAGGGCAGCCTGGGAGCGACAGGAAGGAAAGTGAGACCACAGTCCTGCCCACAGCACCAGCCCACACACGGAACCCAAAGGAGGGTACTTCCATTTAGAAGACAGGTAGTAACTTCTTAAAGTTGAATTTTTAATTCAAAATACAAATAAAAAAGATTGTCTAGTTATCTCACTGAACACTACCTATTAATTTTACAATCTCACTTCCAGTGTTTTTAACCTGAAGTGATTAAATTAGAATGCACAGATTTTTCTTTGTTCAAACAAAAACCCATCATGTATTTTCATTATCTTCACATGAGTTTGACGGTTGCGTTACATTCCATGAAGCGAGTACACGCAGATCACATAGGTGGTTGATCTGATCAACCCCGACCTTTCTTGTGGTGATATCTAAACACAATACCAGATAAGGGTCTTCCTACAGCCACCACAAGGTGTACCTGCAATTCCTTGTTCTTGCAGAAATACAGTCCCTGAGGTCCCAGGTCCCAGTCAGGCCCCAGACCAGCACAGGGGAGGGAGGGTGCCATCTGATCAGCATCTAGGACTCAGTGTCCCCAAGCACCTCGCTCAAGGCCAACAGAGAAGCCCTTCCGGACTTGCTGAGGTCAGGACGAGCCAAGCAAGGGAAGGCTGCACCTCAGCTGGCAGTCACACCCCGGGCGCCCCCAAGGCACATACCATGTCATGGCAGGACTCCACATCCTTGCCGATGCCGTGACTGATCAGAGGCGGCTGAGAGGAGCAATTGATAAGAGATACAAATTCGTTCTTGTTGTTTTTGGGGAAGTCTTTGTATTCAACCTACGGGGGAAGAGAGAGCTGAGGCCAGGGCACGCAAGCAGTGGGCATGAGCAGCACACAGGGCCAGCAGGCGGAGCTCGGCCTGCAGGCAGCCATGCCACCAGCAACCTGGCTGCGCAGACTGCAGCAAAGGAGAGGGGCAGCCCAGAGTCCCGCAAGAGCGGAGCAGTCCACTGAGCGCTGGGATGGAAGGAAGCAGGCCCTTTCCTGGCAGGCGCGGAGCCAGGCAGAAGCTGAGCTCTGTAAGCGCTGCTGGTGCTCAGGGCCTTTATATCTAGAGTCAGCTTGGCTGGGGAAGGACAATGCATGCTGGGAACACTTCCCATTTCTCTCTTCCTTCCTCAAAAGCACTCTTAGCTACCACTTCCCACTCCCATCCACAAGAGTTTAATTTTTAAAAGATTTTACATATTTATCTGAAAGAAAGAGCTGCCACTCACTAGCTCACTCCTCACATGTCTGCAATGGATGGGGCTGGGCCGGGCTGACACAGAGAAATGGAAACTCAATCCAGACTTCCCACATGGGTGAAAGGACCCAACCCATCTGAGCCATCAGGCTGCCTCCTAGTTCGCCCCCAGCAGGGAGATCAGCAGCAGAGCTGGGCTTGAACCCAGGAACTCCAACATGGCATGCAGGTGTCCAAAGCAGCATATGTTAAATTTTTAAAATTACTTTTTTAACAGTTTTTTTATTTTTATTGGAAAGGCAGGTTTACAAAAAGAATGAGGAGGAGGATTTTCCCATCCACTGGTTCACTCCCTAAATGGCTGCAACAGCCAGAACTGGGCTAATCCAAGGCCAGAATCAGGAGTCACCTCTGGGTCTCCCAAATGGGTGCGGCTTTGGGCCGTCCTCCACTGCTTTCCCAGGTCATAAGGAGGGGCCTGGATGGGAAGTGGAGTAGCTGGGACTAGAAACAGCTCCCACATGGGATGCCAGGGCTACAAGCAAGAGAAAAGAACCAGCTAAACCACAGCGCCGGCCCCAGGAGTATTTCTCCTTATTTATTTGACAGGCAGATTTCAGAGACAAAGGGACAGAGAGAGCGAGCTTCCATCTGCTGATTCACCATCCAAATAGCCAAAATGACCAGGACTGGGACAACTCAAAGCCAGAAGACAGAACTCAACTGGATCTCCTATGTAGATGGGAACAGCGAAAAGTACGTGAGCCATTTTTCTGCAGTTCTACCATGCATATTAGCAGGCAGCTGGATCAGAAGTAGAGCAGCTAGGACTCAAATTGCTGCTCATATAGGATGCCAGCAGGCAGTGGGACCCAACTACACCACAGTTTCTCACCAGCTTTGCCAGATTCCCACCCCAAATACTGGACTTGTAAGGCAAAGTGAAAAAGAGAAAGAGGAAGAAAGAGCACGAGCAAGACTGACTGATCATCCATCTGCTGGTTCACTTTCTAAACACCCACGAAAGTCAAGACTGAAGCGGGTGAAGCCACGAGCTTGGACTCCATCTGGGTTTCCCATGTGGGGAACATAAACTTAAGTCCTTAAGCCATCATCTGCTGCCTTCCGGAATACACATTAGCAGGAAACAAGACTGAAAGCCAAGCAGCCGGGACCTGAACCAAGCACTGGTCAGGACTGTGGGCATACCAAGTAATGACCTCATTTGCTATACCACAATGCCTGCCCCCAGAACAAGGTTCCAAGCTCCCTGGCTGAGAGGAGCCAAGAGATGGCCCCAGGCACAGGCCTCTCGGCTCAGGCCCGACAGTTACCTGGAATCCCTGGACTCTGGAAAGATAGTCCAGCTGCTCAGAGGGTCTCGTGAGAGGTCCATGGGGTACGTGGCCTGAAGAGATGTTATTCTTTAACATGGTCTCGGCTGTGGGCGAGGTGCCCCCATACAACAATTCTCGGGCTATCATAGCAGTTACCGTGGCCTTGGCAGGATTTGGAGCTGCCCTGCAGAAATCTTTGGTGTGATGTCCTTGGCTGACTCCTACAGCCTGTGCGACCTCGGGCACCATGGGAAGAATTCCAGCAGGCAGCTGTTGATGACTAAGATAAGGCATCCTGAACTCATCTTCTTTGTTGTCTGGGGAGGGGCACAGAGACTCTGGTCACCCCCATTGCCTGCCAAGGCCTCGTGGCCTCAAACCCGCACCACCTCTTCCTTCAGCCCCGAGACAAATGCCCACTGGGCACCTGCTGTCAAATCACAGAAAACCATGAATCACACGCAAAGCAAGACAATGTACAGATGGCACTTACTAGTCCCATTTTCATCCCCAGCGCTTGGTTCAAAAAAGGTTACTTTTCTTCCATCCCCTGGTTTCTTTACTGGTGTCTTAAGAGAAGAAAAAAAAGGGCCATGAACATACATGAAACCATTGAAGAATTAGTTCCTGCCATGTAAAGCAACGTTAACTTCAACCAGCTCATAAGATACAACCAGCAGAAACACAGTCCCGTGCCTAAAGCTGACCACTGGTGCGCATTTGCTGGCTGCAGCCATCCTCCTGCTCCTGCTCCACTCCCTGGCAGGTGGAATCTGTGCTTAGCATCACGGACTCCAACTTGGGACCAGAGGGAGCAAGGAGGCCAGCCAGAGCACCCGAGGCAGGAAGGATTTCAACGGAAGCTAAACAAATCAGGATTGTTTCCTTGGCCTAAGAGCCAGTTAACGGGGTGGAGTTTCTCAGGACAGCACTGAGGGGAAAGCTGCACCAACAGGCTCCTTTCTGAGAAGGAAGGATGCATGCGCACAGATGCCCAAGTCTATCACTGTGGATGGCAACAGCGAAGACAGGCCTAGGATCTGTGCAGACTCCAGAAGTGCAGGGAGTCTCAGTCATTAACCTAAGGCTGTTTTCACTGTCCGTGTGGCCAGCAGAGGAATCACTCAGTCATTCTTGTGGGCGTTTCCCGGCAGTGACAACTCAGTGACTGGAAACAAGGTCATTAAGGGCTTCCAGTAAGTTCCTACTGAGCATTCTCAGCAGAAGTGCATTTTTCAAGATGGGGTAATTTCCATTCCATTTTTGATCCATGAAAAAAAATCCCAAATCTCTTTAAGTCACAGATTTGGACTCACATGTCACCAGCCTCACTGTTTCAGAAAAACCACAGCCTGCTACAACTGATGAAGAGACTCACCTATGGCCTTCCCTGCAGGCTTCTAGAGCACAAGTGACAGAACCATATCTGTCATTATGACTACAAACAGAGAGGAGCAGAGCACTCTTGGATCACCAAGATACCAAACAGCCCCCTCTGGACACACCATAAGAATCCCAGTCCCTGGAACCTGACCAAAAGAGGAAGCCTTGCCCTGAGCGGGAACGTGGATGGAGATGGCTGGAGGCAGTCACCTTCTCCTCGGACTTGAGTGCTGGCTTCGCGGGCTGAGCCTGTGGAACTTTGAAGCCCAGGATTTCCAGCATGTTTTCAGCGGCGTTGCGTTTGGCCACCTTCTTGTTGGTGCCCGTTCCTTCCGCCGTGTGGTTTCCAACTTTCACCTACACAAGAAGGCCAACATATACTCAGCGTGTAATGTGCACAGCACAAACCAGACAGGAGACCAGGCTGCTCAGAAGCAGCAACACCCCAGAGGCTGGTTTGTGATGGTTGGCCACAGCTGAGGGTTACTTCAAAGTCAGAGTCAGAGCAACCTATTTTCCATCTGCTGGTTCACTTTTCAGATGAACACAAGGACCAAGGCTGAGCCAAGCCAACAGCGTCTACCACGAGGGTGGCAGGGACCCAGACACTTGGTCTAAACAGACTCCACTGTTTTGCCAAGGCACATTAGTAGGGAGCAAGAGCCTAAGGAACAACTAGTAATGCAACAGTGCCCATATGGGATGCCCTCTCACAATGCCACAATGTCAGGGCTAATTTTTAAGTATTTAGGAGTTTGGAAAACTGGCTATTAAACACAGGCTACAATTAAACTATCTTACCAAAAGTAAGGAATACTCAAAACCCACCGCTTCCTACATTTTGCTAAATAATTTTTGCTTCCCTGTTCTCCCTAGTGTGTCTATAAGATGGGAATATTCCAGGAAGGAGCTACCGCAGACCTCCTCCCAACTCTGCCATCACAGGTGTCACTTCCACAGCCTGAAAGTGACCACAGTGAAAACAATCACAGCACAGCAATCTGCACATGCAACCTAGCAAACACAAAGTTACTAACTCACTCTAGACTTAGAATAATGAAGAGAAGGTTAATAACACAGATGAAGCCTACAGGAGCAAAAAGTCTATAATCACTAACTGTACTCAGTAAAACAAACTGAAGCATTCTTCTAGTCTTTGAAAATTATTACCCGGTTCAGCAGAGATGCCACTCGCATGTGATTACAAATCATATGAGCTACCTATGTGCTCAGTTTTTATTACTGTAAACAAAACTATCATGGGGCAGTCACTGTGGTACAGTGGGTTAAGCTACCCTTCAGGACACCAGCAGCCCATATCACAGTGGCAGTTCAGCTGGCAGTTACTCCACTTCCAATTCAGCTTCCTGTTAATCTTATCTTGGGGGCAGCAGACAACAGACTCAAGTGTCCCTGTCACACAAGCAAGGCTGCATGGGCTCAGGGCTCCCAACTTGGGCACCGCCAAGGGGATCTGGAGAGTGAGCCAGCAGAGGATGATCTTTCAATGTGGCTCTGTCTTTCAAAGAGATAAAAACAGACACCAACACTATGTCACATGTTCATAAACATGGGTCTGTGTATCAGCCAATATTCATGAGAGATAATAACCTCAAATCTTGGGGCTGGTGCTGGAGTTATAGCAGGCTAATCCTCTGCATGTAGCAATTAGCACCCTATAACGACATGGCTGCTGCACTTGTGATCCTGCCCCCTTGTCTATGAGCTCCTAAACCCACGTGGAAGATCCAGAGCAGGCTCCTCGCTCCTGGCTCAGACTAGGGCAGCTCCAGCCATTGTGGCCGTTTGGGGAGTGAATCAATGGACAGAAGCTCTTCCTCTCTGTCTTTCCTACTCTCTGTATATCTACCTTTCCAATAAAAATAAATAAATCTTTAATTTTTTATTTTATTTTTATTTGAAAGAGAGAGCTACAGAGAGAAGGAGACACAGAGAAATCGATCCTCCATCCACTGGTTCAGCCCCTAAGTAGCCAACTGACTAGAGATGAGCCTATCAGAAGCCAAGAGTTGCTTCCAAGGCCTCTCATGTAGGTACAGGGGCCACACACTTGGGCCATTCTCTGTTGCTTTCCCAGGCCATCAGCAGGGAGCTAGATGAGAAGCACAACAGCTAGGGTTTGAACTGGTGCCCACATGGAATGATGGCGTCAAGCATGGGCTTAACCTATATGCCATGGCACCAGTTCAGAAGGATGGCTTCTTCCAGGAGCTTCTTCTGGGTCTCCCACACAGGTATAAGAACCCAAGGACTGGGGTCATCCTCTGCTGCTTTCCCAAGCCATTAGCAGGGAGCTACATGGGAAGTGGAGCAGCAGGACATGAACCAGCGTTTATATGGGATCCCAGTGCTTGCAAGGTGAGAATTTAGCCACTGAACCAACACATCAGGTCCCAAGACTTTGATTTCAAAGAACATAAATTCCCAGGAAAAGCAATGGAGAAAAGCATTGAGCCATAACCTACCCACCTCTCTGGAAGTGTTCTCGACTTCTGGCACAAAGCATCTGCACCCCCACATGCTGAAGAGCAAGACCCTAGGTAAGCGTACAGCGCCTGTTTCATCATCGCATTCATGCAAGCAGCATGGTCCACAGGCCCTGGTCTCCTGAGGAAGGCCTCCCAGTCCTAGTACTGCATGTGGGACAGCAGAGAGCGGTGCCCAGTTCAGCCCAGTAAACTCACCTGCATTACAAACTCCCTGCGGCGCGGGAGGCCGCGCTCTGTGAGCAGCTGGTACTCGGGCTCCCTCTCCTTCTTCGCCTGCTGTATCTGGGCCAGTCTGCTGATGGGATTCATCGCCTGCCCATACTCTGGGCTTGCCTGGAGCTGAGCCCAGAAGGAAGGAAGAATGTTCTCGTTTATTAATCCGAGAAAAACACTAAATGACAAAAGCCAACTCAAAGAGTAGGACAGGACAGAGGCAACTTGAAGTTGACCTGATGAGGGCTCAGGTTTTCCTTTTTAAATTAAAAACCACTTTACATCTTCCATAATTATTCTAATGCAAATTTAAGATCTTAGCAAACAAAAAAACATTTCCATTGAAAGAGGCAAGCATTGCTATAATCCCTGCTTTTTAACAAATTAGCACGTGGAAATAGAGAGGCAGAACAAAGAATCCAATTCTGCAAACTCCTCAAAGGTCTGCACAGCGCTGGGTTCTGAGAAGTCCAGATTATCCAAAGGATTATACCCAAAGCTCACATGTCCTGGGAAAAGGAACCGTGAGTCTGCCCACAAATAAAGCTCTGCAACTCTACTGACCAACAGCATTTTCCAGAACACAGTCAGTGAAAGAAAGGAAACGCCCTAAGAACACGCAGACCAACGTTACTGAAGTCTGGTTCTGAATGTTGACAATCAGCCCATGACAGCCCCAGCACTTCACAAAGGATCTCAAGATGAAGGCTGACTCCTTTCCCGGGCTGACCTCAACCCAAAAGCAGAAGAGCACAGCACTTCGCCTCCCTCCAAACTCCCTGCGACCTGTGGATAGGTGCTTACCCTGCCTGGGGGCTTCGTTTTCTTTTTGATCCGGGGCCGCACGCGCTCTGCCACAGGCAGTGGTGGCAGCTTCTTCAGCTCCTCGAGAACAGCAATGGCAGCATTCTTCTTGGAGATCTTCTTGCTCTTCCCTTCACCTTCCCCCACGAACTCGCCAACTGAGACCTTGGTCACAAAGTTCCTCATGTGCGGTGGGCCACTCTCCCGAGCCACCTGGGTGGGAAGGAAAGACTGAGTGGAAGTGTTACAGACACCAGCTCAAGGCCACCGGGCATACTGCCTGGCACACGCACTTTCCAGGAGGCATGGGGATGGCACTTCCTTTCTCTTCACACTTTCCACACCTGCTAATGCTGAGTCGGCTGCAGCCAGCAAGGGCAGGCATCAGACCTCTCCACCTCCGCCCCCATCAAAACGAGTGAGTTATTCAATGAGCTTCACCAGAAATTATTCAGTTCTTAGTTTGAGGCTGAAACAAAAGTGAGCCACTGCATTTTTGTTTTGCATGCTGTCTATGGAGGCCTCAGCTAAGCTGAGCAAATCTACTTCCCTCCAGCACACTGTTCTGATGGCTCACCAGCTCAGTGCTGCGATTCAGGGACCCAGTCGCTGTGAAGAGCTCGGAGTGGTCTGACCGCACACTCCCTAACTGCAGGATGAGCACTGAGGGACAGACTTCATGCTACCACGTGGGACTGCCAACAACGCTTTCTCTAGAAAGTGCTGAAGTAACTGTATTTTACACGTCAGACTTCTGACAGTCATAATTAGAAATGGCCTGAACTCTACCCACTGGAGCAATGAGGCTGACTCTAAATCTTATGCATTAAGGTAGCACAAACACTGCTGGAAAGATGTACACAGTCTCATAGCATTCATACATTTAACAAATAGTTAAATAAATACCTGACAAGGATCCTGGCTCCACCCTGGCCACTATGGCCTTGAGGAGTAAATCAGCAGATGAAAGCTCTCTCTCCTAAGTATTTCAAATAAATAAGTGGATAAATCCTTTAATTTTTTAAAAAATGCTGGCTTATTAAAATACTGGCTGCAATCAGCTACAAAAAAAAAGACTGAGAAACGAGTAAAGGGGCTGGCACTGTGGCATTCAGAGCAAAGCAGCCGCAAGCAGCACCAGCATTCCATACGGGTGCCAGTTGTTCCTCTTCCACCTGGCACCCATATGGAATGCTGGTGCTCCCAGCTAAGGGCCCTGGAAAAGCAGCAGAAGATGGCCAAAGCCCTTGGGCCACTGCACCTGGTTCCTGGCTTCAGATGAGCTCAGCTTCATCCATTTCAAGAATGGGAAGTGAAGCAGCGGATAGAAGATGGCGCTCCTTTCTTTCCGAGCTCTAACTTTCAATAAGTTTATTTTATATTTGAAAGTTGATGGCTACCACGGTAAATGGAGAAGGGCGGAACTTGCCTCCAACCAAACCCAGAACAGACGGCGGAATTCTGGCAGGCCACTCAGGCTGTGAAGCCACCACTGCACCAATGAGGGGCACAGACCCATATCCCCCCACCAATAAGGGCCAAGGTGACCCCCATTTCAGCTTCAGGGAGCGTTTAAAGGGCCCCTTCCCCATCTCTTCCACGCTCTTCTTCCTCTGCAACCCACACCTCCCCATCTGTCCTTCCTGCTGCGTGGGGAAGGGAAGCCCGTGACCATGGTTCCCTGAAATAAAGGCCATCTCAATTCTTTTCATATAGTTGACTGAGTTACCCTTTCCCTGGTGGTTGGCAAATCTAACAAAAGTCAGAATTACAAAGGAGACGGAGCAATCTTCCATTTGTTGGTTCACTCCCCAGATAGCCTCAATGGCCACAACTGGGCCAACCCTGAAGGTGGGAGACAGGAGAATAGCCAGGGTCTCCCCATAAGTACAGGGCCCCAAGGCGAAGGTCACGAGCAGAGAGCTGGATTAGAAGTGGAGCAACAAGGACTACAACTGGTGCCCTACGGGATGCTGGCACCACAGAGAATTACCCTGAAATGCCACCAGGCCAGTCCCATAAAAATCTTGAGAGAAAATCTTAGACAGTGAATGAGTAAGTGTGAACTCCAGTATAATATACGAGTATTAAATTAAAAAAACTGTAAAAGAACACATGTGGGGTCCAGCGCAGTAGCCTCGCAGCTAAACACCTTGCCTTGCTAAACGCCATAAACCCATGTAGGCAATGGTTCTAATCCCAGCAGCCTTGCTTCCCATCCATCTCCCTGCTTGTGACCTGGGAAAGCAGTCGAGGACAACCCAAAGCCTTGGGACCCTGCACACATGTGGGGATCAGAAAGAGGCTTGGAGTCCCTGGCTTCAGAATACTTCAGCTCCAGCAATTGTGGTTGCTTGACGAGTGAATCATTGGAAGGAAGATCTTCCTCTCTGTCTCTGCTCCTCTCTGTATATCTGCCTTCCAAATAAAAATAAATAAATCTGGGCCCAGCGTGGTAGCCTAGTGACTAAAATCCTCACCTTGAATGCACTGGGATCCCATATGGGTGCCTGTTCTAACCCTGGCAGTCCCACTTCCTGTACAGCTCCCCTGCTTGTGGCCTGGGAGAGGAGTCCAGGATGGCCCAAAGCCTTGGGACCCTGTACCCATGTGGGAGATCCAGAAGAGGTTCCCGGCTTCGGACTGGCATAGTTCTGGCAGTTGTGGTCACTTGGAAAATGAATCATCACATGCAGGATCTTCCCCTCTGTCTCTCCTTCTCTCCATATATATATATATATATATATCTGATTTTGTGATAAAAATAAATCTTTAAAAATAAAAAGTAAATCTTTTTAAATGGAAAAATGAACCAGTAAGAAGATGGATGATCTCTGTCACTCCCTTTCTCTAAGGCTTCCTTTTTTTAAAAAAAAGCTTTATTTATTTTTATTACAAAGTCAGAAATAGAGAGAGGAGGAGAGACAGAGAGGAAGATCTTCCATCCGATGACTCACTCCCCAAGTGAGCGCAACGGCCGAAGCTATGCCAATCCAAAGCCAGGAGCCAGAAGCCTCCTCCAGGTCTCCCACATGGGTGCAGGGTCCCAAGGTTGGGCCATCCTCAACTGCTTTCCCAGGCCACAAGCAGGGAAGTGGAGCTGCCAGGATTACAACCGGCGCCCATATGGGATCCTGGCACGTTTAAGGCAAGGACTTTAGCCGCTAGGCCATGCCACCAGGCCCTCTAACACTTCCTTTCAAATAAATATAACAAAAATCATGGTGCTGGCACCGTGCCATAATGGGCCAAATCCCCACCTGCAGCACTGGCCTCCCATCTGGGCACTGGTTTGAGTACGAGCTGCTCCAATTACGATTCAGCTCCCTCTTCACGGCTTGGGGAGCAGCAGGGAATGGCTGCTCCCCCAGGGCCTCTGCACCCACATGGGAGATCCAGAAGTTCCAGGCTCCTGGCTTTGGATTGGTCCAGATCATGAAAGGTATCTCTCTGTGATTCTGCCTTTCAAATAATAATACATCTTTAAGAGAAATAAAAAAATCATAGAAGGAAAAGAAAAGTAACTAAGGATAAAAAAACACAGATTAGTCAGATTAAAAGTAGGCAAGGCCACAGTTTAAAAATAGGTTGTACATGCACATATACACAATATTACAATATACAGACACAGGTATATGCTCACATGTTCACTTTTGCACAAAGAAACAGGACAGATAAAGCAGAAACTAGTAAAATCAGGCAAGTAAGCAGGCCTGGAGCAGAGACACAAGAGAAAGCGTGAATACAGCTTTCTGACTGGTTCCAACTTTCTTAATAATGTAGTTTTCTCACATATTTCATAAATGAACATAAGTTAACAAAGGAGGAAAAAACCTAAATCTGAATATGAACACAAACCTAACAGAATATTAAAGTGATTTCTTAATCACAAGGAAGAAAAATAAAACCCACATTCAACCTGCATTAGGCAAGGCATTCTTCTCAGGAAGACTTCACCCTGCTAGGCATCCTGTAACACCACAGCAGCTAAGACACCACGCGACTGTGAAAGGGTAAACAAGTCAGCAGGACAAAGTACAGGAACAGACCTATCTAAAGTCACATGATTCTGAGCAAACACACAAAAAAATCAAATTCTGTTTTCTTGACTCCTACTAGTGACTGCACCCCGCGACAAGGGAAACACAAGACAGCCAGCCCACCCTCGCCAGCAGAGGACTTCAAGGCAATCTTCAAACAACGGAGAGAAGAACAAGCTAAATGACAATGCGGGCCAGGTTACAGGGCAAGCACCTAGGTCTGTGGGCACAAGAGGCAGACAAGACAGCCACCAGGCCTCATCAAGAATTTCTCATCTCTGATGCAACGAAGTCTACAACTTCTCAGAACAATTCAGACCACTCAAGTAGCAACTCAGAGCATTCTTCCCCCCCGGTCTCTTTCGTGACATCAAACACATGACTCCAACCCCTGGAGTGGTCTGGCAGCAAGGAGCAGTGCGGGGCACCAGCTCCCACCACCGCCACAAGAGGAAACATGAAAACATTTATCTCACTCACCTTCCACTTCCCAACCCTCTCCACCCTAATTCTACTCAGAGGCCCACACAGATCTGCAACCCCTCACCTTCATAATAAATAAAATAAAAATTTTAAATATGCTAGTGGAGTGGGGTTGGAACCATGGAATAGTAAGTTAAGCCTCTACCTGCAATGCCAGCATCCCATATTAGCATCAGTAGAGGTCCATGCTTCCCATCCAGCTCCCTGTCATTGTGCCTAGGGCCAAAGTGCTTGGGCCTCTGCACCTCTGTAGAAGACCCAGAACAAGCTCTAGGCTGCTGGCTATGGACAGGCCCAGCTATGGCTATTGCAGCCATCTGGGAAGTGAACCAGTGGATGGAAACTCTGTCTCTCCTTCTCCGTAAATCTGAGTTTCAAATCAAAATAAATAATAGTAATAATTTTTAAAAAAGCCTTGAGACCCTGCACCTGCATGGAACACCAAGAAGTTCCCGGCTTCAGACTGGCTCAACTACAGCCTTTGTGACGATTTGGGAAGTGAACCACGGTATAGAAGATATGTCTGCCTCTCCTCTCTGTAAATCTGCCTTCCCACTAAAACTAAGCAAACCTTAAAGAAAAAGGTAGTAATGAATAAAACAAAAAAAGTAAAAACATACATACAAAGAAAAAAAAAGAGAAAAAAGTAGAGGAATAATTAGATATCCACATAAGAAAAATAGAGCCATGCCCCCTAACTGACACCAC